GCAAAATTTTCAAGAAAAAATGCGTTTCAAGTTTTTTCTTTGAAATAAAAAATAAAATAAAAAAAATAAAAAGTTTCATAATACACTTTAAGTGCCATTAAAACTATATGAAAACAGAGCTGAATTGAACAAGAAGTGAAAAGAAAGTCACTTGTGAGTGAGGTACCATCTATATGAGTTATTGAAGTTACGATAAAGACATACTAATTATAAAACATTGAAACAAAGATGGCATATAGTTTGTAATAATTATCATTTATTAATATAACAGTTAATTCTTATTGCACTAGTTTTATATTTGAATAAGTGACGCATGTGTCACCTTTTATTTCTGAATATGTGACACACATTCATGACACTTAAATGAGCTCCCATGTGACTCAAAAGTATGGTTTCTGCTTTGATTAAGGTGGAACAACAGTCATAGAGAATGTTACCAAATTGCAAGCACGATTTATAATTTCTAACCAACCTGTGTTATGTGCCATCCCAAATGTATCTCAAAATCATGATATTTAATGAATCCTGTATTATTCTTTATTGGAAATGAAAAGCATGAGTACATGTACACATACACATACTACAAGGATGAACCCTCGAGGGGAACACCACATACATTATCAGGATGGGTTAGTACATGCATGGATGCTTTTAAATCAATAAAGATATTAGGGTTCTTTATTGCAATGCAATATACACCCCATGCAGACAGATCGCCTTATATTACCTTCGTATTAGTGGTCGGAGGTAATGCCGCATTACCGGCAACGGCACTGATTTGACCTAATGCCGGCATCAAAATCTTCTTACCTGCAATGGACGGCATTCAGCTGAATTAGATTCCCGGGCGGAATCAGCCAAATTCCTTCATCAGTATGATCTTTATTGTTTCTTTTCTCACTTATTGACTAAAGTGTTATGTACATTACTAAGTGAAATAAACAGAATTAAACCAGAAAAAATAACTAATTTTTTATTATGCCTGTTCTTGAAATTACAACGGACCGATATGCAGCACCGCGCATCCAACACCCCAACGATCTACCCTTTTGTTATGTTGTTGTTATGGTTACTAAATCGCCCGATTTGAAGTTCAGAACGAGGCTGATAATAACGAAAACGTATTTATTTTACGAGTTTATATCACATGAATCGTTAGAATCAGGATTGTTTGGTGGTTTAAAATGATTCTGAGTGGGTTCTACTGTTTCTACAGATAAATTAAGTGGTATGTATTGCGTACTATGAGATATTTGGCGAAATATACCCGGGGAAAACTTTTTTTTAGCTTTTTTCAAAATACTTGCTAAATAGTCGGTAAATATCGGTAATGACATACGGTAATACCGGCACCACTTTTCATTACCGGTCCGAGCGCTACTTCGTATGATGCGAGACTCAACATTTACCAGGAAAGTAGAAACATTTTGCCACCCATGAAGCAAATCAATTTTTTAATGCCTTATAAACGGTGAATGACAGTCACATTGAGTTCTATAAGAAATCTACAAATATTTCATTGCGGTTTTATCTTTACATCGTTTTTTCAATCATCACTTTTTAAAAGATGTTACCTTGAAATATCAAGACATCATGCTATTCTCATACTTATTAAACCAAATTTGGCTGTCATTCACCACTTATTAAGCAGTAAAAATTAATTTGCTCCATGGGTGCCAAATTATTTCAAGTTTTTTGGTGAACGTCGAGTTTCACATCATACAAATGTAATTTTAGTAGGTCAGTCTGCATGGGGTGATATTAATTATATCACACCTTTGTAAAAATGACATTGTCCAGTTCTTTATGAAACTGTAATGCACTGTAATAACGTCATTCTTTTAATGGCATTGCTCAGTTCATTGTAAAATTCTAATGCACTGTAAAATAATGTTTTCGCTCAGTTAACCATATACTTTGAATTAATACACTGAAATCCTCACATATTTGAATATCAAACTAGATAACGGCAACTCCGCGGAGTAGCAAATCCCAACGAACAAAATATCAATTACCGAATTCCAATCAATTATACTCATTACATTGATTAAAATTGGAAAATTTAGATTTTAGAATTGCGAATTCCTGCAAAACAGCCATTTTGAATTTTCTGAGGTACAAAACTGAAAAATAATACCATAATTGTGATCTACTCCAAAATTCCTTCAATTTGAGTATAATATAGCCATACTTTGAAGGGATCGAAAAAGTATTGCGAAATCGTACATTAGACGGCCATTTTGAATTTTACGAGGCTCGAATCAGAAAAAAGATACAATATTTGCAATCTACTCTTAATTGCCTTTCATTTGAGTATAATAAAGCTATACTTGAGAAAGATCTAAGAATTAGCGAAAATCTCTGTTTTCCTGACCCCCCCATATACGGCCCCTGGGGGTCAGGATGAAAAACACGGAATATATGTGAAAAAGATAGATGTTGTGAATATACTACCAAAATTTCAAACAATAATATTAATTACTTTGGTTTAGAATGAAAAATTTATGATTTTTGCGAAAAGGTCCCGTCATTTTTAAAGTGGCGGCCATCTTGAAAAAATTTTTTTTTGCGTAAAACTATTTATCAATATACATCTTTCCACCAAATATGAAGAAAATCGGTCAACTAATATTTGAGTTATCTTCCGGACAGACGGACGGACTGACTGACTGACTGACTGACTGACTGACGGACGGACGGACGGACGGAGGGCTTCACTATATCCCTACAGAACTTCGTTCGTTGGGATAATAAAGCAGTTATAACATACAACAATTGTTTTAGCTGTTCTCTCTCATTCCAACTTAACCTTCAGAATCATACAGGAAACAGATGCATGTTTGGTCAATAACCCAGATGCAAGTATATAGTTACCAGTTCCACCACCAGGTGGCTAATTCGGCCAGATAACATGGCAGGTATATTAGAAAGTTCGCTTTAACTTGAACATTCATCAGTTCTAGTAGATCAATTCTCATATTTCTCGTACATATCTGATAGTTATACAAAAAAAGATATTTCACAATTTGTGATTTTATAGCATGGGGTCTATGGGGAATCTCCCTGACTGAAAGTCAAATTAAATTTTCAAAGTTGATAAACAATTTTTGATACCACATTTAAAGATGCAATTTTACATGTAGATTTCAAATATGATATTACTTTGACTGAATTTTGAATAATTATTGATGTAAATCAAGATTATTATATTTCTACTAGCATCTAGTCTATTGGACTTATGATTCTCATTCATTTTCCTTATGTGGCAAAACCCTTTGCACTATTTTCAAGTTATTCTTTTACATACTCTAAAACTGCTTCACAACATTTCCAGATATTTTTCAATATGATAATGTGAATCATTCATAAGTTACAAATCATTCAATCTACCAATGTACATATTAATTATAATAATAATAATATACAAAATGTGCAAATATTTTTGATAATATTGTCAAGTGAATCTTCCCAGTTGAAAATGAACATGACTCAGCCATTCCAGGGTTCCATTTCTAAAATGTTTGTTGAAATAGTAATATTATATACTAACATTTGAGGAATAGTACTCTGTACAATATTCAACATACATGTACACATGTATTACAAGAGTTGACAATATGTAGACAAAACTGGTGGACTTTACCAGACTCATATATAATATATAATCTTATTCTTAATTATATGTCTTGGATTTTACGTATACAAACTATTATGTTCTATGTGCATCAACATGGTTAACTATAGTACTATAATACATATATAAATTTATTGGCTGGGTGATAAAAGTTTATTTATATTTATTTATCTAAATATACAACTTCTAACAATGTCACTAGAGTATTATAAGGTGCAACTTTACTCCATTAAATACATAGTGACATGTAGGATTAAAACATCATATTCCTGGAACACTGTCACATCATTTCAACTCTGTATGGAGACTAACATAAGGACATGTGCATTCAAGTACACATGTGCATTCAAGTACACATGTGCATTCAAGTATATATGTGCATTCAAGTATATATGTGCATTCAACACTATGAACTTACATAAGTAAAATGTGCATTCAGCACTGTACATGAACTAACATGAGTACACATGTGCATTCAACATTGTACAGGAACTTACATAAGTACACATATGCATTTAAATACAGATGTGCATTCAAAATTGTACAGGAACTTACATAGGTACACATGTACATTCAAGTACACCTGTGCATTCAAGTACACACATGTATTCAGCACTGTACATGAACTAACATAGTTCGTATGCATTCAAGTACACATGTGCATTCAACATTGTACAGGAATTTACATAGGTACACATGTACATTCAAGTACACATATGTTTTAAGTACACATGTGCATTCAACATTGTACAGCAACTAACCTAAGAACAGATATGCATTCAATGTAAAATAAATAGTGGAATGATATGCTTGTTATGTAGATGTGCATTAACAACGATTGTAAGAATACAATTGCACAGAAGTGCAATACAGATGCACTTAAACACTGCATCCCCAACCAATAGAAATTGACAAAAAATAGTTCCATGACCAATCACACTGAAGATTGACTCTCTTTAGTGTGATCATACCAATCACATTGTTTCAAGCCCCTATTTAGCACAACTTCTGAGAAATGAGGTCAGTTCACAAGACAGGGTAAAACATGAAATATGTCATGTGATTATTTGGGGAGGGATTGAAAACAGCCCAATGATGATGTTACTATTGGGCAATTATCCCTTTCATAGATGAGACAATATTCAATTTCAGCAATTTTTGGTCACTGTGGGTTAGACTGAAATTTATCAAGATGACTTTTCCTCTTGTAGTGATCTACAGATATAATTGTGCATTTTTCATGAACTGGAACTTTTTGGATTATCGTACTGCTGTTTGAGTCCATGTCACTCTATAGAGCCTATTAATAGTATATGGTTTTGCATTGATGCATTGATGGGCTCCTGGACATCACAAAAATGATGCTACACTCTAATTGACCTAATATTACTTTATTCTGGGTTTGCATTGACTGCTTGGACATTAAGAGGATCAAATGCCACTGGTTTGATCAAGTTCCTTTGAATTGCTTCTTTTTCTAGTGCTGCAAGTTGCCTGGAAACAAAAGAGTATTTTTGATTAAATGTTGTGTATGGTTTATAGAGATAAGAGTTAAACCTGTGGAACACCTCTAAAAGTACTTCTAAAATCAATTCCATCATTTTTATTGTAACAAAGAGAGGAAAATGATGAACACAGAACTTCGCTATTTTTCTACACCTCAACAACTTTCTACAACTCAAAAGTCCATGCTTCAAATATTTTTTGGTTTATAAAATTTATCAAATGCATTTTCATCACTAAATACATATATAATTTCAACCATAATTTTACTTATTAAGACCAACTAACCTTCTTAATCGAACTACTTTACATCTTAATTCCTTGTCTGTTTCTTTGATTCTAACAATTTCTTCCCAGGCTTCTTTCTTAGGGCTCTGATCAAGTTGGTCTCTCTGGAATAAGCTGCTCCAGAGTAGCTGAAATGATGAAATCATATAATGCAGGCTTCTTTCTTAGGGCTCTGATCAAGTTGGTCTCTTTGGAATAAGCTGCTCCAGAGTAGCTGAAATAATGAAATCATATAATGCAGGCTTCTCTCTTAGGGTCTGATCAAGTTGGTCTCTCTGGAATAAGCTGCTCCTAGCTGAAATAATGAAATCATATAATGCAGGCTTCTCTCTTAGGGTCTGATCAAACTGGTCTCTGGAATAGCTGAAATTCATAAAATTATGATACCATGGTGACCCCAATAAATAACACACAATTGTTGTCTTACATCTCATTATGTAAGGGCTCCACTGTTCACTTGATTCATTAATGTATCTATGTAAACACGAGAATTCAAGAAGACCATACCATAATTGACAAATTTATTTTGAAATGAGTTGGTTTAAGGATTTATGCCCTGTACTAAATCATTTCTCCGAAAGTGTTGTTTTCAAGTCTTTGCATGACTAAGTGTGATGTGTGACTATATTTTTTGGGTCACCCTGTGTATGACCAATAATTGGAATAACTTTGTATATGTTTGTATATATGTTTACATGTGCATGATTATTGAAAATTAAAATACTTGTAACCATTCATCTTCCGATCAAAACAGGGCTTCAAAATCCAGAATATCTTCTTTCTTTTTACCCCCTGCGATAAGCAGTTAGCATTTCTCCGATTAAGAACTCGCAACACTGCGACAGCAATCATGTATACGTCATCGGCGCATAATTAGATCATGGGATTCAGTTTAATCGGGCTCTTCCAAATTGCTTATAGCAGGGGGGGGGGAAGAAGGAGGTACGGATTCTGGACAACTGTTTAGGAGGACAGGTGACCATTACTCTGAATGTAAGATCATAGCAATACATTTACATCTAAATGTTCCTCTTTAAAATTTGTGACTTTAAAGTTAAGAAAATACCTAGCTTTGTAGCATATTCATTGCACATTTATTACCAGACACCAGTATATGTCATGCATCAAGACCTATATAGTACTCCCGCTTCCCTCTTGTGAGTGACAGGGATTGAAAGGGCCACATGCAGAGGGTGTTGATACAAGACTATGTAAGTAACTGCACCTACCAAGCTTTGGGGAGCAACTGATGGCCATATCACTGATGGGTTGGGTTCATATAGCGGATTTAGATAACGCTCTAAAATCTCAGGTTTGTTTATATAGGACCTGGAACAGAACAATGATTAAAACACTTTAGAAGAAACTAGTTTTTATTATTTGTGGAGAATATCTTATGAAGCATGAAGCACAACCCAAAGTACTAGCATTGCACACACATAAATAAAACAATATAAGGCAGACTATATCATAGGAATTCAAATTAGCAATTAGTCTAAGCCTCTCCAGATGTGTTATTTGCTGTTTTAAGATATATTATATATTATTTTTAAGATATATCATATGTTATTTTTAATATAAATTAGATGTTGTTTTTTAGATATATCATATGTTATTTTTAATATAAATTATATATTATTTTTAAGATATATCATATGTTATTTTTAAGAAATATTAGATGTTGTTTTTTAGATGTATCATATGTTGAGTTCTATCTGGACTTACCAAAGTGAAACTGTCGTGCTGGCAAGTTTAAGATTGCGTCTTTCTAAGTCATTATTGCACAGGAATGTCCCTACAAATAATTGAATATGTTTTAGTACAGTTCATACAGATTAACAACTTAAAAACAGCAACCCAGCAAAGTTGCAAATTCTAACAAACAAAACATATTTCATTAAACATCAATGAGCATTTATGTTTTTAACATATTTTTCAATATACCATTTATTAATAGATGGCTCAGCTGTCATTTTTGTAATTCTTATCTGTTCTCCCTTGTAAACATGTTAAAGGTAGGCAGGTAACATGACACCAGACTAAAAATTCTAAGCTAACCACTAAATAGGTTAGACTGACAAAGACAAACCCATCGAGCTGACATTTTCTCAACCAATCAGCAAGGGGATAGAAACTAAAATATAGCCGTGATCTGGCTGAGAATTCAGATATCCTATACAAAGACTTGTTACCTGTCTTCAGAATTTACCTGACACTCCCTACCCAAAGTAATCTACATGCTGCTTGTGCTAATCAAGGAGATATTGATTTTCCAATACAATAATAATAGGATGAAGTATCATTGGATGTTACTTATAGCATTCCTTGTATTTATGTACAATTTTTGTATAATTCCATAATGAGATTATGATATGAAATTATATTGTATAGCTTAGCCGCAAACAATCCAAAATAAACACAATTTTGCAATATGCACTTATTGCAGCAACAAACAATTCAAAATAATATCGTGTTCCTCTTTTGATAAGAATTTTCATTGAAATTGTGATTTTGAATCATATGATACAGAAAAACAACTTTAAGTAGACAAGGCCCAATCATTCAAAACAAGCACTGGTGTATGATTAATACTTGCCTGATATATTGCTCAACAACAAGAATAACACCATTAAGTACAAACTAATATACATATATGTACATTGATTCATCACTCTACCATAGGCGTAGCCAGGAAGGGTGCAGTAACTAATAGAGAAGAAATAGTAGAGATGAGATAGAAGAAGAAAAGAGCTTTTTATTTGAAGCTTCTAACTCAATTTTGAAGAAAATTGTATCAATTTTTGTAAAATTCAACAAAAATCTTAATTTTTGGGTTTGTTTATGCCACAATTGCACCCCCCTGACTGAAAACCGAATTTTTTTGGCTGTCGCACCCCCCCAGACTGAAAGCTGGCTACGCCCCTGAGCCCTGTATATAATTAATGCAAAACGGGACCCAGGCTGTCCCCTTGAAAAAATTAATTATACATGTTCCCAGTCTAGAAAACAAGGAATTTTATGTTCTGATATTGACATATCAGCTCGTCTTTATCTCCCCAAGTATAATTCTTAACAGGGGGGTAAATTCTAATTAATTCTATTCTTGTCGAGATACATTAATATCCATTCTTTTGACACGATACAAACAGTTTTTAACAGGGTAGCTTTCATGTTCCAGAATATTAAAAGGTGCATATCCAAGTTGCTTGTGGGGAGATTATTGTCATTTATTTTGTAATAGTAGATGGGTTAACTGCATTTTAGGGGGTCTGGACTTCAATCTATGATGCAAACGTTTCCTTTGACACGAGAGTACCTTAGGACCATAGAAACAAATGTATCCAAAGACACACGCCATATTGCGCTTTATATTGGAAATATTCACATTTTTCAAAATGGCCGCCAAAAATACAACGGAGACAATATATTTTCTTCTATGCATACTATAATGATACGATTGGTGCCTAAATATACATTTTCTGGGCGAAGAATCAATTTAAAAGTATGGGTTTGAGTCTTGAAAATTAGGAACTTCCTCTTTGGATTAAAAAAATTACGCCTTTATCAAAATGGCTGCCAGAGATGTAACAAAAATGATATCTTCACTTGTATGCATGCTACAATAGTAAGACTGGTGTCCAAGTATACATTACTGGGTGGTAGAATCCATTTGATAAGGTTTATAGTCTTTATTTTCCCAACGAAGAAAGTTCAGTGGGGATATAGTGGAGCCCTCCGTCCGTCAGTCTGTCGGTCCATTGTCTGTCTTATGTATGAATTTGCAATTATTTTCAGAATCCTTCAAAGTATGGCCAAATGTACTCAATTAAATTGAAGGTGGTATTAATTTTATGATTTATGCCTCAGAAAATTCAAAATGTCCCAGAGAAGGAGTTGATTAGCTATAACTTACTAGATATGTCGTCAAGGTATAGTTACATTATATTAAGTTAGATCTCAATTTTTATTGTCTAAATATGATTTTTAGCATTGACTAAATGGTCACCAAAATGTTTAAATCAGTGGAAATTCTGATATTGTACTGTATGTCTATAAGTTAACAAACATTTTCACTTTTTATTGAAAATGTATGCCTTTTTCTCAATGGCTGTGGAAAATATTACAAAAAAATTATATCTAACAAGGGCTCTTAAACTTCTTCGAAAGTAGAATAGTTTGAAATTGTAGTTTTGAATATCAGTTTGCGATGACGGAAACTATGCTGAAAACAATGGATAGCATGGGAGATGTGGTTTTCAACTTCATCGCATTTCAAATGCCGTCCCCTTTTAAGTAATTGTTGATATAAAGTGAAGAAACATTTGATATGTTTTAATTCAGAAAAACAAGATCATCTTTTTACAAAATTAGCTTAACATTTAAAAAAAGTGCCAAGGTGGGATCCTAATTCATAATTTTCCAGAAAGCTGGATTCATATTTAACAATCATGGGGACTTCACTTGAAATAAAACACATTGTTTTAATAGTAAACACTGTAAGTACTCATTGTGAAAGACATATCTTAAAATCTTAATCTCTTAAATGTTCAATTGAGGAAATACGAATAATTTTCTCAATATGACAATATTCAGTGCTGTATGTGTATACATACATGTCTTTTTCAAAATGGTTGCCAATCAACAACAAGCTTAATAGTTTGATGGTTGGATTATTGGAAGGTTCGGTAAACAGAGACATCAACAATGATTTGGTCACAGGAGAAGAATAGGGTTCTGCAATACTGTCATAATATATAGCCCTTGAAATCTATTCCGATCTTCAAGATTTTCTCTCGCCAGAAGGTTTCTGGCCATTTCTAACTATAGGTACATATGTATGTCTGTCCTGCGTGGTTTCTATCTATCACATTTCTCTCTCATGTATGTTTCATTGCAACAACTAAAGTTGCACTACCATTGTGGATACATATTTACTGCAAGTTATTGAAGAGACTCGGGTCTTTCTGGTGAACTTGAGTAAAAAGAACATTGAAAGATAAATACACATTTGCTGTGTTAAGGTGAAAACTATAATTTTTAAGGCTCATAATCCAATTAGCTAGATGCGAGTAGTAACACTCTTCATTTTTGTCATTAGAAATTCAAAATTCAGTCTTACTGATGTTGAATTTGGAATCTTCATGAAAATATATCAAGAAATGTGGTTTTGAAATGAGTCCATCAACTTTAAAATTGAATTTTCTTCAAAAATGTGACATTTAGGTCAGGGAGATTCCCCATAGTCCCCATGTTGTAAAACGCAAAAAGTGAAATATATTTTCTTGTGTTGTTCAGATAATATTTTCTTTTACTGGAGATAGTTTAATTTGTACAACTATCAGATACAAAAGAGTAATATAAAATGTGAACCACTAAAAATTAAGAATATTCAAGTTTGAGGGAACTTTGTAATACCCTGCAATGTTATTTCACCCGAATTAACCACCTGGCGGGGAAACTGGTAACAACCTAAATAGATTTCACATTCTCAAAAATGTAGATTTTATGAAATATTATGCCCAGAAGCAAAGAAACTTATAGCAAACATACAATTTCTGTTAGCAAAGATACCATCTCTTTGTTAGCAAAGGTACAATCTTTGTTAGCAAATATACAATCTTTGTTATATTTTCAGCTGCATATATTTCCAATATAAAGTGAAAACTATAATCTCACAAGACTTAAAATGAAATTGATTCTCCTACCCCATAAATATAAAATCTTGACACCAATCGTATCAGTGTAGCATGCACTGATGTAAAGATATCATCATTGTTATATTTCTGGTGGCCATTTTTAGAAATACATTATTTCCAATAAAGTAAAATTCTTATTATGAAATACTTATTTAAATGGATTCTACAACCCGATATTATTGTATAGTTTGACACCACTCTTTCATTGCTTAGAAGGGAAGATATATATCTTCTTTGATATATTTCCGGCAGCCATTTTGAAAAATGCATATATTTTGAATAAAAAGTGCAAGTCTCGAAAAAAAGTACAAGACTCAAAACCTAATTAAATACAGATTCTACAACTACATTAATGTATTTTTGACACCACACTTATAATTGTAGCATGCACAGAAACAAAACTATTGTCTCTGATGTATTTTGGCGGCCATTTTGAAAAATGTGTATTTTCCAATATAAAGCGCCATTTAGCTTGTGTGTCTTTGGATAAATTTGTTTCTATTGCCCTAAGGTATTTCCATGCCAAAGGGGACATTTTGTAAGGTAGGATATCTAAATTTGTAAGTATTTGTAAGGTAAAATATCTTCTTTGTTATATTTCTGGCATTCATTTTGAAAAACACATATATTTTGAATATAAAGTGGAAGTTCTTAATTTTCAAGACTCGAGATCTAATAAAATAGATTCAACGACTTAATCACTGTATTTTTTGACACCAATCTTATAATTGTAGCATGCACAGAAGCAAAAATATTGTCTCTGATGTATTTTTGGCGGCCATTTTGAAAAATGTGTATATTTCCAATATAAAGCGCCATCTAGCTTGTGTCTTTAGATAAATTTGTTTCTATTGCACTTAGGTATTTCCATGCTAAAAGGGACATTTTGTAAGGTAAGATATCTTTTGTAAGTAGTAGTAAGGTAAGATATCTTCTTTATTATATTTCTGGCATTCATTTTGAAAAACGCGTATATTTTGAATATAAAGTGGAAGTTCTTAATTTTCAAGACTCAAGATCTAATAAAATAGATTCTACGACTACATCACTGTGTTTTTTGACACCAATCTTATAATTGTAGCATGCAAAGAAGCAAAGATATTGTCTCTGATGTATTTTTGGCGGCCATTTTGAAAAATGTGTATATTTCCAATATAAAGCGCCATCTAGCTTGTGTCTTTGGATAAATTTATTTCTATTACCCTGAGGTACTTCCATGCCAAATGGGACGTTTGCATCATACAATGAAGTCCAAATGTAGTTAACCCATCTACTATAATACTTATTAACTTTACAGTGACCAGCATTTCTAAATACTATAATAATATCCTTTCTACCACAATTATAATGCAAAGAGCAAATATAATGTTGCTCATGAAAAAGTATTTTGAGTAAATATTGAAGAGCGGAAGAAATTGAATGGAATTTTCTAATAAGGAGGTACATGTATATTAAGGAAATAACAAAGATAAATAAGCCAGCATTTTCAACTCCATGTTTTGATAAGAGTTCAACATTTGAATATGTCAAAGTTGACATACCACAACCTAGATTGTCTAAAAATAACAAGACAAATTTGATAATCCATTTCCAAATTAAGCAAAAAATTACTAGGGACAATAGAGATCATCTAAACATATTTTAAAATGTACTTTACATTTAAGAATGATGCGAAATTAGTTATGATAAATTGTTCAATAATTAGTGTTTTGTTAATATCCCACTGTTACAATTATGACTTACCACAGGTGAATTACAAACGGCTACAGGTAAGTCTAGATCTCATATATATATGTGGTCATTCAGATGATGATAACTGGTTGTATATACAAGGATGGATCACAAATATTGAAAATGATACCTTACCATTTTGACTTGACCAGAGCATACGATTCTTTGATTTAACCCATGTCAAATAACACATTTTTAGCTAACAATCTTTTTAAATAATCATCTCCATAAGAGGTAGTTGCTTTTTGATGTACCTATTTCAATTTAAAAAGGTTTATAGAATAAATCAAAATATTGCAAACTAAATCATTTTGTTTCCATAAGAGTTAATGGAAGTTACAAAATTTCCGGTCCATGTGAACATATATTCACTGCCAGGGTAATTGACGATGCCAAAAATATGTTATAAGTCGTTAATATGTCTATATGTATTGACAATACAAATTTTAGTTCCATTTGAACACTACTTCTTAAGTTATTGCAACTGGTTACAAAATGTTACATATTTATTGCCATGGTAACAGATGGATACTAGCAGAAATGTATAATTGGAACTCATAAGATGTTAACTTAATTATGTTCAAAAAGTTTTGAAGTCAGTTGGTCAAGTTATTAGAAGTTGTTGTCCAGATGCTGAACTCCGAACACCATCAACAAAAGAGTTGGAGACTATAACAATATGTCACAACTTCTGGTGGTGACATAAAAGCTGTAAATAAAAGAAGGAGATATATCTCATGAAGGAGATAATTCAGGGAACCTCCATGAGGCACAAATCAGAGACGATTCAATAATAAGCTAATTTACAATCAATTCTAAAATACCTTCGATCTGAGTTTGACAGATCTCCACATTACCATGACTTGTATTCAATTACTGTAATACCGAAACAGATAAAAGGCCGTAGTGTTTTGCTATCTCCAGTTCATTCATTGGGATTACTAGCAGTTACAAAGTGTGTCAATTGAGCTAATACTAATGAAAGTGACAAAAAAAATAAAATTAGAGTCATCACCCTGCTGGGGAAAACCCGGCAAATCAGTAGTGAACAATATTGAGCAAAGTCTAAAATTCTACTGTCTAAAAGTGTCCAAAATGTGTCAATTGCTGGATCTTCCCCGAGACACAATAAGAGCATTAAGACATTTCATCCAAACAATAAGAATTCAAAAGATAAATATTTTTATTAAGATACGATTCTCTATTTATATCTATTTCTACAATTTATTCAACTACAGATAAAACAATCTCCTTAAATATGATATATTTTTCTTGAATATAGGAACAGTATTGAGTAAAATATAGAAGTATATATTTTAGTATGAAATGTTTAGTAAAATTATACATATATCACACAGAGTCCTATATAAATGATAATAAGACTTAAGAATGACACATACAAACACTTATCAATACATCTAGGAGAGACAGAGATAAAATGTTACTATTTTCTTGAAAGCAAAAATAAAGTGACTTTCAGTTTGAATCTACTCATATAAAATATGAAGTGAGATGATTAGTATGAGAGCATGAAGTGTAGTTCATCATGCTTTGAAAAACTTGGTCCCCATATCAAACTTAAATCATCCTCATTCAAATTCTTCTGATGTTAGGGATGGTCCAATTGTCAATCAGTTACTAGATTAAAACAATTAGGATGTTCAAGCAAGATATGTTCCAGTTCTTTATGTTCTTAGACACCATAAGTTGTAGTCAAGAAATGTTCTTTGAATGTATTACCTCAAATGTCAAGAAATGTTCTTTGGATGTAATACCTTAAATCTCAAGAAATGTTCTATGGATGTAGTACCTCAAATGTCAAGAAATGTTCATTGGATGTGGTACCTCAAATCTCAAGAAATGTTCTTTTGATGTAGTACCTTAAATGTCAAGAAATGTTCATTGGATGTAGGACCTCAAATGTCAAGAAATGTTCTTTGGATGTAGTGCCTCAAATGTCAAGAAATGTTCATTGGATGTAGTGCCTCAAATGTCAAGAAATGTTCATTGGATGTAGTGCCTCAAATGTCAAGAAATGTTCTATGGATGTAGGACCTCAAATGTCAAGAAATGTTCATTGGATGTGGTACCTCAAATCTCAAGAAATGTTCTTTTGATGTAATACCTCAAATGTCTTTTCAAGTCTCTGTCAGAGATTATCTCTGGTTAAAGTTACTATATTGTGATTATATTAATATTTAGATCCCATTTCAGTAGCTGCATTTGTTTGTCCATTCGGAGAGCTTTTTTCTTCTTTACACCTTCCCATCATTCCCGCAAAAATAGTTACCACAATAGCCACAACCAGGCTACTGGCTGAACCAGCCATCATCTGGTACCATCCCCCTAGTGATAGCGTAGAGTCGTAAAATGGTCTCACATGATAGTAGGTGGTTTCGATGTAGGTACCAAATATGGTATAGCTCAAAATGTTGCTGAAGGTTGATACCCACAAAGCAACTGATACTGCAGCAAAGTACTTTCCACTGAAGATGTTCGGGCGTTTACGCAATGAGCATGCACCGACTAGGAAAGCGATATAGCCAAGAACCAACAATATGCAAGCAACGATAGCCAGTGCTCCAGCTGCTTTGTACGAATGAGGAAAAGGCATGTTGGTCGTTGACTGGCATACTCGTTCATCTTCTCCAATTTGGTCACACATATAAAATATTCCCATTCTTTGCTCCTGTGCTGTCAACCCAGTGGTTGCATTTGTTGATCTTAGAGTTGCCCAATCGTTCATGAAGATACACCTGATAACAAACTGCAGGGCTACTGGAAAGTTCACATAAATGGCTCCCATTAATCCGAACCATGGTGAACTGGATCCTTTCATGATGTAAGATTGGTGTCTCAAATACAAACAATTGAAAATTAGCTTTCCTCTGTTATTTAGAGTTCACCAAGCAGTTCTTTGGATGATTTCCTGTATTCCTAAAACAGGTATAACTGTCCAATTCCTTGGTAAAGTGTTGTCCCTCAATATCCCGCTATACTTAACCACCTTTCTATGTTAGCTGAATGAATGGCCTTCAAACCAGTGCTTAAATATTAGATTCAATATTGATTCAGAGTCATGGGCTGTACATATTGGCTCTGTGCCAAGTTGTTATAATAACATGTACATTCCTCGAGTCAAGAATGATCAACAATTCAGGGCTGTTGTCTTTGAGAGTGGCTAAACTGGATGACAAGCAAAAAAAATTAAGTGTAAGGTTAAGAATGAATAGAACATAACACCGCGGATGTGAATGTGAATATATAGCGATATAGGGATGTGAATATATAGGGATATAGGGATGTGAATATATAGGTATATTGTTCAAAAGAGGGATTAATACCTGCCTGAACATTGGATCATTTCAACCTTATATACTTCCTCAACAATCAAATTCAAATCAATTTTGTACATGTGGTATTTAAAATAATCATGTTAGAAATGAAAACCTATTTTAATTTTTATTTAGCTTTTGACAGAAGAGATAAAGAAGAAGTACAAGTATGAAGTTGTCTGGGGATGTTGTATTTGTCAGCCTACTGGATGGTAAACTTAGCTGCCATCTATCAAAGACGAATAGAAAGAAAAACACAGAATTCTGACTTTTCTGCATGAACATTGCAAAGCATTGCAGCCATGTCTTACATGCCCAGTTTCCTGGACCATATATATATATACAAATGTTATTGACATCTTGTATCATTACATGATTACATTAGTCACAACTACTCACTAAAACTACTATCTACTACTAAACTTAACTAAATATAGAAAAGCTAAAACTACATATTTCATCATAATATGTATGATTTAATATGTTTACTGAAAGCATACAAGAGACACAACATATATCTAAGTGTGATGTACAAATTATGCTGATGGTTCTAAATTGTTTTTTAAAGGGACATTTCTGGCCAGACCATTTCTATCCTGATGTTGAAGCTATAATCATATATTTCCTTTTCATATCTAGCAAAACACGGGAAAATGTTTTGATATGGTCAATATTTATTATATACCACATACCACGTATTAGTACTACGGCCAAGCCCATTTGTGTCCAAAACACCTAGATTCAATTTGACTTTAGATTCTTGTTATCACTTAAAAATGTAGTGCTGAATTCCAGTAAGGGGCCATCTTTTAAGAGTTCACTCAGGAAGTGATGTCATCATTTTATACGTCTTAACCAGTATTTTACCATAGATAATTCAATTTTGAGATAAAGGAAATCTACCAAGTTTGCCATATACTGCAGGATTAGCTGTTTGAGTTTTGACACATGGAATAGATTTTATAAGGACAAATCATGGGCTTTCAATAGAATACTATTTTATACCCATGGACAAATGCATTGTTTCAATCGATTTCATCTGCTTCTTATATCATACCAAATCTCACACCCATAACATAGTATTGGACAGACTGATGAATCAAAAAGGTGAAGAGCAACAGCTGGTGGCACATCATTGAATTTCTTATACTGTTGCTTAATTTTTAATATTGCCTTTCATGATTGTAAAGGTAAATTAGTATTTAATATTGCTATCAGTAAGGATTACACCTAAATATTCATATTTATTTATATTTATTTCTTGATCATTAAAAGTAAAAGGGTCTAAAACTTAAAAATCAGTACCTTTGCCTTTAAGGTGTTATCTATCAGTCTATTAATTCTACAGAAGGAAAAGAAAGCAACCTATCTTTCCAGGTTGTCAATCATTCTATTCATGATGTCACATGGACTTCCCCACAGGCTATTCACCCTAAGGAGAAATTGTATTGGTAAATGAAAACAAAGAATGAAATTCTGCGCTAAAGACAGATGTGAAAAAGTCAAACCCCTCGCTTTCTAAACAGGTGCTCTAACACTGAGCTATTGAGCCAACTGGCTTTTCCACATCAACATTGCATATATAGCATTGCAGCCATGTCTTACATGCCCAGTTTCCTGGACCCAATAAAGTTACCTGTCTTTCCAGATTGTCAATCACTCTATTCATGATGTCACGTGGACTTTCCCACGGGTCATTCCCCCTCAAAGGAAATAGTATTAGTTAACAAAAACACAGAATGAAGTTCTGCGCTAAGGGCTGATGTGTAAAAGTCAGTGAGTCCACCCTAGTGGGGATCGAACCCACGACCCCTCGCTTGCCGGACGAGTGCTCTAACATTGAGCTATTGAGCCAACTGACTTTTCCACATCAACATTGCATATATAGCATTGCAGCCATATCTTATTATATATGCTCAGTTTCCTGACCCCTCTGGCAAAAGTTGCCTATGAGTCTGATGACCCTGTTAATTCATGGCATTTATGGCTGATAGGATGAGGGGCCTCCTCTGTCTCTATGACTAGCCTATCTGAAGAAAGCTTATCTTCTAATTCTCAAGAATGTTACAACTTTGCTGAATAAAGTATTACACCAGTTTGGCAGGAAACTAGAAGCATTTTGTCACTGATTGTAGCAAATTATTTTTTTAATGCTTAATAAATAGTGAATGATAGTCGCATTAAGTTCTACAAGTATGAGAATAGCATGACATTTTGATATTTCAGGGCAACTCGTTTGTAAAGTGATGGCGGTGAACAAAAGATTTGTAGACTTCTTTGAAAAACTAAGAAATATACATCACAAATCATATCTTTCAAACAGAAAAGCCTGCAGGTCAAATTCACCATGGTAGCATTAACATTTGTCTGTCATACAATCAATATTTGAAACACAACTATTATTCAAACTTATGATCAGACAATTGTATGATGTGTACTTCAAGGTAATAAAGTACCATCATAAGACAGTATTTACCTGCTTGAATGCTAATTGGAGTAGTAAACCAAATATTGTCTCTATTGGAAATGCATATACAGATTTAAGTACATTGACCATCTAATTCAAATCTTGCCAAACTTAAGAGAAATCTAAAAAGTTTTTCAAAAATCATAAAAATCTATCATAAATGGTTTATTTTCACTTTTTTATAGTCAAGCAGACTGTATTTACTAAAATGAAACTTAATTATCATTTTTTCTGCAAAAAACACATTTTTACCCAAAAACACATTTTGACACCTATATCATGTTGTTAAATCTCAGTATCAATTAAGGAACCCTTTTCATTTCAATTAGTAAACATGATTTGCCTGCTCATGAAAATATAAGATGTCATTATATTTGATGATTCTAGTCTACTAAGGCACCAGCATATAAAATTTGAACTAAATCTGTTGACTGGTCTTGAAGTTATCAAAGATTACATTTCTAACAAAAAATGGTGAGCATTTTGAATTGAGCAGCCACATGTTGAAAATTTGCCTATGTACAGCCTATACTAAATCTGTCAACCAGTATTTGAGTTATCACCTGGGCAAAAGAATGAATGGACAGATGGACTTATGGAAGGAAAACTTCTCTACATCCCTCAGAAACTATGTTCAGTGGGATAATTAGTCTTCAATACTGTATTACTTGTATTATCAATCCAAATGGTTTTAAAACTCCTTGGGATTTTAAAGCTTCCATTTTACAGACACACAGATCTACAAAAAGATATTTGTGAAAGAATGAAGACAATGTTGAACTGTGTATTAAATGTAATCATACTCACCAAATTGAGATGAATAAGCATGTTGGAATAAAAGCACCAGGAAATCTTCATTAAATTCAAAAGAACACGGGAATTGTTGCCAAATCTGAAAGAAATGATTAAAAAATGAAATGATACCAAGTAATTGATTATATACACATATGTATTGCATTCATATTTAATAAACCAAAATGTTTTATTGAACTTCATCTTCATAATATTACATATTAAACCTTTAAATTGAATTGAAATTTACAGAGTTAGTTATGCAAGTTCTCTACATATTTCTCATTTTTTGGACTTTTATCCCATTCCCAAAGTATATACATTTGTGGGCTTACATTGGTCCTGATTTATTGACCTTACAAAACAATTAATTTCTAATAACGTTGACACTACAAAACAATTAATTTCTAATTACCTGCCATACACAGTCAAGGAATAGTAAAAATACAGGTGCCTCCTGTCTATGTTTGGAGATAGCAAATGCAGATTTAGCACACCTATCAGCAAATGGATGACCTGCTTGTAACCATTCTCTTTCCACTAAAGCTTCAAACCTAGAATGAATATATATATGACCTTCCATTACACTTTAAACATATTTAAAGATTAGAAACAATATAGAAGAAAGAATAGCATTGATAGGATCCTAAATTTCAATTTTCTTCATTGTGTATTTTTTTCGGTATAATGTGAAAAACAATTGTGACACTATTGCATAAGACACTCAATGATACAAAATTGTAGGACATTACCAATCCAGAAGATGAAGCCAAAAGGAAAAAAGGCATTAACATTGACAAAATGTCACCCACCTAGTTGGCCACAATATTATTAGTTTGATAATAAGTCAGATTTGAATTTCTGAGAACTTGTAGATGATTTTGAAAAAATGGTCAATTTGAAGCAAGTTGAAAAAAGACCTTTTTGATCATCAGAACATCATTGAAGGTCAAATCTTTTTTGGCCTTGAAAATTTCATTGAAGGACAAATCTATAGTCAGAGTTGAAGTTTTGAGAAATTGTAGATGATTTTGAAAAAAATGGTCAATTTAAAGCAAGTCGAAAAAATACCTTTTTGACCTTTTTGGACCTTGAGAAGGTCTTCAAAGGTCAAATCTCATATTATATATCTTTTTACATTGAAGGTCATATCTTAAATAATAAAAAGTCAGATTTGAACTTCTGAGAACTTGTAGATGATTTTTAAAAAATATTGAAATCAGTCTAAACAGTATTTGTTAAGTTATTTGAAGTTCTAAGAATATGTTACAGATGCCAATCACCAAATGCTGATCGCTAACCACCACCTAACGATCGCTGCCACAAAAAACGGAAACCATAACAAAATGTCACCACTTTATGGTCATCACTTTTTGGTGGTGACATAATAGACTGGCATAGGTTTATTATTAATACCAATAAGAGGGAAAGTGATACATACCCCCTGACTGTTCTACAGTCTGCGTCTAACACTATTTGTGCTAAGGAGCATACTTGGAGAGTTGAGTCCGTTCCGTCAGACCCATGGACCAAAACAGATGCACCTACATAAGGATTAATATATAGTACCCCACACAAGTTTTTGATAATAACTTTGACCCGTAATTTGAACACTCTATCCTTTACTATTTGTTATAAAATTTAGCACACGTAAACTAGAGGAAATTTCCAACATTGGAAATTTTTTGTTTTTATTTTACTTCAATAACAATAAAATTACAAGTAATCAAATGAAGGGTGTCATTAATGGGTTTTCACCAAATTGACGTCATAAAATCATTCTATGAATTGTTCATTTTAACCATTTTATTGACTTTAATCTCATTATCTTATCAATATTCATCTTATTGAATTTCATCTCAAAGCAGTCCTATGAATAGTTTATTACAAATCCTACATTTGGAGATTGTATACTTGTCCTAGATCTATACCGTCCGATTGCAATTGTCTGGCTATGGTCAAGGTTGTATGATTTACAGTTTCTTCGGCCAGTTGAAAATGTACTTGTTATGGGCCGATCTTTTTCTTTTGGATAATACTGTCTTAGCGACTCTACTGCCATGCGTCCGCTTGTAGAATTCTCTTCCAGTCACATTTTAAAAAAAGGCTTTGTACATTGAAGGATCTCAGCTAACGCATCATTTAAGGCCATCACACACTCCTCAAAGTTGCGTGGCCCAACTACCCCATGCCCATACTCATCTCTTGGATTTCCTGGCGGTTTCCACCTACATACTCTTTGTTGAACACTATTGTTAAATACTTCACTTGGATTCAACAAATGGCCCTTTGGGGGTAGCATTACAACATTTATTCCAGTATTCAGTAACTTAGCCTTAATTTCAGGGTTATAGTGCTGCTTCATAGGGCTTTTTGATCGGCCTGATCGACCCAATCTATCCCAAACGAGGGTAGAGCCTCGAGGAAGGAACAATTCATAGAATGATTTTATGACGTCAATTTGGTGAAAACCCATTAATGACACCCTTGATCTGATTACTTGTAATTCTATTGTTATTGAAGTAAAATAAAAACAAAAAATTTCCAATGTTGGAAATTTCCTCTAGTTTATGTGTGCTAAATTTTATAACAAATAGTCAAGGATAGAGTGTTCAAATCACGGGTCAAAGTTATTATCAAAAACTTGTGTGGGGTACTTTATAATGGTTGTGACAAGTTAATGATTTTTTTGCTTACAGGGTAGGCCAGTAAAAAGGCTACTCTAAATTATATTTATAATTTTGGAAATATATTAATCATAAATTATACAAATATTTGATTCTATTGACGTGAATACCTTTGCATCTTTCACAAATAATATTCCACCAAGCCAGAAGGGTCGAATATCACTTGCTTCACTCACATTAATTAAATAACAAACTACTGATGTCGAATTAATCATAACAATGTACTCCCAGGGATATATGAAAGTTAAATTACACTGGACTAAGTCATGACTGGTGAATATCATTTGATATTCAATGGAAGTCATGTGACTTCTGTTGAATAGCGCTTGTTATTTTTTAGTCACATGTAGGACATGTACCAGTCAGAGAGTGAGGTATATGACAGTGATATAACAATATATTATATTGAATACAGATGATACAAAATTAATAAATAATGACTGTTATTTTGGCAAAAGGAGGCAGCATTTAGAGACCCTTCTCTCTCAAGCGTTCTATATGGCACCTTCAAGTACATTAAATATACAATGTAAGTTTCTAAAAGAACTTACTATCTTTGTCCACACACTGAGCGACAACACATGCACAGGTTATGACATCTTTGACATGGCTCAGCCAGTTGCTTGATTCCAGTTTAGAAAGCCATTTTTCAACTCCTGCTGCTTTATCAGAACATGCTGTAAACACAGGAAGCCAGATAGTTTTAAAATAGTTGTTTTGGAGGAACACGCATGCAACACACATATGATCCAAACACCACTGGGAGCAGCCAAAAGTGTTCGGATTAGCAGCTGTTATGTATAGAGGTGTTTGGATAAGTATTCTATAGAGAGGTGTTTGGATAAATATTATATATTTTGATGAGTATTCTATAGAGAGGTGTTTTGATGAGTATTCTATAGAGAGGTGTTTTGGTGAGTATTCTATAGAGAGGTGTTTGGATAAGTATTCTTTTGAGAGGTGTTTGGATAAGTATTCTATAGAGAGGTGTTTGGATAAGTATTCTATAGAGAGGTGTTTGGATAAGTATTCTATAGAGAGGTGTTTTGATGAGTATTCTATAGAGAAGTGTTTTGATGAGTATTCTATAGAGAGGTGTTTGGATAAATATTCTATAGAGAGGTGTTTGGATAAGTATTCTTTAGAGAGGTGTTTGGATAAGTATTCTTTAGAGAGGTGTTTGGATAAGTATTCTATGGAGAGGTGATTGGATAAGAATTCTATAGAGAGGTGTTTGGATAAGTATTCTATAGAGAGGTGTTTGGATAGGTATTCCATAGAGAGGTGTTTGGATAAGTATTCTATTGAGAGGTGTTTGGATGAGTATTCTAATGAGAGGTGTTTGGAGAGAGAGGTGTTGGGATAAGAATTCTATAGAGAGGTGTTCGGATAAGTATTCTATCGAGAGGTGTTTGGATAAGTATTCTATAGAGAGGTGTTTGGATAAGTATTCTATTGAGAGGTGTTTGGATAAGTATTCTTTAGAGAGGTGTTTGGATAAGTATTCTTTAGAGAGGTGTTTGGATAAGTATTCTTTAGAGATGTATTTTGATAAGTATTCTATAGAGAGGTGTTTGGATAAGTATTCTTTAGAGAAGTGTTTGGATAAGTATTCTATGGAGAGGTGTTTGGATAAGTATTCTATAGAGAGGTGTTTGGATAAGTATTCTATAGAGAGGTGTTTGGATAAGTATTCTTTAGAGAGGTGTTTGGATAAGTATTCTATAGAGAGGTGTTTGGATAAGTATTCTATTGAGAGGTGTTTGGATAAGTATTCTTTAGAGAGGTGTTTGGATAAGTATTCTTTAGAGAGGTGTTTGGATAAGTATTCTTTAGAGATGTATTTTGATAAGTATTCTATAGAGAGGTGTTTGGATAAGTATTCTTTAGAGAAGTGTTTGAATAAGTATTCTATGGAGAGGTGTTTGGATAAGTATTCTATAGAGAGGTGTTTGGATAAGTATTCTATAGAGAGGTGTTTGGATAAGTATTCTTTAGAGAGGCGTTTGGATAAGTATTCTATGGAGAGGTGTTTGGATAAGTATTCTATGGAGAGGTGTTTGGATAAGTATTCTTTAGAGAGGTGTTTGGATAAGTATTCTAAAGAGAGGTGTTTGGATAAGTATTCTTTAGAGAGGTGTTTTGATAAGTATTCTTTAGAGAGGTGTTTTGATAAGTATTCTATAGAGAGGTTTTTGGATAAGTATTCTATAGAGAGGTGTTTGGATAAGTATTCTTTAGAGAGGTGTTTGGATAAGTATTCTATAGAGAGGTGTTTGGATAAGTATTCTTTAGAGAGGCGTTTGGATAAGTATTCTATAGAGAGGTGTTTGGATAAGTATTCTTTAGAGAGGCGTTTGGATAAGTATTCTATAGAGAGGTGTTTGAATAAATATTCTTTAGAGAGGTGTTTGGATAAGTATTCTAAAGAGAGGTGTTTGGATAAGTATTCTTTAGAGAGGTGTTTGGATAAGTATTCTTTAGAGAGGTGTTTGGATAAGTATTCTTTAGAGATGTATTTTGATAAGTATTCTATTCTATAGAGAGGTGTTTGGATAAGTATTCTTTAGAGAAGTGTTTGGATAAGTATTCTATGGAGAGGTGTTTGGATAAGTATTCTATAGAGAGGTGTTTGGATAAGTATTCTATAGAGAGGTGTTTGGATAAGTATTCTTTAGAGAGGTGTTTGGATAAGTATTCTATAGAGAGGTGTTTGGATAAGTATTCTATTGAGAGGTGTTTGGATAAGTATTCTTTAGAGAGGTGTTTGGATAAGTATTCTTTAGAGAGGTGTTTGGATAAGTATTCTTTAGAGATGTATTTTGATAAGTATTCTATAGAGAGGTGTTTGGATAAGTATTCTTTAGAGAAGTGTTTGGATAAGTATTCTATGGAGAGGTGTTTGGATAAGTATTCTATAGAGAGGTGTTTGGATAAGTATTCTATAGAGAGGTGTTTGGATAAGTATTCTTTAGAGAGGCGTTTGGATAAGTATTCTATGGAGAGGTGTTTGGATAAGTATTCTATGGAGAGGTGTTTGGATAAGTATTCTTTAGAGAGGTGTTTGGATAAGTATTCTAAAGAGAGGTGTTTGGATAAGTATTCTTTAGAGAGGTGTTTTGATAAGTATTCTTTAGAGAGGTGTTTTGATAAGTATTCTATAGAGAGGTTTTTGGATAAGTATTCTATAGAGAGGTGTTTGGATAAGTATTCTTTAGAGAGGTGTTTGGATAAGTATTCTATAGAGAGGTGTTTGGATAAGTATTCTTTAGAGAGGTGTTTGGATAAGTATTCTATAGAGAGGTGTTTGGATAAGTATTCTTTAGAGAGGCGTTTGGATAAGTATTCTATAGAGAGGTGTTTGAATAAATATTCTTTAGAGAGGTGTTTGGATAAGTATTCTAAAGAGAGGTGTTTGGATAAGTATTCTTTAGAGAGGTGTTTTGATAAGTATTCTATAGAGAGGTGTTTGGATAAGTATTCTAAAGAGAGGTGTTTGGATAAGTATTCTTCAGAGAGGTGTTTTGATAAGTATTCTATAGAGAGGTTTTTGGATAAGTATTCTATAGAGAGGTGTTTGGATAAGTATTCTTTAGAGAGGTGTTTGGATAAGTATTCTATAGAGAGGTGTTTGGATAAGTATTCTTTAGAGAGGCGTTTGGATAAGTATTCTATAGAGAGGTGTTTGGATAAATATTCTTTAGAGAGGTGTTTGGATAAGTATTCTAAAAAGAGGTGTTTGGATAAGTATTCTTTAGAGAGGTGTTTTGATAAGTATTCTATAGAGAGGTGTTTGGATAAGTATTCTAAAGAGAGGTGTTTGGATAAGTATTCTTCAGAGAAGTGTTTTGATAAGTATTCTATAGAGAGGTTTTTGGATAAGTATTCTATAGAGAGGTGTTTGGATAAGTATTCTTTAGAGAGGTGTTTGGATAAGTATTCTATAGAGAGGTGTTTGGATAAGTATTCTTTAGAGAGGCGTTTGGATAAGTATTCTATAGACAGGTGTTTGGATAAATATTCTTTAGAGAGGTGTTTGGATAAGTATTCTTTAGAGAGGTGTTTGGATAAGTATTCTTTAGAGAGGTGTTTGGATAAGTATTCTATAGAGAGGTGTTTGGATAAGTATTCTATAGAGAGGTGTTTGGATAAGTATTCTTTAGAGAGGTGTTTGGATAAGTATTCTTTAGAGAGGTGTTTGGATAAGTATTCTATAGAGAGGTGTTTGGATAAGTATTCTTTAGAGAGGTGTTTGGATAAGTATTCTATAGAGAGGTGTTTGGATAAATATTCTTTAGAGAGGTGTTTGGATAAATATTCTTTAGAGAGGTGTTTGGATAAGTATTCTTTAGAGAGGTGTTTGGATAAGTATTCTATAGAGAGGTGTTTGGATAAGTATTCTTTAGAGAGGCGTTTGGATAAGTATTCTATAGAGAGGTGTTTGGATAAGTATTCTTTAGAGAGGCGTTTGGATAAGTATTCTATAGAGAGGTGTTTGAATAAGTATTCTATAGAGAGGTGTTTGGATAAGTATTCTATAGAGAGGTGTTTGGATAAGTATTCTTAAGAGAGGTGTTTGGATAAGTATTCTATAGAGAGGTGTTTGGATAAGTATTCTTTAGAGAGGCGTTTGGATAAGTATTCTATGGAGAGGTGTTTGGATAAGTATTCTATGGAGAGGTGTTTGGATAAGTATTCTTTAGAGAGGTGTTTGGATAAGTATTCTTTAGAGAGGTGTTTGGATAAGTATTCTTTAGAGAGGTGTTTGGATAAGTATTCTATAGAGAGGTGTTTGGATAAGTATTCTTTAGAGAGGTGTTTGGATAAGTATTCTATAGAGAGGTGTTTGGATAAGTATTCTTTAGAGAGGCGTTTGGATAAGTATTCTATGGAGAGGTGTTTGGATAAGTATTCTATAGAGAGGTGTTTGGATAAGTATTCTTTAGAGAGGCGTTTGGATAAGTATTCTTTAGAGAGGTGTTTGGATAAGTATTCTTTAGAGAGGTGTTTGGATAAGTATTCTATTGAGAGGTGTTTGGATAAGTATTCTATAGAGAGGTGTTTTGATAAGTAATCTTTAGAGAGGTGTTTGGATAAGTATTCTATAGAGAGGTGTTTGGATAAATATTCTTTAGAGAGGTGTTTGGATAAGTATTCTATAGAGAGGTGTTTGGATAAATATTCTTTAGAGAGGTGTCTTGACAAGTATTCTATAGAGAGGTGTTTGGATAAGTATTCTATAGAGAGGTGTTTGGATAAGTATTCTTTAGAGAGGTGTTTTGATAAACAGATTTCACTGCACTGGTTCCTACTGATTATTCCTCAAATTCAAAGCAAATGTGTTTATGAATGACATCCATGTGGGAATGACTCTTAATGTACAACAAATGGTAATATCTGAAAAAGGTGTAATATGTATTCGCTAGAAAATATTGCAACTCGCAGTGAAGTAACATTATACAGGGTGTTCAAAAAAACGCAACCCAAAGAAATCGCTATATCTTGAAAAAAACTGGTTTAATTATGTTCATATTTTCAGGAAATAAAGAAGAGACTGTGTCTGTACAGCTCCTGTAAATGGTAAGTTGTAAAACATGATGCCTTGGACACCTGCTCAAAAGACAGTTGTCCTAGGAAAATATGAAAAACGCAGTCAGGGGTGACTGCAACCGGAAAAAATTAAATCACTTCCTAACCATAGTGTTTTGGCTCTTCAAATTTGACACAAATCATCTTCATTTACTGTATGGTAATTCTGAAGATCGAAATCAAAATCACTTCAGGGACTTTACAGTCATGGTCAAAATGCTTTCAAATCCCAGTCAAACCCCCTGGTTCGGAGAGACTTAAGAAGGCATTTTGACCATGACTGTAAAGTCCCTGGAGTGATTTTGATGAAACTCCACAAATTCACCACACATTGAATGAGGATAATATGTGCCATGTCTGAAGTGCCAAAACACCATGGTTAGAAAGTTATTTTGTTTTATTGCTGTGACAGTCACCTCTGACTGCGTTTTCATATTTTCCAAGTACAACTGTCATTTGAGCAGGTGTCCAAGGCATCATGTTTTACAACTTACTGACAACAGGGGCTATACATACAGTCTCTTCTTTCTTTTCCTGAAAAATGAACATAATTGATTTAGTATTTTCCAAGATAAAGTGATTTTCCATTCACATTTTTGGTATTTTGCTAGTACAACTGTCTTTTGAGCAAGTGTCCAAGACATCATGTTTTACAACTTAGTAACAACAGGGGCTATACATACACAGTCTCTTCTTTCTTTCCTGAAAATATGAACATAATTGGATTATTATTTTCCAAGATATAGCGATTTCTTTGGTTGCGTTTTTTTCTAACACCCTGTATAATCTGTTTTATGAAGATTCTAGCGAACATGTTGTTATTTGGTGTTAGTTTGAGATGGTTATCATGCAATAAAGCTATTAAAGCACCAGGGTCCAGGATAGAATATTGATATTATGAATGATAACCCTCATTTGAAAGATTGGGTAAACAAATAAGATCAATAGTTGAGTCAAAAGTCAACCCTCACTGGATAGTTGGTGGCTATGTACTTCTCAGCAGTTGGCAATAAAATCTATTCAAATGCTAATTGGATAATCATTATTTCAGCTGATGGGTCCGATATTTGGTATATAACAAATGCACACGCAGTTTAGACATGAATATTTCATAACAATTATAGTTTAGATTGGTACTTCAATTAAGTGCTCTGAGAATTAAACAGAGATCAACAATCAGGAGACCAGTAAAAGGTTTGCTATTGTCATTGCATATGTGAAGTGACACCATAACGATTTTCTCTCTTGTGAATAGGTAATCATTCATACACATGAGTTGAGCAATTTTGCTATCAATTGAACTATTTCAAAGACTGAACTGATAAAACGCAAAACGTATCAAAGACTGAAAGTTCTAGGGATCGATATCATGGAGAATTCAACAAACCTTACGGAAATTGAATATCAAGAAAGTCAGGACAACACCAGAAAGCAAAAATTAGTTGTGCTGAGTCTCAAGTTCATTCTAGCTTTATGGATATGTTTGGGAAACACTCTAGTTATTATCGCATATTCAAAGTTTAAGTCGCTGCGCTCCGTTACTAATTACTGGATTCTACATTTAGCAGTCGCTGACCTTTTCATGGGGCTCTCAATGTTTATAGAGTTTGGTTCATTTTTCCAAAGAACTGTTTTATCTGGTTGGTCAATGTACATTTACTGTGCATTCCTGTCATTGACAATAAACCTGTCAATCTTTATGACAATTTCCTTATTGGTTGCTGTTACTGTAGACAGATATATCGCCATCTTTTGGCCACTGAGGTATCAAACGCTGATCACGATGAAAAAAGCTCACAAAGGAATAACAATTTTATGGAGTTCAAACATTATAGTTATACTGACTGCAGCTATACATTGGCGATTAGAAACTAAAGAAGAAATATACTGTCAAATTGTTCCACCAATCATTGAATATTCCTACATTCCTGGGTTTCTAGCAGCAGCTGTGATAATTGTAACTCTTTATGTTCACATTTTCACAGCAGTATACAATCAAGCTAAAAAATTACAACCACAAATCGAAACGAGCAAACGGGATAAAAATATCAAGAAGAATCTTATTATTCTTAAAACTGCATTTTTCGTGATTGGAATTTTCTTAATAAGCTGGGTTCCAAGTATAGTGACCTATGGCTGCATGATATATGGTGGGCAGACTCATCTAGAAACAGTTTTCCTGTACATTGAATTATTAGCATACGGAAACTCTGGAATTAACCCAATTATATATGCATGGAGACTCAAAGAATTTCGCAGAGCATTCTGTGCACTTTTGCACATCAAACATCATGTGACTCTAGAATAATATATAAAATCGCAATCAATAAAACAAATAAATATCCTTAAAATATCTAATAAAGAAATATAGACTGAAGAGCAGCTATTATATTGAGGAATAAATATCACAGGGCTAGGGACAAACATTTTCTGTACCTGAATGATCGAAGGGAGTGAGGGTTTCGAAAAGCTTTTGTGCCTAGCCATACGGATTTTATTACATGATATAATACCTGACCTGAGGTCTATATTATGATTTGGTTAAGCTCACATCAGTTTAAAGTAGAAACAAGAAGACATACTAAACCCAAATCAAAACCTGTAAATGAAAGATTATGTAATATATGTAAATGTGTAGAAGATGAATTTCACTTTATCATAGATTGTACAAAGCATTCGCAACAAGGCAAATATTTATCCGCATAATTTCTAAAACATTACCAAAATTTGATTTGAAAGTTACAAATATAATTTCTAGTAACAATACCATCATACAACTACCCTTTGCATTTGTTCGACTTCACTTCTTAAAAGAGAGCTCTAGACTCTAGACGCACGCAGGGTATCATACAACGGCATCTTGCTGGTAAAATATAAATATTTATTTATAAATTTTTGTACATTACCATGTAAATGTAGAAGTTGTATGTTTGTTAGTGGTTATGTAATCATGTAATGTAATCATGTAATGTAATTATGTAATTATACAATATGTCAATAAAAGTTATATATAGATGCAAAATCAAAGCATGATATATTTGAAGTGAAGAAGGAAGTGGGTGTACACGAAAATTTTCAAAAGTAGAATCCCACTTAAAAAATCCTGGCTACAGGCCTATCCTGGGATGTAATTGAAATGCCTCTATATTTTAGAATTCCTTTAAACATATTCTTTACAAACTCTGTGAATTGGCAATCATTGGTAACCATGGAGAATATAGTGTCTGGTGTTCCCACCATGCAGATGTGCCCAAGTGTTGTTACAAAGCCAATTAAAGTAGGCATCATTTCAAAACCTGATCAATGCAGCGAAAACATGCCTAGTTACCAATTTAATTCCAATGCAATTAAAACCTTTTAGCAAAGTAATTAGTAATTTTTTTATAAAATGTTAAAGATAGAGACCTGCCATGGGGATATCAGTGCCACAAAACATGTACAAAATATAATATAGCTTATTAGTTGTACAATAACACAATCTACAAATCAATCAAATTCAATTACCCACTATTGATATGAAAACTGGTCTATTGAACTATGTCAAACTCATTTCGACAAGGTTTTGGTTAGTTTGGTTTGGTCTATACCTTTAAGTTACTTTTAGGAGATGCCTTTTCCTATTGTTATTTGTAAAAGTATTGCAAATATTAGCTAACACTTATCAGGCAGTCATTTAAATGAAATTCATATAAGTGAAAGGGTCTCAGATTTTATCCATACCAAAAACTGATATCTGTGGATGTCATATCAAAATGGAAGAAAATATGAGCATCATTTCAAACAGTTCAAGTATTTCAAATCTTGGTTTTGATTATCTTGATCAGATACATTTGACTTTACTCTTCTTATTGTTTATATGGATATGCAGTGGAAATGCTCTGGTGATTACGGCATATCACAGATTCAAAACATTACAATCCAGCGCAAATTATTGGATTTTCAACTTAGCAGTTGCAGACTTTTCATTGGGTCTATCACTTCTATTGCAAGGATTATCCTTGATTTTGGAAAAGACAAAATATAATTCAACCATGTGGCCAAGATGGGTATACTACACAAACTGTGTTGGAATGATTTTGATCTTGTATGTTTCGACTTGTATGACGGTAACATTGCTATTGGCTATCTCAGTTGACAGGTATATTGCCATTTATTGGCCATTAAGATATCCAACTCTTGTGACATTAAAAAAATATCATATCGTGGCTTGCTGTTTGTGGGTTACATTGTCTTGCATCACTTCATATGTTGCAATTGATTGGTGTCTCAAACATTTACATTTATACAATTCAAAATGTGAATATACTCCAAAATCTCTCTATAACCCTTTTTTTCGCTTGTTTCCCTTTCTGGGGACTTGGAATTATCTTAATATACACCAGAATCTTCATCACAGTCCATAAACAATCACAGAAAGTGGCCCCGATTAATGGTCTGCAACATGGAGAACAAACATTTTTACGACGAAACATCGTCATCATCAAAACAGCTGTTATTGTCCTTGGAATATTCTTCACATGCTGGATTCCAATATTTGTAATTGCAATCATCAAAACCAAAGTGGCAAACCGTTACGAAGTTACAACACGGGTCTTTACATTGTTGGCTTATGCAAACTCAGGATGTAATCCTGTCATATATGCATGGAGATTGAAGGAGTTCCGCCGTGCATTTTGCAAGATATTACACATCAAAGACAAAACAGAAGAGAACCTTTTATGAAAAACAAGACATTGATGGAATAAAACAAACAACAAACAAAGGTATTGATGAAATAGAACAAACAACACACAAAGAGACAATAAACCGCCTTTCATGAAGAGTTGAATGAACTATACAAAAACAATATACCTTGATAAGCTAGAACGTTTGCAACAACTTTGCCACATCCTTGATGAAAGAATATGAGATATTGGCCAAGGAAAATATCATATTTATTGAGTGTGACAGGCTAGCACAGTACCAGATTTTCTCCAGGAAAGATTCATATTCCATCACGACCATCAATAACCTATTTATTCTATAATATGTTCCCCCGAAACTTATTCATTTTCAAGTTTGATTTGTCATCAGCCAATGACGATGACATAGAACAATGTAATTTGATTCAGCATATAACATTTCAACTTCATGAACAAGTTTTAAAATGTAACGAAAAAATCAAGAGAATCAGAGCATCTTATTTGGGATCTTGATTATCAATTCTATCCCTGTTTATTTCCCAGGGAAAATATATTACTATGGGATGAAGTGATTTATTTACTCATTAACATCTTGACTATCCAGAGACATGAGATTCCTCGTCACCTAAGAAATGATAGTGAAACCTGGGGTGACGAGATATTAGTAATCTGTCACAAATTATTTCACTAAAATTGCTCTAATTTGAACAAATCTTTCTCTACAAGGATGTTTTTAGCAAAGAGATTATCTACCATTTGAATCATATGCCCTTTGCTTGCACTTTCATAGTTTATATTCCAAATATAAGTTTTATTCTATTTTCTATTTATTTACTTTATTTTACTTGTATTTGCTACCAATTTCTCTTCAGTTAATCAACAAGAAACAAAGATCAAATTTTAACTTGTAGCGCCAAGTTTATTTATACAAAGAATACATTATAACAAGTGCACATGTGCTTGTGGCTGGGCATCAGCATTATCAGCCACGTTATATGATGAAAATCATTTAACAGTATTCAATCAGAGTTACAGTGGTGGGGGTAACCTAGACATTTTTACATTGCTCAAAAAGATGGCACTACATTTGAGGATATTTATGTTTACAGCTTTAGGTAGTCTTTTATCACCATTGAGGATAAGGGAGAGTTTGACTCGTTGTGATCTATATTTGGTAGAATATTCTAAGTTCATATTCTTTAATTCATTGACAAGTTCTGTCCAAAATGTTGATCTTAGACTACAGTGAAAAATTATGTGATTGGTTGTTTCCCATCCACTCCACATTGACAGATGGGGAAATTTACATTAGTGAAAGTATGAGCGTAGAGGTGGCCCTTAAAAATGAGATCACAGCGCACTCTATTGAAAATTATTTCTTGTTTTCTTGAAACGGAGAGGTCTGATGAATTTGTAACATTGTCATTGAATAGATCTATTTTAAGCCTGGATTTGAATATTCTAAGGGTAGGCGAATTTCTTATTTCAGGTGAAAGCTTATTCAATTCAGTAAGTGTTTTATTAGAAAATGAGGATTTATTTGGAATTGTGTAGCTCACTTGATTTCTTAGACCATAAGAATGATTTCTTTTAAGAGGCTCAAACATGTTAAGAATATAAGAGGGCAGCATACATGAAAGTACTTCTGTGATATTGACGCCTCTTTGTTAATGTTGGCCAATTTTAATTATTCCACACTTTAATTGTCAAAGTCCCATATAGAGTGCCTGAACAAATGCAAGTGGCTTTTAAGTTAAGTGGATCTAATAACTGTAATTTTGTTGTATTTGCACACCTATATAAAATATCACCATAGTCAAAAAGTGGCAGGATAAAAGATTTAAAATTGTTTTGAGATGTTTTCCATTTATTTTCTGACACATATAAGTTTGTCTTAGGTCAAAAGTGAGATTTCTGTCTAGGATTAGCCTAAGTGCTTATGACTGTCAACTCTTTGTATTATATTAAAGTGATCTTACAGTAGCAAGTGTTAACTTTAATACATTTAATTCAAGCATATCTATAAAGGCATGCATTGTAGTGGTCCATTAAAGTCCCGTCTAAAGTTTGAAAATATTTTTTTATCATTCATTTACTATTTGTCAGGACTTAAAAAGTGATTTTAGAGATTTTTGAACAAAAAATTTTTTTTGAAAAAAATGTTGTGAGCATTTCATTTCTCAAATATTCAAATTTCCCGCCATTTTTCAAAAAAAGTTGAAATTTCTTAATCATCAAATATTTCTTAATGCATTTCAAAAAAGATTATCTTTTTAACACCAATGCTAAGGTTGAACAAAGGACACACTATTTCAATAATAAAATGCCATATTTAATGGGCCACTTCAATGTTTTAGCATATCAAAAATATTTTGAAACATTAGTGATGTCACTAAGGTACCAAAAACTTTTTGAAAAAAATTGAAATTTTTTTTTTCGATGTCAATCTTTTATAAATATGTTAGACTTTCATAAAAAACCAATGTTGATTGTCTAACCAGGTTAAAAGGAAGAATAAATTATGTTTTAGATATCATTGTACCATTGGTTTCTATGAGAACTAAAATTTTGAAATGCATTTTTCTCAGAACCATTTTCATGCACTGATAAGTTCATTTCTCGCTTATTTATGAACCGATTTTCTTAATTTTTTCGGCAAAAAACACGGGAGGATGAATGCTATGCATTGGTATGAATTGTGGCTAAATTAGAAGATATGAGTGACCTCTAAAGGTTGGTTTTAAATAAATTCACAAATTTTGGAACAAAAAGTCTATCAAAAACCACTTTTTGAAATTTAAAAAAAAAGTTTCACATATCACACTTTGATAACATTGGGTAAGACTACAATATAAGCCAAAGTGGTTTAAACTTTATATGGGGCGTTTAATACACATTGAAAAGAACTACTTAACTGCTTGGCTTTGTTATGGCTGTGTTCATGGCCTGACTATTAACTTTACTATTTGCACATAGCAACATTCAAACATGACCAAATGGTATTTTGTCAGTGAATACACATTTATACAATGAATTCTAACTTTTTAAATGAGATTACCAAGATACCAATACAAATATGTAAGCCCAATTGTGTCAAAGGAAAAAAGTACAGTATTACAATAAAGTGACATAACGAAACACTGTCAGACATAAAAAAGAGGACTATTTGTTCAAAGTATTTTTATGGTATTATAAGTGAAACTTCTCCTAGAAGAGACAAAACTAATGATGAAAAACATAAAATAAATGCACCAGAGAAAAGGAGATACATGCTCATACATAAATGAGATACTACCTAGAGCATTGCAATGATATATGATGAAAGAACAGAATAAAATGGATGGTAAAAGTATTCAAGAAAGAGTTAAAGAATTTATTGAAACTACTTCAGCACATGGATGTGGACAGATTCCTACAGCAAAATTTAAGTTAACAAAATTTCTTTGGGGACTCACATTTTTAAGTTTCTTTACATTTGCTACAGTTAGCTCAGGAATATTGATAGCTAAATATTTTACTTATCCAACAAAGGATGTTGTTTCCATTGAGTTCGGAAATATAGAGTTTCCTGCAGTGACATTCTGTAGCTTACAGCCTATAACCATCACAAGTTTGATTGACTTTCGGCAAAATCCACCACCCCCAGGACATTCTGTCTCCAATATGATTTACGTTATGCAGAACATCAGAAACATAATTATTGACAGAGATATTGGAGGACTTGGACAATGGTACTTAAAACATTTTGATAGATTTCTATCAAATCAATTCATTTTTGAAAATGGGGAAGAAAATGACATGGAGCAATTTATTCATGATTTGAGAAGTTTTAAACTTGGTTGTAAATTCCAGGGTCAGGTCTGCAATGGTACATCCTTTGTTCTACATAAAGATGGTGGATTTCATAATTGTTTTACCTTCAATGGTGCTGGATCAGATTTATCAAATGTGAACATTGTCAGGACTGATCCAGCCTCGGGCCTCAGTCTTGTCCTATTCATGGATGCCTACGCTAAGGGCAAAAGCGTGTCAGCATATACTATATACAACCCAGATGATCCCACAAGCGGACAAACTGGCGTAAGAGCAGTCATACACAGCCCAAGAACCAGACCAATGCCATTTGATAAAGGCTTTGACATCCCAACTGGCCTTTCAACATCTGTTGCACTTAAAGAAACAAAAAGGGAGCTAATGACTCAACCACACAATAATTGCACAAACGATGAATTTAACCAAGGTACAAATTATAGCTATTCCGTAGACACATGTTACGAACAATGCCAACAGGATCTACTAATCGAGGAATGTGGTTGTAAAAGTTCATTGTTAATACCCCCATCTTTTGACAAATCTGATCTTGAATATTGTGGTAAAGTCAATATCACAAACATGATGTTAATGATGAACCAAAATGATGACATAACTCAAAGCATTGCAGAGAAAGAACTTGAGAATCTTGATTGTGAGGAAGGAGTCATGTATTCATTTGGAAATCTTGCGATTCTGGAGCAATGTGCATGTAAGGATCATTGTCAGACTATCAACTATGTAAAGACAATTTCCCAAGCAGTTTGGCCAAATGATAATGCTCAAGAAGCATTTTATGACACCTATGTGAACAGAACTGATCAAACACTACGTCCAAACAAGCTTTTTAAAGGATATAACACAAGTGAAATCATTAACAATGATATGATACATAAAAATTTCCTCAGACTGAATATCTATTTTGAGAGTCTTTACGTGGAAACAACCTCTGAAGTTGAAGATTACCCAGCTGGGACATTAATATCAGAAATCGGGGGAAATATGGGGTTTTACGTTGGTATTTCTATAATCACATTAATGGAAATATTTTGCATAACTGGAGCCATTATCCTTTATTGTTTCAAGGACTGGCTCATAAAATGTGGGCATATGAATAAGACCAAGGTGTCTCATGTAAATGTCAAGCCAGTTGAGCTTGATGGTGACTCTACAGAAAAGATTAAAGACAAGTATTAAGATGCCAGTAGAATTACAACCACAGTTGCTTATTTATATCAATGACATATGTATGCCAATTAGAATCTGAAAAATATGAAACATGACAAAAGGTTGTCTTGATGTCATGGTAACTGATGAAATTGGGCAATATGAGACTTTTTCAATGATTTCAAAACAATGACCGTACTGTAATTATTGATGGTTTACGTATGCGGTTAATGGAAGGAAGCATTGTGTCTCGAATATCATACTATATAACGGATGCAAATAAAATATATTGACAATATGTGTTCATGACTTTGTGTAAAGATTTGTTTTTGAAGCAATAATTTATGAAATGAAGTAGACGTATTGGGAGTCTGTGCCCTGACAACCCGAAGAAAATTTATATATCTTACATGCAGGTCAATTGTGAACATAGCCAATATCTGCCTCCTAACTTTTGGTCATCTCTCTGAAATAAATATATCCTAACACTCTTGAATTGTGTCTGATGTCTTGGGTCTATAAGAAGTACTTTGGTCAGTTTGGCACCCTTGTTATGTTTGATGTTACCCTTGTTATGTTTATTCTAGAATAAACTTTTATTGTATCCTTTCACAAAATTATGAAGGAAACATAGAATGTACTGCAACCATCCACTTTGTAACATTAAAAATAGTCAAGTGAATAGTAAAATATTCGGCTTAGTTAATTGAGAACCTTGATATCCCATCATATCCTAATATACAAGACTCTTTATTATCAAAAATAATATTGATAATAAACAGTCTATCAGATATTCAATAGACCTAACAAAGACGGTGTAAAGTTGATTTACGTCACAGATTTCCTTCACATCTGTATCTGATTTTATAGTACCAGACAATATAAACAAAAAGTATCTAAGCAATTATGATACCACTGAAATATTATCTCATATTATTATTGAGCTAAAAGACATATTTGAAACATAATCTCAAAAATCATTGAGTTAGAAGACATATTTCAACCTGCAAACTGAGGATCCAAGCAAGGGACATTTATGATATAACTGATATTAATTTCAAAAAATAAGTTAGTCATTTAGTAAACAGAGGAGGAAGGATAGATTCACTGACTTATGATTACTTTACAGTAGCATTTATAAATTTCAAACAAATACATGTCATACAACAGTTCAAATGAAGAAAACAAGAGGAAAGTTTTTGGGAACTATGATTAAGACATGTAAAAAGTAGCTAATTCTTCAAAACAGGTTATTTTTGTAAAGCAAACAGAGAACAATTCATTTTGACTTGACTGCTGCATGTAAAATCATCGAACATGGTACTCAATACAATAAGTGCAACGATAGACCCAACAATTGTGAACATAGAACTAGCTTTGCAGTTCATATTATTTGTATGGATTTGTGTTGGGAATGGACTTGTTTTCACTGCATATATAAAATATAAAAATTTACAAACTATAGCAAATTACTGGATTTTAAATTTAGCAATTGCAGATTTCTCAATGGGGGCATCAATGTTTCTGAGAGTTTTATCTAGTTTTTTTGTAGCCTACATCACAGGCTGGACAATGTATATGTACTGTGGTATCTTAACTTTTACATTAAATCTGTCAATATATATGACATTAGCGCTTTTGTTGTCGGTCACGATTGACAGATATATCGCCATCTTTTGGCCATTGCGCTACTCTGCTCTACTCACAATTAAAAGGGTGCAGAAGATCGTGATTGTTCAATGGGCTGTCTATGGAGCTATTGTTTTAACCATTACTATTGTTTGGCGTTTAGAAAACCTTGAAGGATCGGAGTGTGAAACACTCCCATGGATTATACGTGCAAGCCTAACTCCTGGAATTTCACTTCTAGCGCTGGTAATAATTACTCTATACACTCAAATCTTCAAGGTCATTTACAAACAATCACGGAAAATCTCATCATCACCTCTGGGTTCCAATGAGAACAAATCTGGGAACTCCTTAAGAAGGAACCTTGTCATTTTCAAAACTGCATTGATCGTTGTTGGGATATTCCTCATCTGCTGGTTACCATGCGTGATCATTATTGGCGTGCTTTACTATGGTGGACCAAACCCAATGCTGAACATTCCTACAGAATTCCTTGGAATACTGGCTTATGCCAACTCAGGAATTAATCCAATCATCTATGCTTGTAGATTGAAGGAGTTTCGTCTTGCATTTTGCAAGTTGTTGCATATCAAGAGCAAAGCACTTACTTTTGAAGAAGGGAATTCACTCAGCATGAGACAAGAAAATGATGACTTGAGACCCTCACATGTAACTGGACACATGTGACACTCATATACTGGGCACTCACATGTAACTGGACACATGTGACACTCATATACTGGGCAGTCACATGTAACTGGACACATGTGACACTCATATACTGGGCAGTCACATGTAACTGAGCACATGTGACACTCATATACTGGGCACTCACATGTAACTGGACACATTTGACACTCATATACTGGACACTCACATGTAACTGAGCACATGTGACACTCATATAATGGACAGTCACATATAACTGGACACATGTGACACTCATATAATGGACACTCACATGTAACTTGGCACATGTGACACTCATATACTGGGTACTCACATGTAACTGGACACATTTGACACTCATATACTGGGCAGTCACATGTAACTGGACACATGTGACACTCATATACTGGGCACTCACATGTCACTGGACACATGTGACACTCATATACTGGGCAGTCGCATGTAATTGGACACATGTGACATGATGGATTATTTGTGAGTTCATGTGTCAAAACACTTTTGACAAAATATAACAAAGAATGTTATAGAGAATATAATGAGATACTTAAGTGAACAAATATGATACAACAGAACACATGTAGCTGAAAATATTTTAAGACTAAAAATTCATTAATGCATTCATCAATGATGTGAGCAAATTATAAGGGCACATTAATATAAAAGACATAGAGGTTCTTATATGATTACCTGTACAAGATCGTCCATTCTTGATGAGCTTTGATAATTGTGAGTCAAGAATGGACAATATTGCACAGGTACGAGTACAAGAAAGTTTTTCTCATATGACTGTATTATGCCATATTTTCACCATTTTATCATAAAACTGAGTGAAAAATAGCTTCAAATTAATTGATCTTCATCTTTCAATTGTTATGATGTCATAACAATATTCTAACAATATACAAAATACATAGATACACGTGGCAACAAAGCTCCATTTTTATGACGTCACAACTTAGTTTTGTAGAATTAGCATGGATACGCATAGCAACGGTGTGTCCGTTGCCATGTTATTAATGTTTATAGACCAGTGATGTCACAAGTAAATCTCATCTTGCACGTGTGACTTTTTAGGATGAAAGATGGCAATATCTTGCATGGGGTAAAGATGGCTGTATCTTTGTTAGTCGTATGAGAAAATGCATTCATCATGTAGAATTATAAGGGAATCCCTTTCAGTCTTTTTGTGTATACAAATCTATTTATTACCACAAATAAGAATATACTCATTTGAAAATAAAAATAACCTGACCTATCAGAATTCAGATTAGAATATAATTCAAGCTGACTCATCCTCAAATAGATTTTAATGGATGTTGGCTTACCCTCCAAGAGTTTGATGAGAGACTCATGCAGCACTGTATGCCGCTCTACGGGTTGATGTATCCTCCTCCATTGTGAGTAATGGGCCTCGGACTCATAACCTCCCCCTACAAAATTCATGACCATAACATATGGGCCATTTACAGAATGGGCTAAAGGATATATAATCTGATATTAAAATGTTCATTAAATAATAATTATTCTTTAAAATTAAGTAGAAACTGGGCCTCACTTTGTTCTTCACTTAAAGCTAGAATAAGACACAGATTGAACTCTTGAATAGAGTACAGTTTACGGGACAGAAAATCAAAAATGGCATTGGCCGCCTAAAGGCCAGGTACATGTTCGGAAATTTGCTGCATCAATTGAGCCACATGTTATTTTTCAAACAGGAATCACTCCTTTCCCACATTGTCTACATCTTCCCATTTTGCAAGAGTGCACTTATGTGCCTAGAAAAGATTGATGAGAAGATTTGTTTTGTAAAATAAACGAGAAAATTCAGTGAAAAAATATTCTGAAAATTTTCTGAATTATTTCACTGAATTTTTTTGTTTTTTATTATTTCATTAAAACATTCTTCTCTACATTATTTTCTAGGTACATTAGTGCACATGTTGTGCAAAAGTGAGAGATGTAGACATTGTGGGGAAGGAGTGATTCAAATTTTAAAAATAACATGTGACCCTATTGAGGGTTGCAGCAAAATTCCGAAATGCACCCCGACTTTAATGTTTACCCAGAATGCCCAAGAAACTTTTATACTTAGAAACGTCCCTGAAAATTTCAGATGAATCCAACAAACGGTTTGGCTGGAAACCTGTAGACAAGCCTTGACAGACAAGATATTAGGACGGAAAATCCAAAATGGCTGCCTTAACACTTACCCAGAATGCCCAAAAACTAATCAGTTCTATAATTTTCATACCTAGAAACATTCCTTAAAATTTTAGATAAATCCCTGAAACGGTTTAGTTGGAAACCTGTAGACTGAAGCCTCAATAGACAAGATTTTAGGATGGAAAATCCAAATTGGCCACCTAAAACTAATCAATTCTAAACAGTTTGGCTGGAAACCTGAAGACAAGATTTATCGGGATGCACACCCAAGCTGCCATCCACCCAGCCGTACGCCCCCCTACCCCCCGGCAAACTGATCACAACACAACAGGCAAGGATGTGATAAAGATATTTGTCCTCCTATGCTCTAGATTAAATACCTTTATTTTGTGCTACTTTTGCTGTAGCAAGAGATCTTGTGTCGATGATGTATCCCCGTTTCCCCATCCCTAACACTGCATTCACAAGTTTCTCATCCTCCTTGCACCTCTTCCAGTTGGGCCCTGGCATTGGCTGGCTGCTCCTCATCATCACCATCTGCAAACATAGCATTTTCTACGAGTTAAGTATGTGTTTTATGTTTTTATATTCTTACTTTTACATCACCCCTTGTACCAAACATGTGCTTAACCAACAGTTTGACTGAACAAATCCATAAAAATACAAATATTTTATCGAATGGACACCAATTAGAGTAAAGTGGATGTGGAAGCATCGATTGAATACTCAGAGCTGTCAGGATTTCAACAAAAAACATTAAAAATTTCGCTGATAATGTATTTTTGACAATAACAGATCTATGTGTTTACTAGGCAAACGTATGGATTTGATATTGTTTTTACTACCGCTATCGGCTACTGCTGGTGCATGCGTGATAATGCAGTCACAGTGTTCGCGTTGACGCCGTTTTTTGCCATTTTTACGGAAATTTCAGAAGGTTGGACGTAAAAATCAAAATCAACTTACGTCCCTAGGACACAAAAATTATAAACTGCTTCAAGATAACTTTTACTGCAGCACAGTAGCGGTGAAACATGATTTTCATCAAGATTTTCAAACTCACTACCTTGAGCAATGATCCAGGTATATTTATATCGACAAATCTGATTGGCTATCATGACTACCGAAGATTAATAGGGTTTCCATTATGAGACATGGATTTTGATTGGTTCTGATATATTCCGGAAAATGCCGCAATCGAAATGGAAGATCAAAACATACAATATTGCAGAAATCCCCTGTGGTTCCCCACAAATTGAAACGATTGTTTTTCACGATTATTTTTATTATTTCCACTAGAAACCATTATATATTGATCTAATGTTATACATCAAGATAATTGTTTAATGATAGATCGAGGTTTTTCATCTAAAAGTCTTCAGAATAAGGAGAAATGTTAATAAAAAGAAGCAAAAGTTTTAAAATGTGAAAACAAAACTCTTAATTTGAGCATTTCCTTTATTCATTTCGGACTATTTTGGTATAACATTACTTAAGAATTGTGTGAAAAGGACCCAGTGATAGATATTTATCGGGAGGATGCATCAAATTACAATTATGTCATTTTTATCCCATTTTAGTGTAAGCACTCTATTATCGCCCACTTTAATTTCACTTTCACAATATTTTCTTGAACTTTGTGAAGAAATAAGAGGGACGCAAAAAAATTAGATGGGGACTCAAATTTTTCAAATGGGTTGCGTCCCTGGGACTCAGAAATTTTAATGGCTAGCGCGAACACTGCAGTCAGTTAGCACTTTAATTGCACTTGCTATATATACGTCACCATTTTTTGACCAAAGTATCATTAATACCTAATTTTTGATATCTACCGAAGTGGTGTTAAAAAGTAGCCCCAGTGAATAATAGCAGGGCTCGAAAATCTTGCATGTTTCCATTGAGTTCATTGTTAATTTATCAATCTTCAAAAGAACCCCTGCAGAGGAGTTCAAGAACAATAAAGTCAATCTTCCTAGTATGTAACCGTGACTTAAATGTCTTCAAAATAAGAAGGGTTACAAGCTGGATTTTCTCTAGTTCCAAAGATATTGGTGTTTTAATTTTGGAAAATTCCCATTGACCGCCATTATAAACTACTCTCAATATGGCTTTACTAAAGTGTCATTTCTCCAAAAGTCCACTATGGAATTTTCTGATGTTGCAGATTTCTACAGCCAATATATTGACTTTCAAAAAACCAAACAGGCATATTTCTTAAAATTTCTTATTTTTAATATATCTAGTTATTAAGTTGCTCACAAAAACTCCATTGAGTCCCATGTTAATTTATCAATCTTCAAAAGACCCTCTGCAGAACAGTTCAAGAGCAAATAAGTCAATCTTACTTGTATGTAACCATAACTTGGATGTCTTCAAAATAAGAAGGGTTACAAGATTTTATCTAGTTCAAAAGATATTGACGATTGAATCTTTGGAAATCCCCATTGACCGCCATTATAAACTACTCTCAATATGGCCTAATCAAAATGTCATTTTTTCCAAAACTCCACTGTGGAATTTTTTCATATTGCAGATTTCTATAGCCAATATATTGATTTTTAAAAAACCAAACAGGCACATTTCTAAAAATTCATTATTTTTTATATATCTAACCATTCCATTGAGTTGCACATGAAAACTCCCATTGGCTGCCATTATTAAAGCTATCAACATGGTTTTACTAATAAAGTGCCATTTTCTCCAAAAGTTCACTATGGAATTTTTTGATATTGCAGATTTCTATACCCAACATAATGACATTCCAAAAACATAATAGGCACATTTTCAAAAATTTCTTATTTTTAATATATCTAGTTATTAAGTTGCTCACAAAAACTCCATTGAGTCCCATGTTAATTTATCAATATTCAAAAGACCCCCTGCAGAACAGTTCAAGAGCAATAAAGTCAATTTTCCTGGTATGTAAACATATCACATGTCTAAAATAAATAGGGTTACAAGCTTGATTTTGTGAAGTTCCAAAGATATTGGTGTTTGAATTTTGGAAAATTCCTATTGACCGCCATTATAAACTTCTATCAATATGGCTTTCCTAAAGTGCCATTTTCTCCAAAAGTTCACGATGGAATTTTCTGATATTGCAGATTTTTATAGCCAATATACATATATTGTATTGACTTTTAAAAAACCAAACAGGCACAATTCTAAAACTTTCTTATTTTTAATATATTTAGCCCTTAAGTTGACTGAAAATCCCCATTGGCTGCCATTATAAACTGCTATAAACATGGATTTATGAATAAGGTGTACTTTTCTCCAAAAGTCCACTATGAAATTTTCTGATTTATAGAAATGGGAAATCTGCAATATCAGAGAAATTCATATTGGACTTTTTGGGGAAAGGACACTTTAGTAAAAGCATATTGATATTAGTTTATAATGGCAGCCAATGAGGATTTTTGTATGGGACTTATGGCTAATATATTAAGAACAAGAAATAGGAATGTGCCTGTTTGGTTTTTAAAAAGTAAATATATCAACTATAGAAATCTGCATTATCAGATAATTCCATTTTATTCGTAAAGCCATGTTGAAAGCGGTATATAACGTCAGCCAATGGGAGTTTTCATGTGCAACTTAATGGCTAGATATATTAAAAATCAAAATTTTTAGAAATGTGCCAGTTTGATTATTTAAAAGTCAATATATTGGCTATAGAAATCTGCAATATCAGAAAATTCCAGAATGAACTTTTGGAGGAAATGACACTTTGGTAAAGTCATATTGATAGTAGTTTATAATGGCGGTCAATGGGGATTTCCAAAGATTCAATCGTCAATATCTTTTGAACTAGATAAAATCTTGTAACCCTTCTTATTTTGAAGACATCCAAGTTATGGTTACATACAAGTAAGATTGACTTATTTGCTCTTGAACTGTTCTGCAGAGGGTCTTTTGAAGATTGATAAATTAACATGGGACTCAATGGAGTTTTTGTGAGCAACTTAATAACTAGATATATTAAAAATAAGAAATTTTAAGAAATATGCCTGTTTGGTTTTTTGAAAGTCAATATATTGGCTGTAGAAATCTGCAACATCAGAAAATTCCATAGTGGACTTTTGGAGAAATGACACTTTAGTAAAGCCATATTGAGAGAAGTTTATAATGGCAGTCAATGGGAATTTTCCAAAATTCAAACACCAATATCTTTTGAACTAGACAAAAACTAGCTTGTAACCCTTCTTATTTTGAAGACATTTGAGTCATGGTTACATACTAGGAAGATTGACTTTATTGCTTTTAGGCAAGGCTAGTATGTGCTGGATATGATAAATTAATAGGGAGGTTAAGTTACATGTTTTTAAGAGAACCTGTACATGAGTGTGTAATATTTCAACCACTGGGGATTACTTTCCCACTCTCAATTCACCTTCTCAGGGACCTAATTTCAATTATTTCCATTTAACCTTATATGGCAAGGTAAACACTACAAATTGATTAATCCATAGAGGACTATAATTCTACATATTCTTGTACAAATCATAAAAAAGTGTAACTTAACCTCCCTAATGTTTTCTATAAACACAGTCATTGGTTGTTAGTGAGTGATAAGTGATCAATGGTTGAAAATGAGTGATCAATGGTTGAAAATGAGTGGCCACTGATTGCAAATGAATAACCAATGATTGCAAATGAGTGGTCATTGATTGCAAATAAGTGGCCACTTGGTCATTGATTGAAATCAGCGGTCAGATTTTGCAAATACATGGGTCAGTGAGTGAAAATGAGTGGTTGGAGATTGCTAATGAGTAATCAGTGATTGCAAATGAGTGGTCATTGATTGCAAATGAGTGGTCAGTGATTGCAAATAAGTGACCAATGATTGCAAATGAGTGGTCAGTAATTGAAATGAGTGGTCAAAGATTGCAAATAAGTGTTCGGTGATTGCAAATGAGTGACAAATGATTGCAAATGAGTTTTCAGTGATTGCATATGAGTGACCAATTATTGCAAATGAATAACCAATAATTGCAAATGAGTGTTTAGTGGCTGCAAATGAGAAATCAGTGATTGCAAATGAGTGGCAACTGAGTGCAATTGAGTGACCAATGATTGCAAATGAGTGGTCAGAGATTGCAAATACATGGGTCAGTGAGGGAAAATGAGTCATCTGTGATTGCGAATGAGTGTTCAGTGATTGCAAATGAGTGGTTATTGATTGCAAATGAGTGGTCAGTGATTGCAAATAAGTGACCAATGATTGTTAATGAGTGTTCAGTGATTGCAAATATGTGTTCAGTGATTGCAAATGAGTGACCAATGATTGGAAATGAGTAACCAATAATTGCAAATGAGAGCCCAGTGAATGAAAATAAGTGTTCAGCGATTGCAAATGAGTGACCAATGATTGCAAATGAGTGTTCAGTGATTGCAAATGAGTGACCAATGATTGGAAATGAATGACCAATGATTGTAAATGAGTTTTCAGTAATTGCAAATGAGTGACCAATGATTGCAAATGAGTGTTCAGTGATTGCAAATGAGTGACCAATGAATGCAAATGAGTGGTCAGTAATTGAAAATGAGTGTTCAGTGATTGCAAATGAGTGACCTATGATTGAAAAATGAGTGTTCAGTGATTGCAAATGAGTGACCTATGATTGCAAATGAGTGTTCAGTGATTGCAAATGAGTGACCTATGATTGAAAAATGGGTGTTCAGTGATTGCAAATGAGTGACCTATGATTGCAAATGAGTGGTCAGTGATTGCAAATGAGTGGTCAATGCAACATGACTTTATTAATCTTGCAATCTTTATTAATGTTTCAATTCAGGGTATAAATAACTTGCTTTGAAAAATGCATATTTTGACTTTGACCACATTGACTGCCCATAGGAGATGGTTTATTGGATTAGCACTGATTTGAGTTGTTACTGTTTATTTATAGAAAGTCCTAAAATCTTTAGATAGTGGATTGATTATATGATCCTGGGGATATTGTTTACTGACAACCTAAGCTTCTAAGCTGATAAATGGATTATAACTTGCCTTGTGGCACTATACCAACGTTAAAATGGATGTTAAGTGCAGAGAAGGTAAAGCCTCCTCTTGTAGTTAAAGGAATATTCCTTGCCAAACCATCTCTCTCCTCATATGGTAGCTATAACCATATATATGCTTGCCATGTTTAGCAAAACACGCAAAAATGTTTTGATATGGTCAAATTTGATCACTTCGAAATGTGATGCTCAATTCCAGTAAGCTGCCATCTTTTAAAATTTCACACAGGAAGTGATGTCATCGACTCTCAACTTTGCATATAGCATTAGGTGAGGAGCTATTAAGAATTACAAAACCAGCTAAATATTCTTTTTCAACTTTGTATCTTATTTAATCCTTCTGAAAATCTCTTCTTTTATTCTAAGTTGACAAGCCCTGAAAATATTTTTGCACAGAAAGTAATGATCACTTGTCTAAAAGTGATTTTGTGCTACTTTCCTATACTGTTATGGGCAAGGTTATAGAAGTTGAGAGTTGATGACATCACTTCCTGCAAAAAATCTTAAAAGATGGCAGCTCACTGGAAATAAGCACTAGATTTTTAAATGATCAATATTGACCATATTAAAACATTTTCAAATGTTTTGCTAAATATGGAAACTATATATTTGATTATAGCTACCATATCAAGAGAGAAAGGGTCCTTTAACAGTTTTACCAAGTTGCTCATAGAAATTAGTGATCGTACAGGATTTTTCTCATGGTGCAAATGAAAAGCTTTCAAGATGCTGCAGAGACAACTAGCAAAGTATCTTTTCTTCATTGTTAATTTACAAATTATTGGATATCTAATGTATATGTATGCAGAATCAATAATAAACATACGAAAGAATAAGTTCAGACAAATGGAAATGTTGAACTCAAGTATTGCAACATATGAACTGTGGAATATTACTGAGATGCCACACAAACATGACTTAATGGCAAATAATTCAGATGTTCTTCATAAAACTGATCATGAACACAAGCCCTACATGGTGTATGAATGCAGCAAAGAGGTGCTATTTTACATTATGCTATATGTTAACAATAAAGAGGGGCCATTTTACATTATGCTATATGTTAACAATAAAGAGGTGCTATTTTACATCATGCTATATGTTAACAATAAAGAGGTGCCATTCTACATTATGCTTTATGTTAACAATAAAGAGGTGCTATTTTACATTATGCTATATGTTAACAACAAAGAGGCAATTAGCAAGATGTTAGGGGAACATGATTTAGTTGGTGCTTCAACTTTTTATCCAAGTCAAAGATCAAATTCTAGGTCAAGTCTTGTGTTTTCAGTATTTTCTTTTCTTTGCCATTCTTTTATATTCTAGATAGATATAATAGAACTTATTCCAAAATCAAAATCATCAACAAATTTCCATGATTTCAGAACTATTTCTTGAGACCTTTGAAAGATTAAAAAATGTTCTCTTGAAGCTTGTATGTTTCAGTTTTGACCTTTCATGGGCTCGTGGCATCTAAAATTGACCTTTGCAAAATTAGACTTAACTTCGCTGATCAGAGTTATTTAAAAACACAGAAAATTTGTGAAATTATTATTGTTACTTAGTCATTTCCTCTTTTCCTCTGCCAGGCTTATATATCACCAAATGTTTAAAATAATCATAATGATCACTTACACCATCAATTAGTTTTTGATACATTTTTGGTGTAATAAGCGCGAACAATATCTTGTCTATTCATTACTTTTAAAATGCTATGAGACGCATCATTCATTCATATTTTGGAATGTTTTATACTCAGAAGAGAAAGTTTGTGAAACATGATAATTAACACAGACATATTTCTAGGTACCTCGGCGCGTATGTGGAGGTCTAGGGGACAGAATCAAAGGAATAACAGTGACGTACATCTGGGCATTACTGACCAATCGTAGTTTCATCATACGTCATGAAATACCATGTGACCTGGAGAAGTTCCTTATTCCAAATGAAATACAATGGAATATAAAACTCCCCGTAGATGGCAAAGAACACAGAATGGCAATCAGACCATCTGTAAACAGTATCAAAGCTGAGAACCTTATACCAGATGATGAACATATCAGTGAAAAATATAAGAAATATAACAGACTAGCATTTCTAGGGCCAAATAATATCAATCACTTCTCTCGATTTTCAGAATTACCAATGTATGAAGCCCAGCTGAAACAATTTCCATTTAAATTACGAAAATGTTCCATGTATAAAACTGTCTTTGAAAAGCTATTCAAGTTAACTCCGAGATTAGATAAGAAATTTCAAGAATTAGCAGCTAAAGCCAAACCAACTAAGGATCATAAACTTATATGTGCTCAGATTAGAACTGGGCCAAATCCATCAATTCCACGTGACTTTGGAGGAACGCGAACATCCGAGAAGGATATCGAAAAATTTTGGACATTCTTAGAATCAAACATTACAAGAGACAAAACAACGGTTTTTGTCACGAGCGATTCAAACGAAATCCAAAAAACAGCAAGAGAAAAGTTTAATGAGACTTTTCTGGAAACAGATGGTAACATTACACACACTGACAGGAATAGGTATGTTGAGGCCTGCTCAGGTATGGATAAAGTTATTTTAGATTTTCATATGCTGGCATTGTGTGACATCGCCATGGTGAGTCGGAGTAGTTTTGGCTGGTTAAGCCAATGTATGAATAAGAACAAGGATGCTGTCATATACAGGATGAGAGATGGTGGAGATGTTTATCACTGGACTGACAGATAGAAACAAGGCATTAACATGAACATATATAGCATTAACATGAACATATGTAGCATTAACATGATGCTGTCATATTCAGGATGAGAGATGGTGGAGATGTTTATCATTGGACTGACAGATAGAAACAAGGCATTAACATGAAAAATACAGATTTCAATATGTAAGAAGATTGCAGACTTTTTTTCAATTGAAACTGAGAAGGTGAAGACTTCTTAGAGTATTTTCCCCTTTTAACTCAAAGTGGAGTTTTCAACTTAATATTGTAGTCTAGCATTTAGTTAATAGTTTAGTATAGTCTTGTACATAGACTGATGTGTCATGTTTTGATACAATTGTCAATAAAAAAAATTGCTTATCTATACATCGTAGCTATTAGACTATATGCCCTGCTATAAACCTGTGAAAATAATATCTGTGTCCAAAAGAAAAAATATATAAACTGTATGGATGAAACCTGACCAGCTATTGCCAAGGTATGACTTCAAAAGATAATTTGAAAATGAAAATGTAATGTACTGTACCTTATTTTCATTGTGATAGTAACTGAGAACAGGAAATCTCCCGTGCTGTCTGAATTGTGCTATTTTAATGAGACTCTCGTCATCTATGGCTTTGGGGACAACCACAGCCTGAGGATATGATGGACAGACCTGTAATAAATGTTAAGAAATTTTGAGATACATTCAAAAAATAACCTTTATTCATATTCATTATTTCTCTAGAAAGCCTTGTGTGTTTATCCCAAAAATATATAAAATTATCTTGACTTGAAAACATACCATACAATTTGAATTAATGAGCTGGAAGTTAAAGGCAGAATCAGATATATGGGGGTGAAAAAATTACAAGCAATGTGTTCAATTGACCCAATAAGCTATTCTTTACAATCTCAAATACAATATCTCCCAAAAGATTCACGCTATGTTATAAATTGGTGAAGTTATAATGGATTCAAAGTGCAAAAATGAGTGAAAAATGTTTAAATTCTCCCAAATAATAAGAATGGTAACCATTCTTATAGAAAAATAATACGTTATTGTAAATATCTTTAGTTTTCCTGAAATAAAGTATGCACTTTGCTGGTTTTAAAGGGTGACGCATATCGTTTAGTAAATCGAACGCTCTTTTCTGGTGTTGCTCACCGTTTAGTATAAAAGGCCCGATCCCGGAATAATACTCAAGGGTTCACAGGTTCGAGGTCGTTGTGTCAACACCTCTAACTGTTATATAGCATAAGTATATTATAGATCGTCACACATTTATAAAAGGGTGATTTTTATTTTGACAAATCAATTCCACATTTATGGGTGAAGTTTCAGGATCTTCTATTTGTGTATAATAAGGAAAAATTGGCATCTAAATTTCCCCATAACGTAATACAGAATAGCACACAGCTTGGCATATGAAATATCCTACAAATGAAACAAAGCAAGACAAACCGATTTCTATTACAAGAATTTATATTGGCTGTTGTGCATGTATTATTTGAACGCAATCACTCTTTGGATAACGTTTTCAAAATCATTATAAACGGATTACTTTATCTCAAAGACAATTTCAATAAACTGGATTTTACAGAACTCCCCTTATTTCTTAAAAATGGACTGATCCAGTTGATTCGCCTGGAGCCGCCATATTGTTTTTATACGGGATGCTAATCGGAACCCTTTAAGAAAATAGACATGAAAAGGAATGACATGAGCAAGAAATGTTCTAAAAGTGAAACAATTTTTTGTTGGGCTGCTCACTAGATCTGATTCTCTCTTTAATTAATTAAGTTTAATTTGGCCCATAATAATACTAATCATCTATTTTACTTCACGTTTTTAGTCTGATTTACTTGACTTGATATATTTAGAGGTTATGTCACTATCGTTTCATATATGCCCCAGGTTTTCAGTGATGGCCCGACCTTGGGAGGGACATTGATCACTGAGAGCCGAGGGCACATGTACAACGATTGACATAAACGATTTATAACATACCTATGGTGATGTCGACTGGTCAGAGAGTACCGTTTTCTTATCTAATTGACTAGCAATGGTTCGAAAATAATGATTTCTTCCCATGTTTGTATCTTCTTATGAATGTACAAGTCATTTTGACAGAATGATGTAATGTATTACTACGCCAATACTGACAGATCAACTGGAGATAAAACTAACCGATCAACTGAAGATAACCTAATTGAGCAATTTTGATAAACACACAACTTTACCAAATATTTGGACACAAATCTATACACATTTTTCAGATAGGTCTTCCAGTGCATCATCATCAAAAAATTGCATTAATTCATTGAAATTGTCAAAACCTTTCGCAAAATATATTAATGAAATTGTCACAAATTATAAGATGAAGGTGTCAATCTCATGTATCATATAAAAAATGTCAAATTTAATGTTTTAATTGAAATAAATTGAAACTGACTCAGAAAAAATACATTTTTTTGATCCTGATGACTGAATCTTACCTCAAAATTCTTATTTATATGAGAAAGTCTGAAGTATTCGCAGTGTCCTAAAAGACGTGAAAATTCAGACTCAGGTAAGAAAGCTGACCAACCGTCCTCCAGTACATCAAATAAAGGTCGATAGAAGAAAGGATATTGAAGTGTGATATTATCTAAAACAAAAAATTTAGTACAAAATAATTTTTACAGCATAATCTTTTGTTAAAGGGGCAACAGTGAACTGATATGCTCAGTGTAATAATTTGAAAAATTGTCAATTTCAACATATTTGACATACAGTATTCCTTCTCAGGTCTATTCTATATTCAGATTTGATCAGAAAATTCAATATCAAATTTTACAGGATCATAAATGGAAGACATGTTTATTTATGACATGTTTATTTATAAGTTCTTTGCTGCCACTTTAACTCTCATGTGGGATGTGGGGGGGAGGGGTGTAGGGGAAGTTCACTTGATCAATATCTATCAGGTATTTCTAGTTTTCAGACCTGGGTAAAAAAAGATTTCTGCCATTCATATTAAATAATTAGCTGAAACAGAAAAACTTACTTATATTAGAGAGCTTTTCAATTGAAGTTGCGATGTTGAGGCATTCTTCAACACTTGGAATGTCTAGTTTGATAATCTGGAAGTCTTTACATTTCAATATGATGGATCCCACATTGCCAGAGAGTTTCTTCTCAACTGTGTCTACTCTTGTGTGCAACAACTGAAATATGATACAATGGGTGGTCAATAAGTTTCTGTGAATGGAAATGATCTATAGAAACATTCTCTTTGAGATTTTCTCAACAGAAAATCATTACAACTGCAAAACAATATCTATCAAGTGGTATCCAGGAAAACAATATAAAGTTCCCCATAGTTCCCCATTGTTATTCAATCTAGATGACAGTATCAAGTGGTGTCCAGTGATGCATTATGTACTTACCCATAATTCCTCATTGTTATCCTGTCTAGATGACCGTATCAAGTGGTGTCCAGTGATGCATTATGTACTTACCCATAATTCCTCATTGTTATCCTGTCTAGATCACCGTATCAAGTGGTGTCCAGTCCAGTGATACATAATGTACTTACCCATAATTCCTTATTGTTATCCTGTCTAGATCACCGTATCAAGTGGTGTCCAGTAATGCATAATGTACTTACCCATAATTCCTCATTGTTATTCTGTCTAGATGACAGTATCAAGTGGTGTCCAGTGATGCATAATGTACTTACCCATAATTCCTCATTGTTATCCTGTCTAGATGACAGTATCAAGTGGTGTCCAGTGATGCATAATGTACTTACCCATAATTCCTCATTGTTATCCTGTCTAGATGACAGTATCAAGTGGTGTCCAGTGATGCATAATGTACTTACCCATAATTCCTCATTGTTATCCTGTCTAGATGACAGTATCAAGTGGTGTCCAGTGATGCATAATGTACTTACCCATAATTCCTCATTGTTATCCTGTCTAGATGACAGTATCAAGTGGTGTCCAGTGATGCATAATGTACTTACCCATAATTCCTCATTGTTATCCTGTCTAGATGACAGTATCAAGTGGTGTCCAGTGATGCATAATGTACTTACCCATAATTCCTCATTGTTATCCTTTCTAGATGACAGAATCAAGTGGTGTCCAGTGATGCATAATGTTCCATCCACAGATTTATGGAAAGCTCTCCGCAGTGTGACATTGTCAACTTTAGGAGTTTTAATAAACTCCACAAATTCCATTGCATGGAAGGAAACTGGGGGAAGGTTTGACCTGGAAAGAATTATTAAGATCATTTTAGGAAGAACTTTAAATAACTTATTGAAGGACATAACGGTTATCATGTCTGAAATATACATGTACAGTAAAACTTGGAAATGTGAAGATCTCTTTAGAGGGAACAACTTGGGATGTGAACATTTTTCCTCATAATATTCAAATAAATAAAATCATAAATATTCAAAATTGATTCTTGTGTTAAAAGAAACATTTGGTGTAAACACTTCTTCATGCGAACACTTCTATTCAGTTATTAGTGTTTACTTTAGACAGGTTTACTGTACTTGTACTTCCAAAGCACCATTGTTTGTATGCATATGAATTGAATATTTGAAACTTAACAAATATTTCAAAAGTTACATTGATTCATGTTTTATGTCGCTATACTCACATACACATCAACACAATATTCTCCATTTTCAATACACTATAAATTCAAAATGTTATCTCCAAGAGAGTGAATACAAAATAATTGTAATTATGCCCTTTATATTTTATATCATACTAAATATAGCATAATGTTATTAACAAGTCCTAGATTCTGGGCTAAGTTTTTTATCCACATTTTCATTGCATTTAATAGACCTTACAAGGCAAAATAATCAAAGATTTTGATAAACAAAACTATTGAAACATAAAAAAATGAAAAAATCAAAATAACAGCATACAACAAAAGGCAAACACATACTAGTAAAATAATAATTGATTACATGGTATAAATATCAGAAAAATAAACAATTATTTAAACATTGTGCCAAAAATAGTCAAGAGAATAAGGTTGAATAAGAAATATGTGGCCTGAATAAAGTTGAATAAGAAATATGTGGCCTGTATTATATTTTAGAACATGTATTTTTCAGTCAAAGAGAATAAAGTTGAATAAGAAATATGTGGCCTGTATTATATTATTAGTGCATGTATTTTCAGTCAAAGAGAATAAGGTTGAATAAGAAATATGCGGCCTGTATTATATTATTAGTGCATGTATTTTCCGTCAAAGAGAATAGGGTTGAATAAGAAATATGTGGCCTGTATTATATTATTACAACATGTATTTTTCAGTCAAAGAGGATAGGGTTGAATAAGAAATATGCGGCCTGTATTATATTATTAGTGCATGTATTTTCAGTCAAAGAGAATAGGGTTGAATAAGAAATATGCGGCCTGTATTATATTATTAGTGCATGTATTTTTCAGTCAAAGAGGATAGGGTTGAATAAGAAATATGTGGCCTGTATTATATTATTAGTGCATGTATTTTTCAGTCAAAGAGAATAAGGTTGAATAAGAAATATGTGGCCTGTATTATATTATTAGAGCATGTATTTTTCAGTCAAAGAGGATAGGGTTGAATAAGAAATATGGGGCCTGTACTATATTATTAGTGCATGTATTTTCAGTCAAAGAGAATAAGGTTGAATAAGAAATATGTGGCCTGTATTATATTATTAGAACATGTATTTTTCAGTCAAAGACTAGAGGATAGGGTTGAGTAAGAAATATGGGGCCTGTACTATATTATTAGTGCATGTATTTTCAGTCAAAGAGAATGGGTTGAATAAGAAATATGCAGCCTGTATTATATTATTAGTGCATGTATTTTTCAGTCAAAGAGAACAGGGTTGAATAAGAAATATGCGGCCTATATTATATCATTAGTGCATGTATTTTTCAGTCAAAGAGGATAGGGTTGAATAAGAAATATGTGGCCTGTATTATATTATTAGTGCATGTATTTTTCAGTCAAAGAGAATAAGGTTGAATAAGAAATATGTGGCCTGTATTATATTATTGGTGCATGTATTTTTCAGTCAAAGAGAATAAGGTTGAATAAGAAATATGTGGCCTGTATTATATTATTAGAACATGTATTTTTCAGTCAAAGAGAATAAGGTTGAATAAGAAATATGTGGCCTGTATTATATTATTAGAGCATGTATTTTTCAGTCAAAGAGAATAGGGTTGAATAAGAAATATGTGGCCTGTATTATATTATTAGAACATGTATTTTTCAGTCAAAGAGAATAAAGTTGAATGAAAAATTTGAGACCTGTATTACATTATTAGAACATGTATTTTTCAGTCAAAGAGAATAGGGTTGAATATTAGAAACTTTGTGATTATAAGAAACTATGAGGTTAAATACTATGAGGTTAAATTTTATTATGCTGTTTTATTAAAGATCTCTCAGTTCAAATGTTGATAATAATCAGGCAATGTTAGTCTCAGTGTAATAAAACAGAATGTAATATAAAGTGAGTAGTGATTTCTGAATGTACTCAAAGCATGGGCTTTCGATATTTAAAACCCTGCTCAAAGCAACTGAACTGATTAAATCAGTTTTGGAAAGTTTCTAATGTTCTCTTCAGTTGAATACATATTATAAGAAGGTATAATTTATGCACTATTCAAGGGTTTGAGTGAGACCGCAATGCAGGAATGATCAAAAATGAGACATGCAGTATTGTACCAGGGGTGGGATTTTGAATTTCATTTTCGGACTACAATTTGGGAAATTGCACTAGCTATCATTGTTATTGGTATAGACAGGTTCCAATTCAAATAATTCAAGTTTTTGAGGCATTTTTTAGAAAAAGCAACAGACCTATTGTTACTAGATCAGTTTTTCATGCTGATAAAGATATTAAAAGATGACAGCTCAACAGGGTGGTCACGACACTAAATTTTGGCATTTTTACCCCCCTAGGAAAATATTCTAGGGGGTACTATGAAACTAGTTCATAACTCAAAGGATATATGAGCTATTGTTCTGAGTTGTACACCATACATTGCTAGTACAAATATGAATACTATCCTAAAGTTATGGGTTGATACTCTCATTGGTCTCAGAAAAATACAAAAAACAGAAAAAAGATACGCAATTTTTGTCTTGCCAATTTTATATTTGTAGCTTTAAGCACAATATGACAGCTTTAACAGCTCATAGTAGTATTCTAAAAACATTTCCAAGCTATGTGTGGTATTGTAATACATCTATTTTAGTTATGAAGTACTATTTTGTAATTTTAATATGACTTTATAGTGCCCTACCCCTGGAAAATTGAAGAAAGTGGATGTGGTGAATTTTATCATTTTGCAGCATTAAGTTAGAAACATGTATTGATAGACACCAAATCAATAAATTCATACCATCGTCAAATGTTAGGTGACATTCTAATTCATTTATTACTAGAATATAGGACTTAAGATATTTTATATGTAAGTTTTCAATTAAGTACATGTATCATAATGAAATCTAGTGTAATCACATACTAGAGAGGTTGGCATACAGTCTGGACATTGACATAAAGTCTAAACATTATAATCATCAATTGATCTCATTTGAGCAACTAGACTATGGTGGTCATCATGCACAAGTAATGTACAGTAGAACCTGCTAAGTGGAACACCTCCGTAAGTGGAACACCTCCCAAGTGGAACACCTTTTCAGAGTCCCGTTTTAAAAACCCATTGACTTAATGTTAATTGAACCTCTGTAAGTGGAACACCTCCAAACTTGAACAGTGAACACCCCATATTGAAAAATTAACCTGCTAAGTGGAACAGTCAATTTCCATAGATTTCAATATTGATATATGTAAACAGAATTAATCTCCTTCAATGATATCTGGGTATGAAAACAGGTAATACTGTGATAATTTTCATTCAAAAAATTGGATTAACCTCCTGTAGAACTGGACACGTGATGCTACCACTAATTAATATCACTTGCTGTTTGTTTCAAACTTAATAAGTAAGATTAAAAATGTCATTTTAAAACAATTGAATTATTAGCAGTAGAAACAAGTCTTTAAAACTTAATTGCCTAATCCTTGTACCTGAGACTGGCACAATTAGGAGGATTAAGAATGTCAGAAAACATTTTTGGCAGAATGAGGAGGATTAAGAATGTCAGATACCTTTTTGAGTAAAATAAATGGATTATTAATGGTATATACCTGCCCTGTAATGAAGGGAGAATCATATTTCCAATGATACATAGAGGATATCCTATGATTTATGAGTGATATGATTTTTATCCACGAATGGATATGATATCTGCACGAGCGAGCGTAGCGAGAGAGTGCAGATATCAATATCCATGAGTGGATTAAAATCATATCACGAGTAAATCATAGGATGTTCTTTTTATTCCATAGTTAAAGTCATCATCAGAATTGTCGGAAATTAAGTCATTTAATTCGAATTTTCCAAACGATCCGGCGATGTTGACACTTAGCCTCGTTTTGAGTCTGAAGTAGCAAAAATCCATTAACCATCGCATACGACGTCGTATGTCATGGCTAAAAAACCGTATGCTATGGTTAAGTGAAAATTTGTCAAAAATATCATATTTTACTACTGATCACAAAAATACCGTTTTTATTTTCACATGTTCTCCAATGAATATCATGCTAACTATGGAATAAATATAAATACTATATTTGATCTTGTATGTTCCCTGCGAACCCAAAACCTCCGTAAGTGGAACACCTTCTAAGTGGAACGCTTTGTGGCAGTGTTCCACTTACACAGGTTCTACTGTATTTACATAATAATGTTATAAAGGAGCATGTAGGTTATCGCAAACAACTTCAGACAATTCTAACTTGAATTATGAATATTTTCTGACCATGAACATGGGTATATCTTTTAGATCTATTCATTATCTTCAGGAAAAGTAAATATAATGATTAATCAGACCTAAGTGATATTAAAGGGAATGGCCCTATCAACATACTTTTTACTAAAAATGTTGACCTAATTTTTACCAAAGATGTAACCTTTAATTATATTGTTGAATGCATAATTAGAATATGCTTTGAGACATGTTCTATTTCCTAAGAGGAAAAGTGGATTGCTCCGGGGACTTTAAAGACACTGAATTTGGATGACCAAAATGAACTGAAACCAATGGATAGCATGAATTTTTTCAAAGGGGAAATAACATGGGGAACACTAATCTTAGGGGAATTCAGTTTTCTTTTCAAGAGCTATTTGATACATTAAAATAAAGAATAGTAATGCATTAAACATTGTTAAAATAATTGCATTTTTGGTGAAAATGAGGTCAACAACTTTGAAAAAATATATTGATGGGTTGATTGCTAGTGAAATATCTCCGAGTCCGATTGACTTTATTATCCCTGTATACCTGCCTTCATTGTCAGAAAATAGTCATAATCAAAGATATAACTGTCTGAAATTGTTTGTGATAACTTACCTGAACCTTTCCAGGTCAAATCAGGAGTGACAAAATTATTTCCACCAATTTTTTGACATGTCTTCAAATACGATAATATTTTCTTCATAAGAGAGAGTGTCACTTGTGAAATTTATTGATTGACCTGAGATCGTACCATATCTATATGACATAGAAGCGAAATAGCCATATTGAACTTTAATGATGTTTGTTTAATTGTTGTTTGCCACTTTTCGACAATTGTCAAAATTTGGGGGTTTTGGGGAGGGGTACAATTAGGTTAAAAATTCACCTGATTCAGACTATTCTTAAATGAGCACTGATTCACCCGAGAGCATAACTTTTTCAAAACATGTAAGTGTTATTTTTGGACCACTCACATTAATGTTTCGTCTAATTGACTAATAGTTTCATCATCATTGTCCAAATCTTAGGCCATATTTGTTGAGATATATGAATGTTCATTATTAAAATCTTGCCTTCCTTTGCAGTTGGAAAAGATTTGGCATTAGGTGTTATAAGTCCCAGAGTACGATAAATAAAAAAATAACAACAAAATGACATAGAACTGATAGACGTTTTCTCCTGTGCGTGTCAGCCTTGGTCTACCAAATTGCTATTCAGTAGGAAGAAACTCATTTTTCAGTTTCCATTTTAATTTCCTGACAAATAGAGCGATCACCCCAGGATTTTTTCTATGATCTATGTGTCGACATAGCAACTTCTGTTTTGGAGAACAATAGAACAATAGAAAAGATTACTTTACCATAATTTTAATCATCCCACATTGAAGACATATGTAGAATTAAAAATATGAAGAGAATGACAAAACCTCTTAAAACACATTTCTTGGGAAACAAATAGTGTCGTATTCTTGTTACTATGGCAACAGAGTTTTTTCTTTTTGTCATTTTTGTCATACAGATTACCTATCATACCAGGACCAAATCCTGAAAATTTGAATTCAGTATCTTCTGACTTCATTAGTATCTTAGATATATAGGTTTCTTATAGTGTCCCCTGCAGATTTTATCGGATTATATAAGGAAAATGCTCTGAAGAGTGTTGCCCAAGGATGCCACTTAACAGTTCTGGCATTTTTGAGGTCCCAACCCTCTATTCATGGGAATAGTTAACCATTGTAAAGCTTCTCATGGTTAACTGACAGAATTGATTGTATCTTCAACTAAGAAGACAATTAAATGTTAAAACCAGAAGAAAACCACACCAACTTTCTTCTATTTACCAGGGGTAGGGCACTATAAAGTCATATTAAAATTACAAAATAGTACTTCATCACTATAATAGATGTATTACAATATCACACATAGCTTGGGAATGTTGTTAGAATACTACTTTGAGCTGTTTAAGTTATCATATTTTGCTTGAAGCTACAAATGTAAAATAAGCAAGAAAAAAAAGACAAAAATTGCATATTTTTTTCTAATTAATTGCATTTTTCCGAAACCAACAAAGATATCAACCTATAACTTTAGGATAGTATTTATCTCTGTACTAACAATGTATGCTGTAGAACTCAGAACAATAGTTTATATATCCTTTGAGTTATGAACTGATATTATAGTACCCCCTAAAATAATTTCCTAGGGGTGTAAAAACGCTAAAATTCAGTGTCGTGACCACCCCGTTGAGCTGTCATCTTTTAATATCTTTATCAGCATGAAAAACTGATCCAGAAAAAATAGGTCTGTTGCTTTTTCTAAAAAATGCCTCAAAAACCCTTTCCCTTGAGATATTCTGAAATTGGAACCTGTCTAGTAGGGGAAATTGACTCACTTGGTTGCTTCTGAGTGAATTTGACACACAAACCTTTAAATGGTACATTATATATTAAAAGTGCTAAATCAATCAGAACAGATACTTTGGTACTGTAATGAATAGTTGGGGATAGGTTGGGTGCATTCATGAGTGTCATGCTTAAATGAACATTAAATAAAAACATGACTTAATCTATAATTGCCTTATATTCCAATCGCTACTGTACTATATAATAATGAATAGTCTAAAACTTAGTTTTATGTTATTTATCTATGGGACACCTCACCTGCCTTTTCCTGGCTTAACTCCCTAAAACAAAGAACATAACATAAAACATTGGGTTCAAATATGCTTGCTAAAAGCCCCAGCTAAGGCCACCGGGGTACTACATGGCATGTGCACCAAGTACAATTAGCATCTTGCCAAGTACGAAGTATACATGTTGCCCAGCATGTGGACCAAGTTACAAGTCACATGCTGCCAAGTCCCATATTCAAAATTTTCGAAGTCTTAATGATAAACCTCGCATGTGCAGCATGTGGACCAAGTTAGCAAGTGACATGGTACCATGTTGCATGTTCAAATAGCATCTTGTCAAGTTTAAACTATACATCTCGCATGTGCAGCATGTGGACCAAGTTAGCAAGTGACATGCTGCCATGTTACATGTTCAAATAGCATCTTGCCAAGTTTAAACTATACATCTCGCATGTGCAGCATGTGGACCAAGTTAGCAAGTGACATGGTACCATGTTGCATGTTCAAATAGCATCTTGCCAAGTTTAAACTATATATCTCGCATGTGCTGCATGTGGACCAAGTTAGCAAGTGACATGCTGCCATGTTGCATGTTCAAATAGCATCTTGCCAAGTTTAAACTATACATCTCGCATGTGCAGCATGTGGACCAAGTTAGCAAGTGACATGCTACCATGTTGCATGTTCAAATAGCATCTTGCCAAGTTTAAACTATACATCTCGCATGTGCTGCATGTGGACCAAGTTAGCAAGTGACATGCTGCCATGTTGCATGTTCAAATAGCATCTTGCCAAGTTTAAACTGTACATCTCGCATGTGCAGCATGTGGACCAAGTTAGCAAGTGACATGCTACCATGTTGCATGTTGAAATAGCATATTGCCAAGTTTAAACTATACAACTCGCATGTGCAGCATGTGGACCAAGTTGCCAAGTGACATGGTACCATGTTGCATGTACAGATAGCATCTTGCCAAGTTTAAACTATACATCTCGTCTCGCATGTGCAGCATGTGGACCAAGTTAGCAAGTGACATGCTACCATGTTGCATGTTGAAATAGCATCTTGCCAAGTTTAAACTATACAACTCGCATGTGCAGCATGTGGACCAAGTTGCCAAGTGACATGGTACCATGTTGCATGTACAAATAGCATCTTGCCAAGTTTAAACTATACAGCTCGCATGTGCAGCATGTGGACCAAGTTGCCAAGTGACATGGTACCATGTTGCATGTACAGATAGCATCTTGCCACGTTTAAACCATACGACTCACATGTGCAGCATGTGGACCAAGTTGCCAAGTGGCATGCTGCCATGTTGCATGTTCGAATAGCATCTTGCCAAGTTTCAACTATACATCTCTCATGTGCAGCATGTGGATCAAGTTCCAAAATGACACGTTTGTTTATTTGGAATGGGAAATTAAATGATAAAATATATTTTTAAACTAAAAAGTTTGTTTAATGAACGGTAAAACGAATGAAATGAACACAAATTTGGAAAATGTAATTTAAAAAATGGTAAATTGGTATATAAGTTTGAGCTTTGTAGTAAGCATATGAAGAAATCATCCTCTACAATATTCTTGGTTAGCTGACAACTAACTCCCGGGCACTGACTACATTTGTATTCTGCCACTCTCAGGCCAGTAGTCAGCTTTTACCAGGGAGGGAAGCAGGGGGGAGGGCTGTTTTTAAAGAATTCCATGAGGGATTTGACTTTTCCTTTGCATTATACCTTAGAATTCACACATGTAAAATGTTTCAATATGATAATAATAGATTACTAACTTTATGTTCTCATAAAACAAAAATAGATTGCAGAGAATAATTTATTATGTAGAGATGATTTTATTATGGAATAATTGTGAAGTAATAAACTTGTTAATGTTACAAAGCTATGAACAGCATATTACTGTATCATATACAATTATTCTAACACAATTCTAAACACATGTGAACATTATAGTATCCTTGTATTAATGTTCCAATCTGAGTGTCAGTTAGTTCACTAAGTAGGCTCCCTGGTCAGAAACATCTTGAATTCTTGAATAAGTAGAAATAAGAATATAACTGTATTTATGTAGAATTGAAAATCTGTATATCTGCAAATATAGAACATTTACCATTGCCCATGAGTTTTCTGCTCTGTAGAAAGACCATAAATGCACATCTTTATGAATTTATATAATCAATAGCACTTTAAGTCCCCATATAAGGTCTAAATCACTTTGGCTTATACTGTAGTCTTACTCAGTGTTATATGGAAGAATGTGAAACTTATTTTAATTGCTAATTTATATAAAACTAACTTTTATAACTAACTTTTAGAGATCACATATATATTCTAATAAGCGCTAATTCAAACCAATGCATAGCATTCATCCTCACATGATTTTGGTGAAAAATTAAGAAAATTGGTTCAAGAATAGGCGAGAAATGAACTCGTCAATGCTTTAAAATGGTTCAGAGAAAAATGTATTTCAAAATTTCTTCTTTCCTCCCGTATTTTTGACTGAAATCTCCCTTAATCTACCGTGTTTGAGCTAAATCTACAGTCAGTAACCTTGATTATTGGACTTCTTTCTTTTACTTTCAGTTTTACAGCAGGGAAATGTATATTTTCTGTAAAAACTGAGCGAGCAAAGGAACCCTCATAATACTTGTTCAGGGCCAACTTACATCATGGGCTTTTAATAATCAGCCTGATTACTCATTAATTTTTGTCATATTCTTTTGTTTTCCCATTTCATTTGACTAAATGAACTTTCATTTAACTTTTATTCACCATAACCTCGTTCAAAACCAATTTCAGGTTGGCAGGTCTGACGTTAGTTGCAAAATATTTTTGATATGCTAAACCATTGAAGTGGCGCATCATTAAAAAAAATTCAACTTTTATTTGAAAAATGGCGGGAAATTTGATAACGAGAAATGAAAAAATTCAAAAAATGAATTTAACCCTTACCCCAAAAAAATGAATTTAACCCTAAGACCATGAATATGTGTGTCAAAAATGTAAAATAAATTAAAAAATGAATTCCATAAATAAATAAATTTTTCTATGTCAAAATATAAAAAAAAGAATTTAATTCTAACCTTAACCCTAACCCTAACCATCCCCAACCCTATTAAACCAGATGGAGTTTTAAATGATTACCTAACCCTGACCTACCCACTGAGGACACAGGACGCGTACTAGACCCTAATGATACAGGGTCCAATTGGCAGGAGCGGTAATCGCATACCAGACCCTAATGATACAGAGTCCACTTGGCAGGAGCAGCGTTCGCATACCAGACCCTAATGATACAAGATCCACTTGGCAGGAGCGGCAATTGTGTACCAGACCCTAATATGATACAGGGTCCACTTGGCAGGAGCGGCGTTTGCATACCAGACCCTAATGATACAGGATCTACTTAGCAGGAGCAGCGATCCCTAACCAACCCTATTAAACCAGATGGGGTTTTAAATGATTACCTAACCCTGAACTACCCACTGAGGACACAGGACACGTACCAGACCCTAATGATACAGGAACCACTTTGCAGGAGCGGCGATCGTGTCCCAGACCCTAATGATAGAGGGTCCACTTGGCAGGAGCGGCATTCGTGTACCAGACCCTAATGATACAGGGTCCACTTGGCAGGAGCGGCGATCGTGTACCAGACCCTAATGATAGAGGGTCCACTTGGCAGGAGCGGCATTCGTGTACCAGACCCTAATGATACAAGGTTCACTTTGCAGGAGCAGCGATCGCTATCAGTAGGGTCTGGCACATGAACACCGCTCCTGCAAAGTGAAATGAGTTTAAACCGTAACCTCAACCCACCCTAACCAACCCTATTAAACCAGATGGGGTTTTAAATGATTACCTAACCCTGACCTACCCACTGAGGACACAGGACACGTACCAGACCCTAATGATACAGGGTCCACTTGGCAGGAGCAGCGTTCGCATACGAGACCCTAATGATACAAGATCCACTTGGCAGGAGCGGCAATTGTGTACCAGACCCTAATGATACAGGGTCCACTTGGCAGGAGCGGCGTTTGCATACCAGACCCTAATGATACAGGATCTACTTAGCAGGAGCAGCTATCCCTAACCAACCCTATTAAACCAGATGGGGTTTTAAATGATTACCTAACCCTGAACTACCCACTGAGGACACAGGACGCGTATCAGACCCTAATGATACAGGGTCCACTTGGCAGGAGCGGCGATCATGTACCAGACCCTAATGATAGAGGGTCCACTTGGCAGGAGCGGCATTCGTGTACCAGACCCTAATGATACAAGGTTCACTTTGCAGGAGCAGCGATCGCTATCAATAGGGTCTGGCACATGAACGCCGCTCCTGCAAAGTGAAATGAGTTTAAACCGTAACCTCAACCCACCCTAACCAACCCTATTAAACCAGATGGGGTTTTAAATGATTACCTAACCCTGACCTACCCACTGAGGACACAGGACACGTACCAGACCCTAATGATACAGGAACCACTTTGCAGGAGCGGCGATCGTGTCCCAGACCCTAATGATAGAGGGTCCACTTGGCAGGAGCGGCATTCGTGTACCAGACCCTAATGATACGAGGTCAACTTGGCAGGAGCTGCGATTGCGTACCAGACCCTAATGATACAGGGTCAACTTGGCAGGAGCGGTGATCACATACCAAACCCTAATGATAAAGTGTCCACTTGGCAGGAGCAGCGTTCACGGTTCACGTACATCTTTTATTGACTCAGATGTCATCACAATGACATATTAGTCAGTACAATGTACAATATACAAAAATAACTTAGACTAAACTAACTACAAAATACAAAATGTAAACAACATGACAAATGCAAAAATATAAGTTATGAGTCAAGTTTTAAATACAGCATAAGAAAATGTAAAATATCAGTGTGATGTATCATTGACACAATGTTCATCCAACACATATACAATGTATGAATTAAAGATCATTGCCAGGATCAATAAATGACTATGTCTGTTGAACTTGGCAACATGCACACATGGCACCACCAACATTTCTGGTACATGGTACAGATGCTAATACAAGATGGCAAGTGGAACCATGTTGAGCATTAATAGACATTATTATAACATGGACATCCAACATGCCATGCTACAGCCAATAGCCATATTTATCACATGACAACATGCTGTACTTGGTAAGTTGTGAACTTGGGATCACTTGAATCAAGGTACTTGGCACACATGCAAATATAAGATGGCAAGTATGCCAATGCAACATGTATAAATCAACATGCACATCCAACATGCGAACATGGCAGTACTCACAAATTCTGATACATGTACACATGCTAAAACAAGATGCCATGTCCAACCAAAATAGTACATGTTCCAATCTAGAATAAATCTTGAATTATCACTTGCACATTCAACATGCCATGTTGAGCCAGTTGCTCTGTCTTTCACATGCTAGACCAGTAGCATCTTGTCAGAAAGGTACTTGCTAAAATATTGCCATGTTACAAACAAGTATATGCCAAGTGACTGCATCTTGTAGATATTACCACTTGGCAACATGGCAGAACATGGCATGTTTGGACCCGGTGGCCATAAATGAAAAGCCCCACTGAGAAAACCTAGACCTCTTCCATGCATCATTTACAATCATAATGTTGTGAATACCTCAATTGAGCTGAATAGACAATACACACCTAGAGGTCCTATTTAATAATTCTTATAAATATTTATAAGAATATCAATCATATTTAAGTCGAAGTGTTGCTTGTCTGGATCAAGATATTTCAAAATTTCTTTTCTGAAAGAACCTCAAACTCAATAGATCTGCCATTTATAGTTTATACAGCTCACTCAGCAGAAAAATGGAGGCCATTTTGAAATGAAAATCCACTTTGCTAAATTAAAATATATATAACAATCGATTAGAACCAGGATATAAGCTGATATTCTGCAAATGTGTACATAAAGGTATGTTTCATATAATTGTGCCATAACTGAAATATTGAATATCAGGGTGGCGGTAAACAATCACTCAAAGCCAGAATATAGAGAAGGCTTTGGACCTAAGTAAATCGAAGGCAGAATGAAACACATAGGGATTTATGATTTGCGTAAGGCTGCAATATAGTCGAAGCCTTAGGAAAAGGTAAAGATTACCCTGATGTACTCTAGCCTTGATTAGAAACTTGAGTACTGAAAATGGATGTGTCCCTAGTCAGCCTAGGCCTAGATCTAATGTTTGGACTAGACTACTATGGCACCAATCAAATGGTTCAAGTAATAGAACAACAATTTCAATTGGTTGTGTCACATCTAGAGGTAGTTCATTAAAATTGATTTGAGTAGGGAGTGTTGAAAATATTCGTTCGTATATTGATCCCAAATTATGAATAATCCGATTGATCAAAACTGGAATCGGGAGGAGTAAAAATCTCCAAAATAATTTCTAATAACAAATCCTTTTTCGTCAGAGTTTAAACAATACCGAAGCAAAATCAACACATGAAACAATGCATAAATACATATTCACTATATTTAAGTAACGTACCTGGCTATCTTTACTCCTTGTCGTGCAATATTGAGGAAAAGTAGGAGAATTTGATTTTTCAAACCGGAAATGAAAACATCTGCCAGTAATTTATGATGAAATGGCAGTGTCACGAAATTATGTGGCGTTTTGCTTCGCTCCGTTATAACATTAGATGGTCTATCTAACATACATACCGTGATTATATCATACTGACAGAGAAGGAGATCATACATGTACAACCTCCTTCATGACCACAAATAAAAAGGAGAATGAGTCTTGAATTGGAACTTGATAACCTTGATAACCCCTCCCACCTCCAGAAACAAACAAAATTAGAGTCTGAGGTATGATATCAGTTTTATATTGGAATCCTTATTAATCTACCTAAAAACAAACATGTAGATCCAATGGAAATGGAGAAAATAGAGGGGAGATGTCAATGCGGTAGCCTGACAGTCGTTCCAGAGTATTTCAACAAAGGGACTTACTGGGTCGTACACGGCCCAACCAGGGAGGTTCCTTTCAATTTTAAATGAGTTGTAAACCATAGATCTATTTTTTAAATGTTAGGTTTATATTGTATTCTATTCAAATTCTATCACTGTTAAACTATACATCTGCTTTAAATGGGCCTATCAGCTCTTTGCAGATTATTGATGTAGATGTGAAAGGTTGAATTAGCACTGCTGCCCATGTATCACAACAAATGAGCTCATAAACCCTGACTTCACTTTTTGCTTGTTTGGACAGATTGATACCTACAAACTATGATATCATCAAACTAGCCAATATATCGGAGCAGCAAAAGGTTGGCAGGATTTATTGAAAAGTTCCTTTGCAAGATACAAATTTTGTGTTCTTGTGATGAATAAAATGAATTGCTTTAGGAGGGTTAGATCTTATTCAATTGGATTTCTTTTTCCTGGGTTATGGGATAAATAAAATTGTCTATCTACAGCCACATAGAGAATTTTATTGAGTTAAATAAGCAAATTTTAACAACCAGGTTATGTTCATTAGCTGTACTTTGGGGTACTATAACTGCATGTAGATCACCTTAAATATTAGTTCAACAGAAAATAATTTATTTGTACATAACTATTATATTTCATTTCATTCGTACAATAAAAACAATATAATGTATATATATTGTATTTCACAATATAATGCATTTCACATGGACATATCAAGTACATGAACAGTGGTGACAAATCCAGATATCAGGATAAACTGTTATATGGGATAAATATCATATTTCATGTGTGACACTTAATATGAATACTCTCAATAACCAGTTTCTCCCTCTGATGCCTCTTTTAGAATATATGGCAGCCATTACAATAGTTAACACTGTATAATGCCTTGTCACAATTTCAAGTGTCATAATTGTAAATGTATTGAGGTGTCATAATTATAAAAATGAGTAGAACTTCTTGTATTTTCAAATTCACAATAGGTATTGTATTGTAATGTCTCACATTTCAGATCTAACATTTTATCAAAATATATCATGACTGAAAAACTAATTGGCAAATATTTAAAATTCAAAATTATAAAATTAGAATACAACATTTCGAATGATACATCACTCTTCGGAATCTGGCAAGCTTTTCAGAAACTTCTTCAAGAATTCTTCTCTTTAAGTGGTCTGGATGATAATTTTGTGCTAAGAATATATTATAAGAAATGTTGATATTCTTTACATTGGGGCTAAAGAATGAAAATTTGACAATTGATACAAAACATGATATACATGTATCATACAATTTCATACAATATACATGTATCATACAACTGTTACTAGGGATGAAATAAATAGATAGACACAAAAATATTTATTTATAATAATTTGAATACTGACCAGAATGCAAATGTCAGATTTCTTCACGTTTTCTGATTATTTTCATTCACATATGTAGATTGAGTTAACATTTAGTCAATCACTGCAAAAAATATATGCCTTTCTCATGTCACCAATTTTCCAAATATCTTGTACTGATTGGTTTTCAGTATGTGGTTTACTATTTGTTTCACTTGAATTGTATTTCTAGTGCTTGTTCATTATAGTTTACATTTTATAAAAATATCATGTAACTTTTACCAGTAGTCATCACTGTTAAAATGAAACTGGATTGCTTTTTTGTTTCCTCAATAAGGATCACATGAGGGAATAATGATGTAATTATAAAATTTGATGATGATTTAGCATAATTCTTAAGTATATTAAATAATTATCATAAGTTCTCCTAACATAGGCTTTTGTTTCATTTTCCTTTTTACCCTGTCACAATCAAATTGAATGACCCAACATTTCCCTAACTACATCCAAAACTCTTACGAAGCAATCAACAATCTCTAGTTGAGTATTTCTAATCTGTGACCTGTGAACTAATTAGTTCCAACTTGGTAGTTTACTGATCGGGGAGAACACAGGTAGTATATATTATTGCATCTCATACTTGAGTTGGTTTGGGATAGATATCACCTGGGAATATATATCATATCCAACACCTCCCAGTACATAAACCTTATATATACTTCATAAACTGTGCAGTTGATTTTAAAACAGTAATAACTAACCATAACCAAGGGTAATTAACAACAACCAAAACATTGATTTTGAAATATACAATTGTCTTTTAAATGTATGCTTTTTATTCAATGTTCTTATTGGCTATTGAAATCTAAGAATGACCGATCAGATTTTAACTTTGGGATGCTTTTAGTGAAATGTTTTTATTGGCTGTTGAGATCTTTGACTGCCCAATCAGATTAAAACTTTTGGGATTTAATTTCAGAATGATCATTGCAGGAAGGAAAAATATGTAATGCTTGTACAGTTGCCCTATATTTAGAAATGGAAAGCACTTCTATGGCAAAGAACTTCATATAGATTTCATGTACTAGTACTCCTGTATCCTATTGATAAGATGTACTCCTGTATGCTAATAATTGGTAGGATTTATGCCTGTATTCTAAGATGTAATTCATAATTGTCCATCTGACTTCAACACTTTCTACCTTTCTTCAGTACTAGTAATGCCCTTTTAAAACACCAGTCACTGATTATTCAGTTAACATACTTCTAGGCATTAGACAGCAAAAGTGTAGTTTTCTTCAATAAAGTCGCAAATTCAAGCAAAGTTCCAAGTGATACTTGCTGAACTGTATTTCTTTGCCAATACTGATTTGTTTATAACACTGTATTGTCAACAGTGTCATTTCCTGAATCAACATGAGTGGCATATTATGCCAATGTGCACCAGACTGCGCCACATTTTGCCTCTGTGCACTGCATCAGATACCAATACTCTGGTGTGCAGACTGAATCCTAATCTACCTTATTTCCTACAATAGATGTCTCTCTCAGCCTGTGTTATTGCTGGGATTCTGGTGATGTCGATTTTATTGTTGGCGATGACGATATACTCTCCCCACCAGATGCTGAAAAATATATGAACAAAATGTGGGTTCATGATTCGATGAGTTGAAAATGTGGATCAATATTTGGTGGTTCATCCACTAAAATCTTTAAGGTGAATAGATCTCATGAAAAGAAGACAAAAACAAGAACACAAATGTGTACAAAATGTCCCCACCAATGGGTGATCCCGTCAAATGGTTATCCTGAAAATGAGTAGACAAGACTTTACCAACACAATTTGAGGACGGAAAATCCAAAATGGTCACCTTAAAATTTACCCAGAATGCCAAAAATTTAATCAGTTCTAGATTTTCATACTAAGAACCACCCCAGAATGGAAAATCCAAAATGGCTGCCTTGACATTTACCCAGAATGTCAAAAAACTTAAATCTGTTTCTAGATTTTCATACTAAGAATCATCCCTGAAAATATGAAATTGATCTACCAAACGATTCACCTGAAAACGGGTAGACAAGACTTTACAGACAAGATTTTAGGACAGAAAATCCAAAATGGCTGCCTTAACATTTACGCAGAATGCAAAAAAAAACTAATCAGATGTAGATTTTCATACTAAGAATCATCCCTGAAAATATGAAATTGATCTACCAAACGGTTCACCTGAAAACGGGTAGACAAGACTTTACAGACAAGATTTTAGGACAGAAAATCCAAAATGGCTGCCTTGACATTTACTCAGAATGCAAAAAAACTAATCGGATGTAGATTTTCATACTAAGAATCATCTCTGAAAATTTGAAATTGATCTACCAAACAGTTCACCTAAAAACGTGTAGACAAGACTTTACAGGCAAGATTTTAAGACGGAAAATCCAAAATGGCTGCCTTGACATTCATCCAGAATGCCAAAAAACTTATCAGATCTAGATTTTCATGCTAAGAATCATCCCTGAAAATTTGAAATTGATCTACAGAACGGTTCACCTGGAAATGCGTAGACAAGACTTTACAGACAAGATTTTAGAATGGAAAATCCAAAATGGCAGCCTTGACATTTACCCAGAATGCCAAAAAACTAATCAGTTCTACATTTTCATACTAAGAATCATCCCTGAAAATTTGAAATTGATCTACCAAACAGTTAACCTGAAAACCCGTAGACAAGACTTTACAGACAAGATTTTAGGACGGAAAATCCAAAATGGCTGCCTTGACATTTACCCAGAATGCCAAAAAAGTAATGAGATCTAGATTTTTATACTACGAGTCATCCCTGAAAATTTGAAATTGATCCACCAAACGGTTCACCTGAAAACGCGAAGACAAGACTTCATAGACAAGATTTTAGGACAGAAAAATCCAAAATGGCCGACAATAAAAAAGTCCTTATGAGTTTTTGCTGATTTCTTTTTACAAAATTATCACATATAACTACTGTTAACAATTACATAGGCTTTTACAACAAAGTACATCTGAAATTATTTATAAAGCTACTAAATAGTTAGAGTATGAAAACTCAAAAACACCATTCAATATGATACAAAGTATTATCGCGCGCTAACTTTTCTTAAGACATTCAAAATGGCTGACATGACTGAGCTAACAGGTCCAAAACCTTATCAGATGTAGAATGAAGTGAGCTAAACAAGATTTTAAGTTTTAAAAGCAACTGTGAAGCCGTTTTTCTTAAAGTTTGCAGACAAGGATTTTAGCATTTGACTTCAAAATGGCCGACAGGAAGTAGGTTTCAAGTTAATTTTTTTTCATCCACATCTATATGCACTCATTAGTTATCCCTGAAAATTTGAAGGTGATATCTGTAGCGGTTTTGGAGAAAACTCCCGGACGTACGGACGGATGGACAGACGGACGGACGGACAGACAGTCGGACGCGCCTAGGCCGACAATATGGCCCCACACTATGTGGTGGGGACATAACAAAGCTAAGAATATTTTTTTACAATAATTGGGATATTCTAAGATTAGTTAGAGGTTAAGCCACTATAAATATCTATACATAAAAAATCCATAAGTCAAGTCGTTATAATTTTGATTGAAGAAAGGATTGGTAGCGATAAGGTGAACAACATTGTTTTTCAGATCAATTATTGAAAACAATCTGCAAAAAACACATCCTGTATGTAATGGTCTGTCGGACAACAAATTAATTAATGTGAAAATTATTTATACAGTATACTTCATTTTATATAAATGTTTTAGTAAACAATTTTTGAATTTCTGAACCTTGTTGCAACAAAATGGGATATAAACAGTGTGCTTAGATCTCTGAATATCTAACTAGTTATACAAAGGAAAGTTTGGTTCATTATAAAACATCTAAAAAATGATTTCTATACCAATGACGATCTTTACACAAATACTTGCCAATTTAACTAGCCATATACAATCTCAGTGAAAATTTCGAGTATATGGACTGTGACTTTGAGCAATTAACTTAGTAATTAGATCACTGCAAATTCAGATTTGGACTCTGACTCGAGATTGAGTTCCCAAGGGGCGTAGTGGTAGATTCCGGAAGAGTATTCATGGTATGTTTCTGCATAGTTGTGTTTATTTATGAAAAATTAATGGAACCAACATTTTCATAATAACAGCAAATGTATCTTCCTTTTGTGAATATTTTATCCAGATTTATTGAGTAGTTTTTGAGATCATCAATTATTTAGTCAAAGGTACATCATTTTTGCACTTTTTAAAAAATAATTCAGTAGCGCAGAATAAATTTTCCAAAATATTGTAGCATGCTAAGGGTTAAATAATTTAATCATTTTAAATGAACCAAACTCTCTTTGTATAATCACAATATTGAGAGACCTAAATACATTGTAAATATGTCATTTTGTTCCAACGAGGAGGTTTGGATAGATGTTTTATTTCATCCCAAACATATACATGTAGTACCAAGAACAAAGTGGATAAAAGTGATAGCCTGAGAAAATCATAGGATATCATATTTATCCTATGATAATTTTGTATTGACTTCAAATAATTTGACCTAAAGTTGTTATTTTCTAATTCTTTTCTAATATTTTCATTTTATTTTTTGTGAACATATTTTTACAAAATAATTGCATGAAAAAAGTCAACTCTTTTTTACTTAGCACATAATCTTGGATACTATTTTTAAGACATCATATGAGTCGGATATGATTTTAGTGGCGAATACCCAAAAAATTATCTTCTGTCATTATCCCCATATATATTTAGTATATAAATACAATATAAATATTTTCATATCAAATTGTTATATTCAAAACATGACCACTACACTGATGATGTGTACATTCAGAATTTTTTGATATTTGGTTTCAGAGAAAAATATATTCAATTTAGTTCACCTTATCGCTACCAATCCTTTGACTGAAAATTGTGACTGCTCTATACCCTTATAAAATGGACTCACCTTCAGTCTCAGGGTCAATAGTTCCACTACTATTGGAAGAGTCCACCTCGCTATGTTTCACAGGGATGTCACCATCAGATTCTCTTCTGGAAACAAAACAGAAATTTTAACATATGGAAGACCAAGTCTCTTACACTGTCTCAAATGTCAAACTAAAAGTATGAATCCAAAGTGTGATGATGTGTTACAGAGAGTTTTATTTGAAATAGGGTGTATAAAATACAAACAAATCAGGAATGCTTTTTACAGTTGTTTTACCAAAATAGGGTAATAATACTTCGCAGATAAAAGTTTATGCTTAGGTCATATTGCTCTAGGGTGACAGTAACTCTGAAAAATACCTAGTAAAAATCTATGGCTGGCATACAGCGTATCCAGTATAAGTATGTAAGAAATGTGAAAAGTGTTTTAAAACATGGTAACATATATTTATTGCCATGGTAACTGAATCTGCCAAAAAGGTGTTAAAAGTTATAACATGTGTTGACAATAAAAATTACACTTTCATGGTAACAGATACTAGTATTGAAAGAAAAGTGTTGGAACTCATGTCATGTTATATATGTTCACCCTAAATCTTAAGTCAGTCTAGACAGTTCTTGTAGAGTTGATGGAAGTTGAAAGAATTTGCTACAAATACACCATCCACAAAAACAGCCAATATGTCACCACTCGTGGTGGTTACATAAAAACTATGGTTGCTACAGTATTAATACCTCAATTTTTTCGGTGGGGAGTCTGGCTCAGGTGATTCAAGAACACGTTTCTCTCCAGCACTGATGGTGTCTTTATTGTCTAGGGGTGGGGTTGTGTCAGCACTGTTGGTGGATGTGGTGGACGTCTTCAGCTGCTTGACCCGCCAATCAATGGCCTGGAATAACTGGTCTGCATCTTTGTGACTTGTCTATAAACATTGCAGATGAAATTCATTTCATATATCGTCAAATAATTTCCAGATTCACAACCACCTTTTGCTCAATTCTGTTGATTTAGAAATCCATTGCCACAAGAAAAGAGTAGTCTGTTACATAAGCATAAGAAATCTATAAATATCATGAACAACTTGCTGCTTGCATATAACAGCATGTCTGGAGTCAGGATGACTGCTCCCTCATTTCACTCATAAACTGACAACTTTCAAAATTTTCAATTCACTGAAACACTTGAGCTTCTCTTGATGCAAGATAGCTTATTGGCATGTTAGAGAGGCATGTTAGAGAGGCATAAAATAAGGACATACCATGATTAAAAATATTCTAACTTCGCCATCCACAATAGCCGTTATCTTGACGCTCTTTACACTGGCTTTTTCCACCATCATACCTGGCCACAGGTTTGTGTTGAGAATAACACATAGAGTACCCTGAGTTCGCATTACTGAAAACAAAAGAAGCTTGTAATGTTATATATAAAGCCTAACATAGAGTGGGAGAAGTTTATATGAGAATTTCAATTAAAATGTAATGTTTATACACAGATAGGTTATCTACTCTAGTTTGAGTATAACCCCTAACTCACTTATACATGGCAAACTACTAACCTAATCTTGATTGGAAATCTCTAGTTTCATTAGCAGGAATATCATTGAGCCTAATAAGACCTCGTCCTTTCTCTTGCCAGTTCTGGGTGTCTTTATCAAATATAAACAGCTTCACTGAAGCCTGGAATAAAATGTGATTAATTATTATTAATTGATATTATTTTGACCTTCACAAAACAATAACAGTCTAAAAATGTCATTGTTGCTATAAGTAACAAGGAATTAACATGCAAAATGTAATAACCTGCCATTTGTTACAGATGCTTGACTGTGAATGCCGACTACCAGAACACTGTCAACAATTTTGTTAAAGACACAAAAAGTGGCAATCTGGTCTTTTTTTAAAACAATTCAATCAAGTCATGGTGTGGGCTTTTATAAAACAATACCAATTAAAATAAATTGTTTAGGTTTACCTGTAATACATTAGATTCTTCCTCCTCTCCTGTTCTGACCTGAACCTTTTGGTATTCTGGCTTTACTTGTCTTGCCTCATACTCCTTAGCAGATTCCTCTAGTGTTTTACCAGTTGGACTTTTAGCTGCAATGTAAATTGATATGGTCCTTTGAAGTTTGAATTTACTATGTTAATCAAAGATGCAAAGTTTGCAATGATGAAGAAGAGGTGGGTAACCACAGTTCTCTCATGTCAACCCTTAATTTTCATGGGTCAAGTTAAGAATGGGTCCACAATTTGCTTAAAATGTACTTACAATAGCATACCTCTTCTAATAAAACATTTACTCAGCTTGACTAGATTTTTATGCCAATAAATTTCCCTACACAATTCAAATCGATCTGTCAAGCATTTTGTCAGTTGAAGCACAGAAAATAAAATAAATCTGACTCAGACTCTTGCCTGCCAAGATGACACCAATATTGGACTTGAACAAAAAAAGATGTCAATCTTCCTCACATGTTGGGGATGAGGCTTTTTCACCAGTTTCAGAATCTTTGGGATCTTTATCAGCTATAACACGTTCAGATAATTTTTCTCCAAACACGAATCCAGAGCCACTATTGGAGGCAGACAGGTCACTCTGCAGTGCAAACAAACATACATAAATACATAATGCACATAATTATACAAAGACATCTTGCAGCATTTTTTATTTAATTCGTTCTCAAATGGTTACAGTTTGTCATCTTTATCATTAAGATCGTCCAAATAAAGACTTCTTAAATTTATTCACACATCAGTCCAATTTCTATTCTGACTTTTATAACGAAGATTGTCTAAAATAGGTTATTATTTTCAACATCATTTTTAACCGGGTGCAAATAGATTTGGTATCAAACTTGTCTTCAGGAAACACTGCTTAAACTGGACAGTCCTTCTTCATTATTTCTCCATATAAAATGATATTTAACTTACTGAAACTCTGTCCTCCATATTTTGCCCAAATAAAAACTTGCCAGATTCTGTGCTTTTGAAGCTGAAATAGATAAATAGCTAGTTTTGAGACATAGTGAGGATAAAATAATTCAGCAGACAATTCAATATGAACATTGAGTAATGTAGCAAACTCACTGAGATTCATGGAAATTAAAGATAAATATCAAATGAACTCAGATGTGACTTCAAAAATGATTTTATATTATTACCTGCTGGTACTATCTGAGAGACCAGTGTTCCCAGAATCCCCTACATCTCCAAACAGTCGCTTATTAACTTCCTCCTCATTGTTAGCTGCCTTGTCTGTAGAACTTGAAACTTCGGGTGATTTCTTATCACCACTATCCCCCAGAGAACCAACTATTGCGGGTCCTTTTAGTGTTGAGGGTCTAAGTTGAAAGCCTGTCTTTCCTAATAACAGGTAGAGTCATGAGAAAACATTTTGGAAGATGCCAACTTATTGCTTATTACCTGAAATCGGATTGGTCAAACTGTGACTGTCAGTAATGTTTTCATTTGTCATGTTGTCAAGGTGGCCAATAGACATTGATTTACAGAGAACTATTTATATTTGTATGTACATATATATGTATAATGCAGCACATGTGAAAAAATGAACCAAAATTTTTACTTAAAAAATTTTGCAAACTTACGTTTTGCTTCCAGTTGATCAGCCGTAGAGCTTAGACCAGATGGTTTGAGTTTGAAGATGGAAGAATTTGCCTCTGATGTTGTCGTATCTGCTCCAGTACTTGTCACGACTATAGATGGCATACCACTTCCAAGGGTACTTGGTGCCACAATTGGTCGATCTTTCTTCTCCTCTGAAACATTGCATTTGTACAACCATTACAGATTCATTAATCCAAAGGCATCAATTTATAATTAAAGGAACTCCAAGTATTTGATATATGTAAAATAAAAAATCTGAAAAGTCAGACCTCAAAATTCACAGAAGGCATTTTCTCAATGTTTCTACAATGTTATAGGAAAGAACCAAGTGAAAGAAATTCTGGATCAATTTTGTAATACTGTAGATGGAACAAGAGGAGGAAATCCCCCAGAATTCATATATGAACCTATCTTCTCTAGAGGTTCATCGGATGTTCATCTATGAATTCTGGGTATTTCCCTCTCTTTGATAAGCCATACCTTCAGAATCTGACCCATAAGGACTCGACATACTCTGTGCAGTAGGGGCCTTCACTGCAAAGGGATTTGGGTTCACTTTAGAAGGTGCAAGGATTCCAAACCCTCCTCCTCCTCCTTAATAAAAGATAACAACTGAGTCATATTCAACTAACACTATATCTAAATATAGGTTTTTTATCAAAACATCAAGCTTCACTCTGATTTTTATTTTATTTTGAATTGGGAGATTAGGTTGGATGACTTAACCTTAAGCATGCTACCGGCGTGCCGAGTCGCCCCTGCTTAACAATCCCCAGCAACTGCCGGCGACTGCGATCGACTCAGTTAAAACACATTTTAAACTTTCAAAAACTTTACTTTTTCCCGCCGTTCTTATGATCCAATTAGATTGCCCGATTTATTCAGTCCTTTGTACGTGACTTCCTGTTGACCTTGAAATTGCGATCTTTTGAAAAATATTTCTCAATTCAACAATTTAAACAGTGTTTAAGTCGTTTTTAGTGAACAAATCGTACAAAATGGCGGCCAAATACGATCACAACGAAAATGTGGAGGAAATGGATTGCGATTTCGAGCTCTTTAGGCTCTTGAAAGCCGATAATGGTCATCGAAAATGGAAACTAGAATATTTTCCAGACTGAAACGATGAACATTCGATCGCTGGAAATTCAGTTTTGGATTCTGACCAGACGTTGAATCATCCCAGGGGCGAAATGGCGGATTCCGGAGGAGTATTCATGGTATATTTATGCCCATTCCTGTTTATGTGCGAAAAAATTCATGAGAACATTTTTTTCATGAGCCAGGCCAGTGTATCTTCCCTTTGTGAAAATTTTATCCAGATTCATTCTGTAGTTATTGAGATATTAATTATTTAGTCCAGGCATATAATTTTTCGCACTCTTTGAAAAATAAGTCAGTCGCGTGGGATATATTTGCTGAAATAAGTCAGCATGCTAAAGGTTAATGATGACCTTTCGCTTTATTTAAAGCTATTCTGGAATTCAGAGTTACCAATCAACCAAAATAAATTTTCCTTAAATCTAGGGTTGTAAATCAATATCAATATATACTGAAGAAACCATTTATCCATTTAAAATCTGGAGAACATTCTGTAAATGCAACAACTCAGAAGAGAACACTCTGAAAATGCATCAACTCATATGAGAACATTCTGTAAATGCATCAACTCAGAAGAGAATAGTGTGTGAATGCATCAACTCAGATGAGAACATTCTAAAATGCATCAACTCAGAAGAGAACACTCTGAAAATGCATCAACTCAGAAGAGAACATTCTGTAAATGTATCAACTAAGAAGAGAACACTCTGAAAATGCATCAACTCAGAAGAGAACACTCTGAAAATGCATCAACTCAGATGAGAACACTCTGAAAATGCATCAACTCAGATGAGAACACTCTGAAAATGCATCAACTCAGATGAGAACATTCTAAAATGCATCAACTCAGAAGAGAACACTCTGAAAATGCATCAACTCAGAAGAGAACATTCTGTAAATGTATCAACTAAGAAGAGAACACTCTGAAAATGCATCAACTCAGAAGAGAACACTCTGAAAATGCATCAACTCAGATGAGAACACTCTGAAAATGCATCAACTCAGATGAGAACACTCTGAAAATACATCAACTCAGATGAGAACACTCTGAAAATGCATCAACTCAGAAGAGAACACTCTGAAAATGCATCAACTCAGATGAGAACACTCTAAAAATGCATCAACTCAGAAGAGAACACTCTGAAAATGCATCAACTCAGATGAGAACATTCTGTAAATGTATCAACTCAGAAGAGAACACTCTGAAAATGCATCAACTCAGATGAAAACATTCTAAAAATGCATCAACTCAGAAGAGAACACTCTGAAAATGCATCAACTCAGAAGAGAACACTCTGAAAATGCATCAACTCAGATGATAACATTCTATGAATTACAAATCTCATGTCAATTTTCAAACTTCAATTTTTGGCAATACTTCTTGGCATCCATACCTGTAGACTGTGGAGCTGGATTTGTTGTGCTGGTAGGAGATTTGTTGCTAGGCGCTGTCACTACGCTGTCACTTACACCGTCAGAGCCTTCAACAACCTCGGTTGAACCATTTGTGTCAGGGACTGCAAGAAAAACTTTTGCAAGTTAACTGATATTCATTGAGAAAATTCAAAAGTGGAAAACTGGATACAGGAACAAATTATGAACAAATAAGTGCATTTCAAGTGACAAAAAAGGGATAGAAATGAGTTGACAAGTCAAGGGTAAATTGTCATAACATACTTTTGCTCTCTCCCTAGTACTGGGGCAATCAGGTGCTGTAATCATTTAAGAATTTGAAGATTACCGCATTAACACTTAACAGTCAGATTTTAATAATTAATGTGTTTCAGATAAACTTACCAGGCTCATCTCCTGGCTTCCTGAATGCTCTGTCAGACATATTCTCTCCAAAGACAAATCCCTTGGAATCTACAAGACACAGAGTGAACAATATGTCACACACTTATTAACCTCAAACATGTTCTCAGTAATGATAATTCAACTCAGGTTGTATCCTAAAATTGATGATCTCTGATGTTAAACTATGAAATCCTATATAGTTTAAAAGAATGAGATAAGTTGATGTGGACTCAACACTGAAATAACTATAAAAATATAAGATGCCATCATAGTCGCCTTCATCGAGTAACTTAGTTGCCTAAAAACTAATTCCTAGTATTCCCATTATTTAGCCTGTAATACTTCTCAAATTTTCAATTATACAATTCATAGGACTTCCAGCAGATTAAATAAACAAACACAATCAATACATTTTAGTTTACATCTCTGGATGTTACATATACATGTACATGTGTCAGCAGCCATCAACAATAAAGTGAAACAAGGCTTTATCATGACAAAATGTCACCACCTAGCTGCTAACAATATTATGAATTCAATCTTAAGTCAGATTTGAATTTCTGAAAACTTGTAGATGATTCTGAAAAAAAAAATTGGTCAATTTGAAGGAAGTTTGAAAAATACCTTTTTTGACCCTGGGAAGGTCATTGAAGGTGAAATCTCAAATCTGAAGTCAGATTTGAACTTCTGAGAACTTGAAGATGATTTTGAAAAAATGGTCAATTTGAAGCAAGTTGAAAAAAGACGTTTTTGACCTGGAGAAGGTCATTACTATTTTGACCTTGAGAATGTCACAGAAGGTCAAATCTATAGTCAGATTTAAACTTTTGAGAACTTCTAGATGGTTTTGAAAAAAAATTGGCCAAGTTGAAAAGACCTTTTTGACCCTTTTTTACATTGAAGGTCAATGAAGGTCAAATCTCAAATCTAAAGTCATATTTGAACTTCTGATAACTTGAAGATGATTTTGAAAAAAATGTGGTCAATTTGAAACAAGTTCAAAAAAGACCTTTTTGACCTTTCTTGACCTTGAAAAGGTCATTAAAGGTCAAATCTTAAATAAAATCAGGTTTGAACTTCTGAAAACTTTTAGATGATTTTGAAAAAACTGAACTCAGTCTTAACAATATTTGTTAAGTTATTGAAAGTTTTAAGAATTTGTTACAGACACCAACAGCCAACCACCAACCACTGATCACTTTTTGGTAGTGACATAAAAATGGAGCTAAAATCGAGTAAATTCAACTTTCAAAACCTGCTATGGCAATGGTAGGGGATAAGGGGATGTGGCAAACTAAATAATTGTAGGTCAGGCAAGGCAGTTGAAATTCCATGCCAAATCGTTTGATACATTGTCGTTCATATGCTTCTTATTTCTGTCTTTGGGAAAAGTCCCGTTTTTATCTCGCATGAAAATTGGAAGATTGCAAAATATTCTTTAATTTTTGAAATCTTGACAGAAAATGGTACATGTAGTTACCCTGTCAGACAGTGAAAATGCAACTGCTTTCATTTATTCAAATTGACAAAAAATCATTGCAGCACTATTCATTTGGACTTGAACCACTTGGAATAATTTCTATAAAATATAGGCTGAAGAAAATATGAGGGAGGGTGACTTAGTACTGACTTACTCCCCATGACTTAAACCTGCAACATTTTCATCAAATTGGTAGGTAAAAAACAAGGCATTGACATGCAAAATGCCACCACCTGCCATTTATGACAGACCTTGACTACTGCACGATGAATATCCACAACAAAATTGTTAAATTTGTAAATCAGCCTTTTGCAGATTATTGACATGAAAAATGTCAACACGAAAAACTGGGTGACTTCGACACTCGTTTTCATGAATTGGATTTGAATTGAAAAAGATGTCAATAGATGTCAATAAGTGAGAGAAGAAAAACAATTACATAACATATGCAATAAAATGATTTGTTATTTCATGTGAATGTTGCCAATTAAAAAAACAAGCATGAAAGCTTCGATTGTTCGATTTCTAACTGGCTACATTTTGAATGAAAAATCCCGGAAAAATCTAGAGAAATCACTCACCTTTTTCACCGGTTATGTCTTGTTTATTTGCGCTCTCTGAAATACAAATGTAGATCAAACCGGTGAAAACTATAGGGAAGCATACAAATTGGATAATACTCCAGCGTTTGGATGCAAATGAAGCGATAATAATCAAATTCTTTCATGAATTTGGCGCAAAAACTAACCTGTTTTGATTTCAGACATGTTGGATGACGTCACATGGGTTTGCTGAGAGGAAGTCATTTTGGTAATGCAACATAAGTGATATTATTTTCAATATACAACTACATGTGCCACAAATACCATCACAGACTGATACATAGATCGTTAGGTGTTATACCTATAGCATTTAAAACGTATTTAGGTTTCACATTATTGTAAATAAGTGAAAAGTGAAATAGTGTAATTGCGCAGAGCTTGATTCTGCAACTGACCTTTTTGGGAACTTTCAACCAGGAAGTAGGTTGCAGTAAAATTCTCATTACTTCCTCATATGAATTTCAAGGGTTTCAAGGATACATCGGTTAGGGAATCCCATCAAAGGTTGTTGTAAATATGTGATATAGGTGAGTATCTCAAGATACATTTTTGATTGTTATTGATGCATGATTAATCGTGAAATTGAATACTAAACACGAGTGCACATGTCACCATGGACTTTTGATGATGCCACAAATAAGGTGAGTCTGATTGAAATTTTATTTGACAATGATATGGAGCAACTCATTCTAAATGTTATATTTAGATCTGTAAGCATTTTTACAGCGATAAAATAAAGTGAGCTGTTGTTTATGAATGCAGGTATACATGGTTGGTTGGTTAAGTCTTAGCTCTACTCGAGTCTCTAGCTTACAGCTAGACGAAACTTCATTGATTTCGTATGTACTGTGCTACACGCACCTACACGCACCTAGAACTCATTTTTAATAAATTTTATAAATATTTTTAAGAATATTAATCATATTTAGGATGAAGCGTTGCTTGTCTGGATTTAGATATTTCAAAATTTCATTTCGGAGTTTCAACACATGGTGAAATTTTCTCGCTGTAGCTAAAAATGGCTTCCGGTTCTGGACGTGAATAACATTCGAAATTATTCTCGCTTAAAGAAATCAAATATAACAATAGATTCAGACGGGGATGTGAGCTGGTGTTCTTCAAATCTATACATAAAGGTATATTTCATATTATTATGCCATATTTACTGTGCGTGTGACACAATGATTTACAATATTTATAATACTAAGGCAGCTCAATCTTCCTCCTCAAAGCCGGAATATAGAGAAGGCTTTGGAGCGAAGTAAGTTAAGTCCATATATACGGTGCTATCATGTCACCTTATAGTCTCTATAGTTGTTTTTTCAATGGTGCTTTACTCTTGTGACTGTCTCTAGTGTTTTTGTAGATTCTTTTTATTTTTATTTTTGTTTTTTCTTAAAATCACTAAAGTTCCTTAGCTTGTAACTTATTTACATTTAAAGTTTATATGAGTTAGACAATTAAAATCTTTTTGTTTTCATCAAGAAGGTTGTAAAAGCGTAGTTCAACCTTTTGTTGATGTCTGGTTTTAGAGTTTTGTTCAGACCTGACAGAGTCTTGATGTCCAATTCTGGGTTATGTTCAATTTCTAGAAGAATACTATAAGCCTCATAAAATAGTCTCTCACGAATCTCGCTGTATTTGGAGCAGTGGTGTATGAAATGATCAATGGTCTCTATCCTGTCACAGTTGTGGCACTTGTCTGAAGGGAGTATGGGATTGATTTTCTTTAGGTGGCTATTGAGCTTTGTATGGCCACTTAACATTTGGTTTGTGATACAGAATGTTTTCCTGTTTTTCTCTCCCAGGATAGCTCTGGTTCCAACTTTTTCTATTGATCGCTGTATGTGGCTTACTTTTTTGGAGTTATTATATTGTCTCTGCCACTTTGTCTGGACAGATTTATTGATCAGGCTGTATATATGCTGTTTGTTTATTTTAGCCTCAGCGTATTTTCCGCTTTTTGCAACTAATGCTGCCCGTTTAGCGTGACTGTCAGCCAGTTCATTGCCTTTGACATCAACAGGTCCTGGAACCCAATAGTATTTGATTGACAGACCTTTTTGTCTGATTGTTTTGCATGAGTTGCGAATGTTTATGACTGTGTTAAGCTCATTTTTTGGAACGTTTGTTTCAAAGGCTGTGATAAGCGCTGGCTGGCAGTCAGAGAATAGTAGTATGTTGTTACAAAGTGGACTTTCTTGTAGAAAGGTGAGTGCAAGGTTGATGGCCCTCACTTCTCCTACAAAGTTATTGCTTCTGTTGGAGATAGCTTGTTCTAAACAAATAGGTTCCCCTCTAAGACCTTGTAGGTATATAATCGCCGCAGAGCCAGTAGGTCCTGGATTGCCATATGCTGATCCGTCTGTAAAGACAATGGTTGCGTCTGCAGGGCAGTTCTCTAGGATGTCTGTAATTCTCTCTCGTTGTTCTGTTTTAGATTTTGTAAATTCATTGGAGTCTCTTGATGCTCCAGTAAATTCAAAGTTGTTAAAGTTGTAACTATAGGTGTACTCTTTCTCAAGATGTTCTAATGGGAGTTTCCTGCAGAACTCTATCAGTCGTGAATGTAGTATGCTGAAGGCAGTTGTTCTCCTCTCAGTGACTGTGCTGTTTTTCCACAGTATTGTCTCCTTATAAAGTGGACTTGATTCAGTTTTCAGACATATTCTGGGAAATTCCTGAGCCTGTCTGGATTTGAACAGTATGTCAATAGGAGTGCAGTTCGTTAGAATTTCTAATGTTTCAGTGCTTGTGGATTGGATGCAACCTGTGGCTCTGAGGAGAGCCTGTCTGTGCACTGTTCTATACGCAGAGATAGCTTTGTCGGTGGATGTGGCAATTACACCAAATCCATATTCAAGATTTGGTTGAACTAGACTTTTGTATAAGTTGCAGAAAACTGTCTGCGAGCATCCCTGATTGGAATTTGTAAAATTGGAGATTGTTTTTAATGCTCCAAAGTCTTTTTTCTGTCTATCTTGTATGTGCTCCTCAAAGCTTAGATTCTGATCAACTATGACACCTAGTATCTTTGTGTGTTCTACAACATTGAGAGAGATGTTGTTAAATTTGATGTCTACATTAGGTCTAGCCTTGCCTGACGGTGAGAACACTATGACCTTGCATTTATGTTGTGAAACGCCCATGTTCCACTGGTCACACCATTTTGACAGGTTTGAAATGTCATTGTTAAGTGTGTTTGTAGCATTGTGTGGATCATAGTCAGTACTCCAAAGTATAACGTCGTCTGCGTATTCCCCGTGATTGGATACTACGTTTGTAAGGGAGTCTGCCGTATAGGCATTACAGAGAGACGGAGAAACTACAGCTCCCTGAGGGATCCCAACCTTAGATGTTCTGAGCTCAGAAGTGAAATTATTCACAGTCAATGAATATTGACGATTGCTGAGATACTCGTCTATGAAGCATAGAAGTCTACCATCTAGACCGCCCCTGTGCAGCTTATAAATCAGACCCTTGCGCCACACCCGTTCAAAGCAGGAGTCATAATCTATAGTTACTGCGATAGTGGTTTCACCCTTGTTCCATCCTTGTTGAACTGCCTGTACCAATCTGAGTACTGTATGAGTACAGCTGCGGAAAAATCTGTACGAGTCCTGGAATGTAGAAAACATGTTTTTTACTTCCATTGCCCAATTGAATCTGTTACCAACTACATGTTCATAGAGCTTTCCTATGACTGATTCCAGGGTAATGGGTCTGTACGACCCATCTGAGTTGTAGTTATCTTTTGCAGGTTTGGGTATCATAATCTTGGGATCTATTTTGAACTCATCTGGTAAAATGCCTCTTTTCCAGCATTTTTGAAAAAGTTTGAACATTGATTTGATGTACAATTGACCAGAGTTCTTGATCATTATGTAGAAGATTTTCTCTCGTGGATCAGGTGCAGACAAGCTTTTAGAATTATTTATAGCACTAATTAGTTCATTGAGTGTGAGCTCTTTGTTTTCAGCTTGGCATGTACTTTCATAATTTGGCTTAGCTATGTTTTGTTTTTCAGTAACAACAGCCAAGTCTGCATCTTTTTCCACATGAGTAAACCATGGGTCAGGAATATTAAGGTCTTCCTTACCATATTTTACCAAGAACTCAAGAGAAATATCAGAATCAGTGACAGCGGTGGTGCCATCTTTTCTAATGAGTGGTTGTACAACCTGTTTGCTACTTGGACTATTATAGTTTTTGACTACTTTCCATAACTTGTCTGAGTTTTTGAGATCAAGTTTATTGAAAACATTGGCCCAATATGTTTCCTTGTATTGGTCAGCAAATATTGTAATGGCCTTCGATAGCAAGTCGTTACTTTCTCGGCTGTAGTGGCTAAGCCCTTTAGCTCAATCGGTAGAGTGTCTGCCTTGAGAGCGGAAGGTCCTGGGTTTGTTTCCCGCACTGGGCATTGAATATAGCACACTCCCTTTTGGGTCTATGTTAAACTACAGCTCCCTGACGGATGTGCCCAAGGGTTATTACAATATATTCAGTCTATATTCAAGTCGGGTGAGAATGACTGAAGCATCACAGGATGTCATCAACCAATTTGGATGATGTAGAGTGGAGAAGCAGGCCTTTTTCTATTGCTTATGACTCATTCATGTGAAAAAATATATGTTGGCAATGCAGGACTTCAAAAGCATGAGGCTTCATTGGTCAAAAATATGAGAAAGAGTAGCATTCGAGGCGAATCCAGGAAACCCAGGTTTAGGAAACCAGGGTTCACTGTTTCTTTCTGTTAATATTGTGCGGAACTACATTCATAATTTATATGACAGTGAACAGGAGGTTTACAGTCAAACCTGGGTGCGCTAATCCCATATTTAAATGTATATTCCACGGACCAGGATGTCCAGGGTTCAAGGCCATTCCAAATGGAATAAGTTTTTAATCAGGCCACAAGATATAAAAAGTTTGCTAACTTAGAATATTATATGTGATATTTTGTTTCTACCAAAACGTTAAACACCGGGGTAAAACAGTAATCTGCATTCTAAAAATTGAACCCTGTCTTCACGTAAAGTATTTATGTATGTATGTATCATGTATGTTCAAGTGGAGTATGTCATAGGAGGGAGGTGTCACAGAGGAGGGTATCAAATAAGAGAAAGTGTTATAAAGGGGGTGTTACAGACATTGGTGACAAAAAAGGGTGTCATAGGAGGAGAGGGTTTTAAAGAGGGGGAGGGGTCAAACAAGATGGCAGTGCTACAAGGGGGTGGGGAGTGTTACAGGGTTTGGAGACAAAATAAAATAGTGTCACAGGAAAGGAGGGTGTCACAGAGAGGTTGTTAAACAAGTGAACTATATTACAGGGTGTCGTTACAGGGGTTGGTGACAAAAAGAAAGGGTGTTACAGGAGGTGAGGGTGTGACAGAGGGGGTGTCAAACAAGAGGATGGTGTTACAGGGGTTGGTGACAAGAAGAAAGGGTATCACAGGAGGGAAGGATGTCACAGAGGGGGTTTGAACAAGAAGACGGTGTTACAGGGGGTTGTTACATGATTTAAATACCATTCCGCATTTGACCATCCTCCAATGTTATTTATTTGTTGTGTCTGAGAGTTTTACAGAAATCTGGAGTCTGGGTTAAAATATTATTATTTACTAAAAACCCTTCAAATAAAAGTAATTTAATCCTGGTTAGAAAACTCCTGGAAATAACCTGAATGATTTGAATAATGAACTGTTTGCTTATATGCAAAGGCGGATTCGGATAGTGGCTCGGGTTATGAGGGCATAGCATAATATGCCAACGAGTGCTTCTGAGAAATATATCCTGAATATATAGTTTGTATGTCACCACCAGAAGTGTCAGCATCTGCAACAAATGGCAGGTAGTGATATTTTGCATGTTGATTCCCTGTATGTTATCTTGCTTGATCAGATTTAAGCATCAACTACAATGATAACATTCACTTTGATATTTTAAGTTGTATTTTCCTGAAAACAATTAAACAATAGGATTGAGCATTGGTAATCCCTCATTATCTTGAAAGCCAATGGTAATATTAAAAAGCTAAGTCATCTATTTATCATTATAAGTGCTCTTTCAATTAGGCATACTTTTCATGTAGATATCCTATCCAGTGTCCACCACAAGTTTACCATAGGCTTGCTATTAGCATGTCAATATTTAAGTATGAAAGACATTTTGTAATAAAATGTTCATGACATTATAATGTTGTATAAAGTTGGTATCAAAGAATAGGATTTGCTTATAGATTCATTGAATCCATCAAAATTACAATTCAAAAACTAATTTTTCAAAAGTGTGATATCACAAAAATGTCTTTTGCACAAATTGAACATTAATTGTACTGAAAAACTACTTGAATATTTTTATCAAAAAGTTTACCTAGTTCAGGCAAGTATTAAATAACAGGTGTAATCTAGTTTTGGTATTGTAGAAGCAAAAATCAAATATTGACTTTGAGCTGCTGTATATGATATGATTTCATGAATGACATGTCTTACACTATTTCCTGGTTGAGATTGATATCATATTGTCCCTAAAAATAAAATCCATATTCAATCCCTCCCAGTAAATAACCTTTGCTGATTGCTTTTAATACTTATACTGATAACTACTTAAATATGACATTGGTACACAGTATATAACAGCGAGAGACCTACTAGACACAATATGTCTTTAACATTAAATTGTTGATTTCAATTTCTTTTAATAAAATGATATTCAATTAATCTCAAAAGTAATTCATAAGTTGTTAACCTAGTAAAATACTTCTCTGTGTTGCAAATGTCTCTGTATGTGTTTCATACATTTTGTTTGATACATGTAGGATCAGTTAATATTATTCAATATTTCCTTCGATTTTGCATTTTCTTCTAATGTGCATAAATCCATGCTGCTGGACAAGTTGGGACTTCCTCATCATTATTGCTTATGAACTATTTGTTCCTCACTTCAATATGATTCAATCTTTTTGAGTATTATACACGCTTCAGTTCTTCCTAGTATTCAACAAAATAATCTTTTCTTGATTACGTATTTGAAAATCCCTAAATTATATATAAAGCAGGTGAGCAAGTTATCAAATAATCCAGATTACCAACAAATCTTCTATATTTTAAAATAGCATATCGTGACAAAAGTTTATATTGAGGCATGTTATGGACTATAGTTGCTTTATAATAGCAAATGCTACTTTTTCCCTCGATCATTTGGAAAACAAAGATTCACATATCAGATTTATAGTCTCGTTATCACTCAAGGATTGCCGAGTTCAACATGGGGAACCATATAAACAAACCAAAGTTTCTGGATGGTAAGAGCAATAATTGTCTGGCATTTCAGTTTTCATTGAATTCAAGTGACATATTATTACTGTTTTTGTGACCAGCATTTGGCAGTTATGTATGTAACAATTGTTACACTTTTGTAACCATGGTGATGATATTTTATCATGTTAATGTCTTATTTCTTTCATATTATGGTAGCTGCACCAGAATTTCTATCAAATATGGGTAACTGTATGGGAAAACCTAAGACTGTGGAGGGAAATGCTGCTAAATATGTCGCAGAGAACAACGCTGCAGAAGTGACAACACCCAACAAATACAATGAAGGAGCAGCACGTGATCTGCGTGATGAACTTCCTCCTCCCCCTGATCCGTCACGGCCACAATCTGGTAAATACAAATTTCTTTTTAAAAGTACTGCACCACATTCTATCATACAGCTTCTGTGTTCTCTAGTCTACAGCCTTGTTCTATTTTTCTATTTTGTATTATACAGCATACCCTCTAATTTCTGTTCAGTCAATATGGTACAACGAAAATGAGACTTCTGCGCATGTTAAAATTTTTCGTCAAAACTCAACTTTTGTTCAAGTTGATACGATTGTCTTTCGAACTAGAGACTTACCTCATTCGAAAGATCATAAAAGACTTTATCTATACTGAAAATCTTAGATCCAAACATAGTAGAATACGCCGTCAGTCCGCATTTGATTTTTTGAAGTGAGTTTCATAGATCGTCAGATTTCTCCGACTGATATCGGGTTATCTCAAACTGGTTCGTTTATAAATACGAATTTCTATACCGTCGTAAGGCGCATGCGCAAAATTGATTTATAAACGTTATTGGTTGATGGTTTTTCTCCTGCGCATGCGTGAAGTCTGATCAACACTTATGACGAAGACCAGAGCAAACATTACTAGCTCTCGAACGAAATTCCAAGATTCAGGTCATTTCGCCGTGTTTGCTAAGCGTACATGTGAATGACAAGCTGTTTTGAGTAGATCAGGTACCTGTTTTAGACACAACATTGATTTAGCTTGACATTGATGTGCACATTGGCACTTTTGAGCATGTTAATACAAGTTTTTACACTCTTAGCACGAGACGGGTTTTCGAAAAATCTGTTATCTGATTCACTCGATTATCGTATGGATATGTATTTCTGCTGACATTTCAACACCACATCACATAGAATTACGATGCAGAATGATAATAAAACACAAAACAACTACTAAATTCCACTTGTTATTTCACAGGAGGTAAAAATGCAAACTGCCTAGATTCTTTGTAAGGGTCATCAGACATCGGATTGGCCGCCATATTTGAAATGAAAATATCACTAAATAGAGCTCTGCGCATGTATCAACATTTCGACTGTGTTATACAGCACTAAGTCATTTTCTGTGTTTTCCAATTACAACTCTTCTGTCTTCTATTGTACAGCATTTTTCTACTTTCTATTGTACAATCACTCATCATTATATTTTGTCTATTGTATATCTGTTGTATTTATTGTATTTTGCATTGTATCATATTTGATGCATACTATAACACATGTACGATTGACATCCAGTATACACTGTATAATGACAATTGCCACATTGGAATTATCTGGAATAATAGAATAATATACCACAGAATATGTTGGATTAATAATTTATTTTCGGCTGGTGTACAAGATATAATATAAATTCATTTGATATCTGGTGCCATTCTTTATTTTTCACTTTTATAGTGTGAAGATGTTGGAAGGATTCATTCAACTCCATTAGTTTGAATTATTTAGATTTTCACTATATTTGATTCAATTTGATATTCAGGTTCCATTTTGTCTTCATTTGCTTCATTCAGTCGATTCATGTAATTTCTCTTTAGTCTTCAACTTCTTCATTAAGTCTTTAAAGTCTTCAACTTCTTCATTTAGTCTTCAACTTCTTCATTTAGTATTCAACTTCTTTATTAAGTCTTCAACTTCTTCATTTAGTCTTCAACTTCTTCATTAAGTCTTCAACTTCTTCTTTTAGTCTTCAACTTCTTCATTGAGTCTTCAACTTCTTCTTTTAGTCTTCAACTTCTTCATTGAGTCTTTAACTTCTTCATTTAGTCTTCAAAGTCTTCAACTTCTTCATCTATTATCCCACCGAACGAAGTTCAAGGGGGATAAAGAGAAGCCGTCCGTCCGTCCGTTCATCCGGGCGATAACTCCAATACTGGTTGACGGATTTGGTTCAAATTTTATAGGCTCATGCCTTATGAGTGTAGGACCTCTGCTCGAGAAGGAATTTCCAATATGGCCACTCAATTCAAAATGGACGCCATTTTTTGTAAAAAATGTAATCGTTGATAACTCAAATACAAGTTGACGGATTTGGTTCAAATTTTATATGCTGATGCCTAGGGACAATGGAGTTTCGCACAAAGAGATTTTCAAGATGGCCGCTTAATTTCAAAATGGTGGCCATTTTTCGTAAAAATATGTAATCTTTGATAACTCAAATACCAGTGAACGGATTTGGTTCAAATTTTTTCAAGATGGCCGCTTAATTTCAAAATGGCGGCAACTTTTTGTAAAAAACGTAATCTTTGATAACTCAAATACCAGTGAACAGATTTGGTTGAAATTTTATATGATTATGCCTAGGGACACAGGAGCTCTGTTCAAGAAATAATTTTCAAGATGGCGGCTGAATTTCAAGATGGCGGCCAATTTTTGTAAAAAACGTAATCTTTAATAACTCATATACCAGTGAACGGATTTGGTTCAAATTTTATATGATGATGCCTAGTTCACAATGGTATAAACTAACTTTGTGCCAAATTTCATGCTTCTATCACAAAGTGCACAAACATTTCAACATTTACACTAGCGATAAGAAGCATAATATGTTTTGTTCGGTGGGATTTGCTACTCCGTAGAGTTGCTGTTTTTCTAGTTCTTCAAGTTCTTTATTTCACTTACCCAACAATCATTTAGCTCCTTCCATGACCTTAATACACACAAACATTCCTTTTTATTTGTTCATGCAAATATGATTTATCTTTATTAATTACACCTTAAAACCCTATTTGTTATTTTGTGTTTCTAAGTCAGTATCCCAGAGCCTCCCTAGACTTCCCTAGTTCTTCAGATCCTCATCCTTATCTCTCTCAGATGTGGGATCAGATGTGGGATCAATACTCTATAGTTCGATCTAATTCACTTCTTGTGTTGAGTATTATCAAACAAAATAATATTATCATTTTATATATATGGAATATGTGTACAATCCCCTAAATCATATTATCATTTTATATATATGGAATATGTGTACAATCCCCTAAATCATATTATCGCTTTTATATATGGAATATGTGTACAATCCCCTAAATCATATTATCATTTTATATATATGGAATATGTGTACAATCCCCTAAATCATATTATCATTTTATATATATGGAATATGTGTACAATCCCCTAAATCATATTATCATTTTATATATGGAATATGTGCACAATCCCCTAAATCATATTATCATTTTATATATATGGAATATGTGCACAATCCCCTAAATCATATTATCATTTTATATATATGGAATATGTGCACAATCCCCTAAATCATATCATTTTATATATATGAAATATGTGCACAATCCCCTAAATCATATTATCATTTTATATACATGGAATATGTGTATAATATATTTTTATTTCATAAGTATGAATGCTGACTGAAGATGACATTGGTTGTAGTATTTAGAATCTTGAATTAAAGCATGTTCTTGGCAACATGTCAGAATCTTCAAAACAAAATGACCTTCTCTTCTTGTGTCTGGGGCGTATAGTGTCAAGTTTCAAATATACTTCTGCAATCATGTTTTTGTAATTGATATCACAAATTCATAGAAACTTCTCCCAGGGATTGAACATGACTGTATTCTGAATTAATACATATCATTTGAATAAAAACAAATCAAAGTTCAATCTCATTTTAGTATATTAAAAGTACCACAATATGTTTGAATTCCATATGGCTCTCAAATCAATCTAGGCAATTGTCAATTAAGCAAACAGGAAGAATATAAAGGCAGCAGTTGACATTTCAAGTTCTATTGATAAAACTTACTTTAATATATTTACAGGAATTCAAAGTCCAATTTTTTAGCTCAACCTGGTTGTTACTGAGTAATTTTTATTTGTTATAATGGTTAGAAAGCTGTTAATTTTCCACATAGATATCTAACTTTATGTGGGTGTATTGATAATGGCAATAATGACATGTATTATCTTTGCCAGTCAGCCATTGGGCGGGTGGGGCATTTGCCTCACAAAAATCATGACTTTGACCTTTGATTTTCCTGACCTTGTTAATTTATTTGACCTCAGAATCCAAATAATTATTTTAAGAGATCAAGATATCTCAAAGGGCCATGACGTGTGACGTATGACAAGTGGTTTTAGACGGTCATATCTTTCACCATGAGTACTTTCTGGACATAAACACAGTCGTTTTTATTTTAACAATATGTCTTCTTTTTAGAAAATAAGCGTTACATTTTTTTTAAAAGTTCATAATATTTCAGAGAGTTGGATTTATATTTACTAATCAATTTGAATTTATATGATTTAACATGGAAAAGTTGAAAAGTCCCTAAAAACAACAGGCAATTTTGTGAAAACAACCAGTTAAAATCACTTGTTGCCTGCTGCTAATGAAACTACTCGTTTATTTATGGTCCAAACTGTACCAATAAAGGATTTGTTCAACAGAACATTACATCAATGTGTCACAGGACTTTGAAGTGTTCTACTTATAGAGGTGTTCCACCTTTAGAGAATCCACTTACAGTTCCACAGTATTTTCTGTACATATACACATGTAGTTGAAATATATGAAAGATTTTCCTTGTTCATTATCATTCAGGAATTGTCATATCAGATTAAGAAGAAAAACAAATCCAAATTCATTTCATGATTTATACTGTCCTAATAAGATATCTAGAAACTAAACAACGAGGAAGTATTTTTGATACAACTATGTTCATTTGAATGTCATGTAAGATGCATGTATATACTTAAGATTAAGTCTCTTATGCCTGTATAGCCCTAATCAGTTTGAGTGTTAAGTATGGCATGTATATTCCTCTTGAAATTTAAATTTGCAGAATTGTTAATCATTTGGTCAGAACTTGATTAATATTTAATATATCTATGACTGAGTCATTCGTATTTCCTATCAAAGCTCACATTTATATATGTGCTATAAATGAATCGGTTTTTATAGTCTACCTTGACTGTATGTGCTATAAATGAATCGGTTTTTATAGTCTACCTTGACTGTATGTGCTATAAATTAATCAGTTTTTACAGTCTACCTTGACTGTATGTGCTATAAATTAATCAGTTTTTACGGTCTACCTTGACTGTATATGCAATAAATTAATCAGTTTTTATAGTCTACCTTGACTTTATATTTTTGTCAGTAAATTTTTGTATTATTTTGGAATATTGACTTCTTATGAACTCATGTTGTTGTGGGATATGTATTTATATTATTATTATTTTAGTAAATAAATAGAGATTATTTAATGGAAGGGGTGGAATATGAATTTTATTTCGAGGGAAAATATGATATTGACCAAAGAAATATCATATTGACCAAGGGCGATAGCCTGAGTGTCAATATGATATTTTCCGAGGCTAATATCCTATCTTCTCAAGGAAAAAATCTATATTCCACCATGACCATCAATAACCCATAGTTCTAATATAGGACTTTGGCTGCTACAGGATCCAATACATGATCTGATCCGGGATTTTTGCTGATACGGGATCTGATATGGGATATTTTGAATTTCAGTTTTATTCCAAGTTTATATCCCCGGGGAAACATGTTATTATGGAATAATATGTTGTACATGCTTGTCTAGGTAATATCTTCATGAATGTAAGTCAACCCTCATTTCGTATTTATGAATGTACATGTATGGATGTGAGCCACTGTTTTTTGTCGAAACAAATAAATAAATAATAAATATATGGTCAAAATATTCAGTCTAATTCAAATGCACTGTGTACTGTTTTTACAAAAAAATAGCTGAACACTTACACTAATGTAATAAGAAATATTAATAAATTCCATATTGCTTGCTACTGGTAAAAAGCTTTATTTATGTAACCAGGAACTTTTAAAGAGATATCAACAAGGATGTTAGCACGTAATTAATCAACCAAGCATTGTGTATTATGAGGTTATATAATGGTTGATTCCGTATATCGTGTTTATACGCAAGTGAGTATATGATATATTCACGAGTGACTGAAGGGAACGAGTGAATATATCATATACTCACGAGAGTATTACGATATACAGAATCAACCATTATATATATGATCTTATTATCCCACCCTAATCTTAAATCAATAAAAGGTTAATCTAAATTCAAAAGTTGTATATCAAGTCCAGGAGTTGTATACGCTGCCCAGGAGTTGAATACGCTATCCAGGAGTTGTATATCGTTCTCAAGAGTTGTATACGATGAGTGTTGGTTTTATACTGCAGTTATACAATGCTATTATACAATCATATAAAGCAGTGGGATAACATATAATCCATTTTGTTAGCGTATTGAATCCCAAGCTCTAAAATTGGTTGAAAACCGAATTTTTCATTTTTTGCCAGCTTTTGACATTTTACTACAAAATGTACATAAATATAAATGTAAGTTATAAATGTATAAATGTAAATGTACATACATATACAACAGGTGATGCTCAAGTTAGTGAAATTAGTCGGCAGAGATCATTTCTACACATATTGGAACATTTTTTTAGTAAATTGGATGAAAGTTGTTCAAATTAGAGAAATTTTAGTGAAAGATTTTGTTACAGATTATCTTGTCACTCTGGGTTTCAAGGTCATTTCTTAGGTGACAAGAAATCTCATCACCTTGGGTATTCAAGAGATTATTACTGTAAATAATGATTTTAGCATTTTTTGTTGTTTACTGTATGAGATCCATTTAAAGCCTGATCTTTCATACCTTACTTGTGCAAAGTAAAACCTATTGAAGTTGTCAATCATCACTGTCTATTTTTCATCTTTCTGTTTTTCATTGTTTAACATATTTCTATTTTGTAGGAGCTAAACTGATCCGGGCACTGTATGACTATGAGGCAAGGACGGCTGATGATTTGACATTCAAGAAAGATGATATCATGGAGATTGTCAGTGACACGTATGTTGTTTTGTTGTTTTGTTTTACATTAGTTCATTCCATTAAAATCATATCATGGAGATTGTCAGTGACACGTATGTTGTTTTGTTGTTTTGTTATACATTAGTTCATTCCATTAAAAATCATATCATGGAGATTGTCAGTGACACGTATGTTGTTTTGTTGTTTTGTTGTTTTGTTTTACATTAGTTCATTCCATTAATTCACAAAAGTATGCAACTAATTGATTGTCTTATACTTGTAAAAACATTAGTGGCACATATGTTCATTTGGTTATACAATAAAAGGCTTTAGGTTACATCTCACTCATATATAACTAGTGGTTTACCATACACATTGCACTACATGTGACTAAAATTATCTCAAATTGAAGCAATAAATTATTTCAGAAATAGTACTTTCTGTAAAATAATATTTACTGAAAAATTTCTTCATTTTTAACCTGAGAGTCAATCACATGTCTGTTTATTTGATTCAGTGTAATAAGATTTTCTTTGTTAAAAGGCCATTGGATTACCAGGTGCATGATATACATGCTTTTTATATCGTTAGTAATATCACTGGGGGGTATCGTGATGCAACAACACCGTGTTGTTGGATCAAGATGGCCAGACTTCCGGTGATAGATTTTCGTACGATATGTTGTTTCCCCAATTTAAACCCATTTCTAGGACGAGTTTCTCAATAACCATACACGTGAAGTTAGCGCACGATCTATATTTAAAGAAACTGTCATTAGTATACATGTAGCATCATCAAGAAGCAAGAAGTTCATGGTTTTAGTTCCTCACTATTGATGCAACAACACCAAACGGAAGATGCAACAACACTCCTCTAGATTTGAGCAATGATGCAACAACACCAATTAATAGTATAATTTCAGAAGACCATGAATCTTGAGAGGAACAGATTTTTAAATGCTACTATTGCAATACCGGGCCAGTACCCATTTGCGTTCTTCTCAGGCATTCAAAATACACGTCCTGCGGGCGAAGATTCTTTATATGTATCTTCAAAAATTTATACTTTTAATATCATAATGTACTGGAAGTTGTTTTATAACATAGTTCAATCGCCTTTAACATTGCAAGCTATAGTAACCCAATCTATTATCATAAACCCCTGTTCCATAGTTTGATGACCCTGATACCAGTTAGTATCATTCAAAATGGTGGGCAAACATCTTTCGTTCTCGGTAAACACGACGAGCTATTGGAAATCTTGCACGGCGCACATGTAGAAGTATTGTTCTCTTTGGATTCGTTCTCCCCGATTAAGTAAAAAGGTAGGTAATAGGATTTAGGTCCCGAAAAGGTAAATTAATAGGGGTACAGTAATCCCAGATTCCCCCTGGGCCCTCGGGAAATATCATAATGTGTCCCAGAATAAAACCAATATTGAATCCCTCTCAGTAAATAACCTCTATATAATAGCATTGTATAACTGCAATATCATTAAACCTACACTCATCGGAAGTTATGGCGTTTTGAAAACTCAAAATCGCTAAATTTGGTGCCCCATGTTAAGTCAAAGGGAAAAAATATTTTTTTGAAGTGTAAAATACGACATATATACGACCGAGTACAGCTTAATTTAATGAAAGCCTTTAAATGAAGGGTACCTCAAAAGCAATCTAGCTTCAAAATTTGGACACAAAAATGTCTAGGTCAAAATCTAGGTCAAATTCAAAAGTTTTCCTTATTTTTGTGATTCTGACACTACACTTCAATTATATTCTTCAAAATTGTGTAGGGTACTAATATTGTTAGCCCTTTGCCGTCAGAAAGTATTTTAACCCACTTTTGAGATATGGTGTCCAAAAAGTAGGTCAAAATAAAAAATTCACCAAATTTAACGTTTGAGTTATGAATGAAGAATAGAATTTTCTCAGGAATCAGAATCTGCAAACCAAATTTCGACTTCCGGTTCGGAAATTATGGCGTTTTGAAATTTCGAGAAAAATCGATCTGATGGTATAGAAAGTCAAGGGTAGCCAAGAAAATGTCGAAAAATCCATCCATCCTTCCATCCATCCTTCCTATCCTATCCTATCCTATCCTATCCTACTATTCTATCCTATCGTTCCTTCTTATTCTATCCTATCCTTCCTATCCTATCCCTTTTATCCCTATCCGTTCCTTCCTATCTATCCTTCATATCCTTTCCTTCCTATCTATCTATCCTTCCTATCCTTTCCTTTCCTTCCATTCCTTCATATCCTTTCCTTCCTATCCTTCCTATCTTATCCTTCCTTGCTATTCTATCCTATCTTTCTTCTCTATTCTCTCCTATCGTTCCATCCTATTCTGTCCTATCCCTCCTTCCTATTTCATCCATCCATCCATCTTTTTCTGGATGACTCGGCTTAAAAAAGTCCAAATCTGGAGTCTGAAATTGAACTTGTTCAATTTCCAAAGTCTAGTTATATTAGTTCTTTGTAAACAATTTCCATACGATACGGTAAATCAAGGGGATTTAATTTAGAAAATGAATAATCTTTATTTTTCAGATACAATATCAATGAGGTTGGCTCCCGGGGATTCAATACTTAGCCAATGTATTTAGTTTACCTTGTATATCCTTTTAACTTTGATAACATAAAGACAAATACATTAAGGAACCAAACAAAATACGTTTCATTCATGAACCACGCACTCACGCGTTTTATTCATGTCCCGACCAACACCTACGAGATAAACAGAACGTGAAACAGTTTCGCTTGATATTCAATGATACATTATATTTGTGACGATCCTTCAGATTACTTTGAGCATGGTAATGGAGTTGCCTTGAAGGATTGTCACTTTGTTTAACTTTTTGCTCTTCACTTTATCAATTGTTATTTTTAGTTACTCAATATTTCAAGAGTGATACAATAATTTAAATTCTGTAAAAGGGTAGCCAGTATTAATACTTTGGCTATACTCTTAAAGTATGGTTAGAGTTTAATCATTTACTCTATATTTATATTTAGGGTAATAACATTCTCTTGTGTTTTTCATGTAATATTATTTACAGGATTAATGTCAACATATATATATTTTGTTCATAATAAGAGTTTAATGTGAAGGTTTTCGGCCCAGTTTCATGTTTAATGTTATGTTACAAACTTTTTAGAAAGGGCAGTTGTCTGGGTTTGTTTTCAAAATCCAAAGTGAGGCTTATTAAGCTTGATTTAAGTAAATAAGCACGTTTTAAGTGAATTGTCTTTTTCTGTGCTTTTATGATTCGAATTCAAGCCGGCCAGACATGGAAAACATTTTGTGGAATTTTAAACATTAAATCGTCACTAAAATTGGATATTTATATTGCCGCAGATAAACCAACTTAGGTGTACGAGTTGGTAAAGGTAATTGACTTGATTTAAGTTGTATTTTTGCAGAGTTTTAGTCTTTGAAAAGAAGTATCTGTACACTTGACTTTTTCCTTAATTTTATTTATTTGCCTTGTGAACATCCCATGTTTAAATTGTCCCAGGGATTGTTAAGGAACATTTGACAAGGTTAACGCAAGGTTACACGCAGAGTTTTTGTCTTAAAGAACCTATGTAACTTTTTAACCAGCGTCGAAAGCAAGTTCCCTGGGTTCGTTGAAACCTTTTATACAACATCCCCACAGGGAATCGTTTAGGAATATTTGACAAGGTGTACGAAGAGTTACGGTCTTTATGAACCTATGTAACTTGCTCTAAACAAGAGTCAACTGCAAATTCCTGGGGTTCATAGACACCTCTATACGACATCCCCCCCCCCCCCATCCAGTTTGGAACTGTATTTAGTTTGTTCACAGGGTAAATTTTATTGATACACTAGAAATACTCCTTTGTATATTTGTATATTAAATTCTGGGTAATTTAAAGGTGAAATCCCGGGCTTATGGGACCATTATCAAACAACTGATCATTGAAGTACTTTTAAGGGTCATGGTCATTCGAACCCCATTTTCGGACTTAAGACACCCCCTCCCCTTCTAGTTTTCCATGTCTGGTCTAATTCTATGTTAACCACATTCTAATTCATTATAGATACTAGAATACTTTTAAAATACTGTTTCCCATTTGTTTGCCAATTGTACCATAGTCTGATAGTGGCAAAATGATGTTCCACTTTTCATGTGAGTAGTATAGAGAGCTGATTTCAACCCCACCAGGGATTATATAAAATTGCACTGTTGAGTTACATTTTTGGGAAAAGACACATTTTAGGCTTTGTTGCAAATTGTTTAACTGAACTTCCATTAGCTGTGCTGTTTTATGCATGTTTGGTTTGAGAGATTATTTACTTGATATACCATCTCGGCAGTACTGAATTGTGTAATGTTTGTGTAGATTAGTACATAGAAATAGAGTCGTTTTTATACATTATATAAAAATCCACAGAATATCACTTCTTGTGTTCAATTGTTTATATATATGTTAGAAATCCCCCCTCATTTTATCTAAAGTAGATTCTGGATTCAAAATAGATTCCGACTAAATTCCAGGTGACTTAAGTGATACTAACATTCAAGCAACAAGCTTTATCTTAGCTCATATTTGCTAAGGGCTTCTTTGAATAACAATCACTCACAATAAGTCATACATATATTTTCCCAGAAACTATGCAATAGTGCAAAGCTAAAGTACAATCCAGGATCTTACTTTCTTATTTAACCTTTATCTTATTGAGAATATTAGTGCGAATTTCATTCACCCTGGTTCCCAGTCGTTACCTCAAACATCATTTACTTCCAATGTTTTCTTACTTGCTTGTTTAAATGGTGTACAAGTAATATTATCCCCTGATGAGTTTGACAGACTCTTGATTTGAAATAGCCCTACGTTAATTCTTACAAAATCTCCCATTTTAAGTGTGAACAGTGAGCTTTATATACAGCTCGAAGTCCATTGTAGCCCCCAGTGGCTAAGACTTCCACCTGGTTATACTCACACCCTAACATTATACTTATTTGATACAACTGAACACTGGGCACATTAAGAATCTGGAGTCTGTTGCCATTTG